GCGAGCTCCCTCGCAATGACGAGACCACAGAGCAATCAAGATCAGTTGTATGCGACATGGAGGTTGTGCTTTATCGCAGCCTGATGTTCGCAACAGTCATGTCTTGGCAGTACTCGCCGAGGGGCTCGACGCGTCTAGGCTACTACTCAACTCCCACGTAAAGTCATTGTAAAAAAGCATTATAACGATGCCAATATTAGGCAACCTCGGATGCATTCGTAACAGGTCTTCGTGACAGACGCGGTATCCTTCATGGGGCTCTTTGTTGCTGCCATGTTTGAGGTACTGGCGGTGCACGCTAGTTTTGGTGGCTGAAAGGTATAAAGGTAGCCGCCCCTCGCTCCAAAATATGGTAAACGAGCCGCGACGCCTACGTCAACCCCAGTCGCGCGACACAACCACCCACGACAGCAATATCACCTCCAACCCCAATCCAGCGCGTACCGCGAAAGATTTCCCACGTCATTGCAGGCGCCTAGCTCGAGCTCGTTCCCTTGCATCGCCGCGGAAGTCCCGAATGCGCCAACTCCAAGCACAACGCGCCCGCCATCAACACCACCACGTCGCCAGTCGCATGGGCTGCCTCCACTCGGAATGAAGGTCCTTTCACCCCGAGATTTGAATTATCCCGTCACCGTCGTCGATCTCCTCAAGAAGCGCGATGAAGATGTACAGCGGTCTGGGAAGCTGTTCAACTACAGCTATGACAGTCGCGTCACCGAGGGCGACAAGTGGGGAGGCGAGAAGACGGTCATGAAGAAGTTTAGGCAGACGTTTGCTGCGAGCACCGAGGGAAAGATTACGCGATGGTTCATCAAGCCGGGCACTATCATTGAGAGACATGGGTAGGCCCATCCACCGCGCGCCTGCTGCAGGCGCGACATGCTGACAACTCTCCAGAACACCACTTCTTGAAATTGAAGAGCCCTGCACTCACGAAACACAATTCGGTGGCCTCTGCGTCGACTGCGGCAAAGACATGACGCAAGTTGACTATCTCACCAAGGAGCTCGGCACGGGACGCGCGACGGTGAACATGGCGCACGACAACACTGCGCTCCTCGTCAGCCACAAAGAGGCGGTAGCTGCGGAGGAAGACGCGAAGAAGCGACTCTTGAGCGCGCGAAAGCTGACCTTGATTGTTGACTTGGACCAGACCGTCATCCACACTACCTGCGAGCGCACCATTGCAGAGTGGAAGAACGACCCGGAGAACCCAAACCACGACGCCGTCAAAGATGTGGAAGGTTTCCAATTGGCCGATGATAATGTTTCCAATGTGGCCGCAAACTGGTACTATGTCAAGATGCGCCCAGGTCTCAAGGACTTCTTCGATCGCGTCTCAAAGCTCTATGAGATGCACGTCTATACCATGGCCACCCGAGCCTATGCGCAAGCTGTCGCAAAGATCATCGATCCCGAGCGCAAATACTTTGGCGACCGCATCCTCAGTCGCGACGAAAACTACACCGACAAGCTGAAGAGTCTGACGCGGCTCTTCTACCAGAACACAGCAATGTGTGTCATCATTGACGACAGAGCAGACGTCTGGCAATACAGCCCCCACCTCGTCCGCGTACCCGTATTCAACTTCTTCCCCGGCGCTGGCGACATCAACGCGAGCTTCCTGCCTAAGCAGCAGGAGCTGGTTACATTCGCAAAAGACAAATCCCCCCCGACGCCCAAAAAGGCTACGGCTGAAGCTGCGCCTACGAACATTGTGTCTGTGGCAGGCAAACCGCTGGAAACAACCCCAATCGACGCTGCGAATGGCGATCTGAACGAGTTGGGACAGCAACTTATATCCTTGGCCGCAACCGAGGACCTGGAGGAGCAGGCCAAAGAGCAAGAAAAACTCATCATTGCGCAACAAACCGAGCGGCCTCTCTTACAACAACAGCTTATGCAGGACAAGGAGGATGAAGAGGCGGACGATACTGAGTCGGTCATCGAGGACTCCCGGCAGATCGAGCATCCCAAGGCACGACATAGTATCCTCAACAATGACGATAGAGGACTTGATGTCATTGAACAGAACCTCAACCTTGTTCACCGCACATTTTACGATGAGTACAGGAAAGCCAGAGGAAAGGCGCCTGCAGATGGTCGCGTCGCCGCATTGAAAGGCGAAAAGAGCCCCAAGAAACGCTCTATGGAAGACTTCATCCCCGACGTTGCCGAGATAATGCCTCGGATCAAGAACGAGGTGCTCGACGGTACCGTGGTCGTCTTCTCTGGCATCATACCGCTTGGTGTAGACGTCCTAACGTAAGTTCCCCACTTCAAATCCCCTTGAGCAGAGCTGACCCATCTCAGATCCGATTTCGCCCTCTGGATCTCCTCCTTCGGCGCTGAAGTAACGTTGAACGTAACCCGCCGCACCACACACGTCATCGCCAATCCTGACCGCAAGACCACAAAAGTAAAGCGCGCAGCCCGGTATTCCCACATAAAGATTGTCAATCCGGAATGGATGTTCCAGTGCTGTACCCGATGGGAGCATGTAGACGAGACGCCTTATATCATCGAGACAGAAGCAGCGGGGTCACCCGTCGCTGACCTCGAGGACGAGAGTATTGATGGTACGGGTGATGAAGCACCAGACGATGTACCACACTCACCAATTGTCGAAATGTCAAATGACGACTGGGCGCAACTAGACGATGAATTGGCTGATTTCATGAACGCGACGGATTCAGAGGCCAGCGAGTCAGATACTGATAGCGTCCGGTCAGAAAACAGCACCGCCTCTACAGGAACCGAGTCGAGACAGAACGGCGGAAAGAAGAAGCGGAAACGTACCAGCACCAACTCGACGGAAGGAAGTGAAGCTGAAAACGATGGGGAGAGCGATAGGAGCGATAGCAGTGTCAACAGCACGACGTCGCGGCTGCAACGGCGGAAGAAGAGGACGATGGAGAGGGTGACTAGTCTGACCAACGTCGTTCTTGCAGAGAGCAAGTCATCCGGGTTGCCTAGTCCGGAGACGACGGGGCCGGAGGAGGATATGGGAGATGAGGCAAACGATGCGGATGAGAAAATAAATGGGGTTGAAGGCGTGGATGGTGCGGCGCCAGATCTCCAAGACGACTATGATGATGGTCTTGAAGCGGAGCTATTGGCTGGTTTTGGGGATAGTGACGAGGAGTAGGACTTCTGTTACCGAAGGACTTTGTATGAGGCATGCATAGCGAGGTGTTTGGCTGTCTGGCGTTTTTACAACATGACTGGCATTCTTGGGAATATTCTGCCTTTTGAAGGCGTGGGACATGGTTTGGGTCAAGATCAGATTATCACAAGGGAGCGAAGCTCCTATGAAATGGAAGGCTTGATACCCTTTTTCATTATTGTTTGCGTGATGTAGTGTATGAGGCTGTTTGAGCATTCAGGATTAGCGGTATGATTGAGCGCTGTTGCCTGGCTGTGCTGGCGACAGGTAGCCAAATGGACGCAACTCTCACATACTACCCGACCTTTTCTTCAGGCGAGATGGTGGTGGTGGTGGTGGTGGCGACATCGGTGGCTGAGCAGGACCTCAGTTGGTAGTGCAGAGGATCAAGACAGCATACGGAAACGATGAGCCATTGTTATTAACAACTTGATGGACGTCACTGTGTTCGTTGCTCAAGAATGGTGAGATCGACATATAGCAAGTGTGCACTGCCCATGTGCTCGTGACCTCATGTTCGCCTTGCTCAGCCACGGGGTTGATTTACCGGGTAAATCGCTTAAACATCACCACCACTTGAGGACTACAAGCGTACTATGCTACATAAGCTTCTATCTTTGCCTTTGTTTCTGAGGACTAATAGTAAGAAAGCATGTGCCTCCTCTAAAAGAGATGAAGTCCTCATAATCGTTGCAACAACTGATTCCAACTTTGACCATTTACTTCGTAAACCAACTACACTAACCACGACAACTTCAATTGAACGCCAGGTGCATCACCACCACACTACCACTCTACTTAGCTCGCCAAGTCGATCCTGAAAATGGGTTCCTGCCTCTCCATGTCATCACTTACCCCCAAAAACCCTGCTGCCCTAGAAGCTCATAACGAGAATGAGAATACCAGGACCACAGCCAGGCCGCCTGATTTCCTCGATGAAAACGGGAAATACGATGCGGCGGCAGCAGGGAGAGAGATGGCTAAGACGGGAAGGACTGCTGGTGGAATGGGGTATGGAATGGCGGGGGGAGCGGCTGGGACGGGTTATGGAGCTGGATGATAGGGGGTGATGGTCTTGGGTGTGGTGCAGTGGGAGGTGAGACAACTATGAGAGATGTGACAAAGCGACTGGGCTGGGCTATTGCTGGAGTACAGAGTACTTTGCGGCGCTAGAGGGTGAGGAAGTAGGGTGTTCATATAAATGTTATGAAAGGCAGGAATAACGAAATCTTCTGAGTTCAGATGTACGATGGAGCTCGTTTCTTATGGGTTGAACCCGAAAACTAACCTAGAAGGTATCCACCCAATGTTCCAATCACAGGAGCTCAAACGTAGCAACAGTGTATCCATAGGGGGTGCTTTAGTTCGCCTTGAAAACTATCCATAATGAGCGTCTTCATAGTCTTGTAGGGCTCGCCACTGGAGCTCAGGCGGCGCTTACCCCAGTTTATCGGCTGCATTAGCGCCCTTTTTCGTCCCGCGTGGACCCTTGCTTGCGCGGAGTTAATACGATGTGTGGGTCCCCTTTGGCGGGACACAAGTGAGGCTGAACGGCTTGCTTGCTTTCTTTTTGTTGCCCGCCAGCTGTTCACGCTTCGTTACTCCACTCCTACCGGTCAGCCCGCCGGTCATCTTGGGAACTACTGCAGCTGTGTGTTTTGCTGGCGATTAGGCAGCAGAAAGGAAGAATAATAATCCGGGAGAGCTGCGAACACGGCCGTTGTGATTACGTGGACCGTCGCACGTATCGATAAAGGCAACAACACGAACATACTACGGAGTACTCCTTGCGATATCACGAGAGGGCAAGATTTAGAGGGGAGTTTACAGCATGGCACCGCGACTGGCTTTCATGGACCTTTCGGTCGATATCAAGACGTTGATCGTCCAGCATGTAAGTGTTTGGGTTGATGGGCGGTTGGTTCGCGAGGCTGGGGGAGGGGTCGCGCCGTGGGGTAGATGAGCATGAGGACCTTCTGGCATACCTCTCGAATGGGTGTTTTGGCGCATTCGGACGACTCGAATATGTCCTGAATTCATCTCCGGGGCGAGGTTCGTAGCTATAAGAAAAGCACGGCTGACACTACATTCTCCAGATCAACCGCCCAACCGACCTCAAGAACGTCTGCCTCACCTGCAAGCAACTCCACGAGATCGCCGTTCGTCAACTCTACTACGAAGTGACCCTCGATGTCGGTTCATCCCACGATACCCGCCTTGCGGCCTTCCTCAACCCTAAGAACATTGGCCTACAACATGTTCGGAAACTGGACCTCTACCTCGCGGACGTTCTGGATAAATGCAATCAGCAGCAACAAGCCAACTTTGCTATCCGCATGATCTTGGAACTGCTTCCGGAGAACCAGCTAGAGAAGTTCTCGTGGCATCCGTGGTCTCCGTTTTCGGGTGACAACCTGGTGTTACTGTACAGGAAACAGAAGCGCATGCGATGGCTGGAGAGCATTTCGCTCGACCGCAATGTTCTTCCCGAACTCCAGAAGCTGCCGAACATTGAGGGGTGCTTCAAGGAAGTGCGCAAGCTTGGATTGTACCCGGATTCACGGGAGGTGCTAGACTTTTGTCACTTCTTGCTGAAGAACGTGGCTGGTCGCAAACTGGAGAAGATTACGCTGCATGCGAGCTTCGATGAGATGGATCCGACCGTCACGACGCGCGAACTAAACGATACCGTCAATGAACCTGGACTCATAACTTCGACCATGTTCAGCCACATGCAGCCGTTCGCGAAGTGCACTCCAATCGCACTTAACGAGATCACGCTGCAGAAGCTACATTTGCGCTACGCAGCAGAGACATACTGCAAGTTGATTGACTTCCAGTCCATCAAGAGCATCCGTATCTTTGGCTGCTCCGGTGCTGACGCTCTCTTCGCCGAACTCAGCAAGAGCACAAAGCTCCCTGATAAGCTAGAAACCCTCGAGTTCAAACATGACGATAACGCCGAGAATGACGGTCTAGGCGCTATCGACGGATTCCTTTGCCTCGTTTCAGGCATCAAGACCCTTACTCTCGACCTCACGTACGTCAAAGCTCTACCGGCCGCCGCAGGTATCGTGCGCCACAGCAAGACACTAAAGAGCCTCAACGTCCACGCGAGCACCGGCCCAGACATGTGCGACGAAGAACTCATCTACGACTACGCCTCGTTTTCTTCCATTTGCAAAGAATGCACCCTCCTCGAACAAATCTCTGTCGCCTTCCCCAGCGTCAGCGTCATCCGCAGTAAAAACGATAGTTTTGTCAACTTTGAGAACTGTCTGGGTGATCTACCACAATTAGCAACTTTGAACATCACTACCTGGCCTACCAACAGTCCTTCATCGACTAAGCTGCCACGCAAGATTTACGAACATTTGCTTGCTGGGTTGGCACAGCAGGGATTTGAGAGGAGCGCAAGTAATGCGAAGGAGAAGAGCGGGAGTAGTAAGTTGGGCATTATTGCGTTCGGGTCGAGTGATAAGGTTTATGATCGGGAGGATAGTGAGAACCAGATCAGTACGTATTCACCTGTTTTCTCTCCTCGCTCCCCTTTCCCCCAACCTCATAACATGACTCTTGCTAACCTATCTCAATCATTTAGTCTTTGTCAAAGGCCGCCAAATCGATCCCCTAGGCAATGAGACTTCAACGGCGGTACAAATCGGATGGTGTTTGCGCAAATTCATCGATGCAGGATCAAAGTCTGATATCTTGGATTTCTCGCTGAGTAGGAGTTCGAGGCCACCGAGTAGAAGCGAGCCAGGGAGTGATGATAGTGATCTCTGACAGGTACGGTTGGAGTGGTAGGGCATGGAAGAGGTATCAGCAGGTATTGGTTGGCAGCCTGCGCTTCGGTTCTCAACCTACAGGGGTATGTCGTAGTGATATTGACCGAGGGCTGGAATGGGCTGAACAGGTCACGACCAGCATTTATACCAATTTGAAGAGTTCAGCGGGCGTTGGCATCTACAATACATTCTTTGCGACATGAAGTTTTGCGACCAAATTGGTATGAAGAATACGCCCACGACATGGCCTGTCAGACCCACGCGACTCAAGCAGACCAGGAACACGGGTTCCCGCTCGGAGTATACTCCTTTGGACAAGATCGACGTCGCTAGAAGATCATACGAGATGCGTCATTGATGGACATGTAAATCGGGACGCGACAATGTCTAGCACCGCGTCTCCATCCAAGTAGGAATAAGTACTACGTTGAGCGGAGTGACGGGCGAAAATGTTTTCGTCCTTGCGGATGCCATGGCGGATCGCTCCTGCCTAACATCATCTGTAGCTTGAAACAACTGCCAAATTTTCAAGTCACTGAGCACACAATGTCTAGCAACGTCAACTCGACTCTGGATTGTTAACATGCCAATTGTTATCCGTCTCTTGCTACCGAAACCCGTATACGCGTCTACCCAGGCTCAGATCATCTCCCCCGGCCCTGTATCTGATCGCATCGGTAATTGCCGCGTGTGATCGGACCGCGAAACTTATATGCAAGTAAGCCCTCTAGACTCGAGAATCTCTGAGATCTGTCACTGGCTGTCAGGCAGGAATGCGCCTCGTCGAATGAAATACATCTGGACCCTACCTTGCAGACGTTTCTTTATCCGGAAGCTAACGGGACATCAGCCAACGTCCTTCCCTCGTCGCGGTAGAACTACGGCTACGCCATGACTTCTTCTCCGCATGCGTCGCAGTATGCTGCACCACCAGACGGCCAGGACCCGCATAATTACACGCCCTTGTATCCCAACGGGCAGGTTCTGGACGGTCAGGCACCACCGCGCATCGCTTACCCGCAAGAAGCCGCCTACCCGAAGCTCGAGAATATCAACGAGGTGCTCCAGGCGCAACAGGCTCTCCAAGCGAATCATGTCCTGAATCCTCCGCTGCCCCAACAATCAAAGCCGAACCGCCTGCGCAAAGCCTGCGATTCATGCAGCATACGCAAGGTCAAGGTAACTGCTTTGTTCTAGCACTGTAGTCGGCAACACTGACCTCGGTAGTGCGATGAATCGGGGCCGCCGTGTAGAGCTTGCCTAGCTCTAGAAATCCCGTGTACTTTTGAGCGCCCGAGCCGACGACGCGGTCCGCCTAACAGACATGCCGAAGCGATCAAGAAGCGAAGGATTGGCGATGTAGACTCTGGCTCGTCGAATCCGCAGTCTCCCACCAATGCCGCCCATGCGCTGGCCCAGCTGCAGTCGTCGCATCCGACCCAGCTCTCCGCCGAAGAGATATGCGCCCTCCCCACACTCAACGCCCTCATCGACGATTTCTTCACATACATACACCCGTTATGTCCCTTTCCTCACGAGCCGTCGTTTCGCGAAGCATGGGGCCAGAGAGAGGACTTGTCGAATCCCTCGTTCCTGGCGCTGCTGGCGTCCATGATCGCCGTCCTGGTCGCTTCCTTCCCTCGAAAACCACGCCTACACCTCAATACACAGACGCGACGCGAATACCCAAATCATCTCTCCTTGGTCGACAAGTGTAGAGATGTGTGCGCGCGGGCGCGCGGGCCAGGCTATCTTGATCGGCCGTCTTTGAATGTATACGACGCGTGTACCAGCTACTTCCTGGGCTTGACTGGAGCCTACGTATTCCAGTGGCGGCAACTACGGCTTTATTTGGCCGAGTGCCTAACTATCATACGGTCATTGGGTCTCCATAAACACGAGGCTCAGGGTTATACCTATCTTGGTGGCATGCCGCATGCGTGGGGCTCGAATGGACCCAACTACGATGGCTCGAGAGAGTTCAAAGTAGACTATATCACCGAGGAGATTGGCCGACGTGTGTTCTGGACGGTGTTTGTGGGCGTGCGGTAGGTTCTCATAATACTTCTTCTTCAGGGTCGACAATGCTGACTTTGACCAGAACCATACAACAACTAGGCGCTTCGTTCGGAGAGTTGATGATTCCGCCCGCGACACCTACCGAGCCTCTCCCACCACTGCCCCGCGAAGTCGACGACGTACACATCTTCCCAAACGAGATTCAACCACAGCGCGAAGGAGTCGTCTCCATGATCACTGGTTTCAACGTCAACGTGCGCATCTACCTCTCCTACTCATCGCTAGCAACGGCGGAGATGGCATTCGGCATAGACGAGATATTCGACTGGGACCGACAACAACAAATCTTCGCACAGAGCTTGCAGCGCTGCCGGCAGATCCTAGAGAGCCTCCCCGAAGTCCTCAAAGTGCAACCGAAATCCAGCAAAGACAGCGGTCTCGAACAACAAAAACCCTACTACCCACCCATGCCAGAGTACTCTGGAATGCGAGATCCTACCTTGGACAGTTACCAAAAGACAGATAGCCACGACATGCGACGCTACGAAATTCAGAAAGCAAATATATACGCCAGCCACCTGTCTACTCGCTCACACCTTGTGGAAAAGTGCTTTCTCCAACTAGACAAGTACCAAAGATCGATGGGCCAGGCTCCTGCACAACCCAGCACCAACGCTCTCGCGGCAGGAATCGATAGGTTTGTATCCGGAACCACCACCAACGCGGAAGTCCTCGAAAAAGCAATGTCAGAAGAACGCGAACAAGTGGTCAAAGACCTCCTGGTAGTACTGGGCAGCATCGACATGGTCAACATGGAGCCAAACGGCGACTCCTTTGTAAGTTTATACGTTTACTTGCAGAATTCAGATTTCCTATATCAACCTTCAGACGACAACGAGTTTATTCTCTCCATGTCAACCCACGACTTCTTTCGCAAAAATACAATCAGTCCGATCGCAAGCTTACGGTTCTTCCCTGCGCAGACTCAGAAGATACGCAGTATTGCCAGTACCCTCTTGGAAGTCCCCAAAGAGCGGCGTGGCAGTGTTGCACTACAGCACCAAGACTACCTTTACAAGTTCCTCGATATATTGAGTAAGTTGGAGAGGGTGAGTCCGGAGGGGAGTGAGCCGAATGGTGGAGGTGCGTTGGACGAAGAGAGTGAGTTGAGACTATGGGCGGACTTGAGGGACCATCAGTTGAGGTTTCAGGAACAAGGAGGCGTTTATGGGTTTTCGTAACAGACGGGCGTATGAGCAGAGTTGGAAGGAGTCGCAGCGCAGAGCACCGAATCTATGCAAGATACTTGTTGGGAGGGTCGTTAGTGGGTTATCGTGATTGGGGTTAGTCATGGGAGCTTATGCGTTTAGTATTGCAGTCGATCAATTGCACAAGATAATCGCAAGTCACATCATCCGAGTTGACGTAATGTCAGAACTGATCATGCATCATGAGTCTTCAACAGGTATACAGTAGTTGTACAAGCTCTTCCTCCACAAGACGTGTGCACATACTCCAATCGCACGGCATCCCCAAGCCACGTCGTATAACGCCCATTGCATGCAATCCTTCATGATATCCTGTGTGTTCTTGCACTTCTTGCCCTTTTTCATAATGTTTCTTCTCATGATAGCAGGTATTCTCCACGGCACAGCACATCCTCGGATTCATTAATCCGCACCCTACACCCCCATTCTACGGCACAACAACAACTCCTATACTCCCCGCCTGACCCACAACGCTCCTCGCCACGCCCTCCAAACTCAGCCCACTCAGCCTAGTCTCGCTATGCTTGATCTTCGCAATCTCATAGACATGCTTCAAAGACACTGTGCCCACGGTGCCCTTGACCGCGTTCCCCACAGTGGGACTACTCGTCGATGTCTTGCCCTTCTGCCCATCGTGGTTGTTCATGGGTCCGGGCACGTTACCAGCACCCCGGATTTTGTTCTTTTGGGGCGCGACGCCGGCAGCGGAGAGGAGCAGGGTTGCGGTGGGTGGTGTGCGCAATTGGAAGTGGAAGGAGCGGTCTGGGCGGACTGTTATGCGTGCGGGAATCGGGGTGCCGACTGTGTAGTGGGCGGTGCGGGCGTTGAATTCCTGGGGTGGTTTGTTAGGACATACATGTTGTGTAGGTGTGGTGGGTATGGAGGGTGAGCTATTGGAAATGGCATGTAGGCAAGGATGGGGCGTCATGAAGATTTAGTAGTTCGTATCATAAGAACTTTGTACTAATAATGGGACAGAGATTGTAGGTGTAGGGATGCTGCATAGGGCATGCGACAGTTGGAGATGATGAACGTACTTTGCAGAAATCCATGCTCTTTACACCTTTGCTTCCTAGCGCTGGACCGACAGGCGGCGAGGGCGACGCTTGCCCTGCGCCTACAATCAGTTTGACGATTTGGTCTTTTGCTATTGCTTTTCGCGCCATGTTGTGAGTGGGGGTTTGGTTTGGTGATGGGGTGGGTGCGCTATGCTGGGGAATTTGCGGAGAGGGCTCGGAGGTGTCGGTCACAGGGTTTTCAGCGCAAATTCGAGTGAACGAATTGACGCGTCAAACGTATCTGGAGGGCAAGGAACGTATATTGCAGTAACAAAGATGCTATTTCGCAGTAAAAATGCATTTTCGGATGTTGGCAGAATGATGATGCTGCCTGCCATCCCACGTGATGACGTGATGAAGCTAGTAGTCGACGCGTCGCAATTCCGCCACCTGCGAGCACTGATCAGCATTTCCACACTACACTCGCTCTCCTTCCAACTCTCACCATATCGACCGAACATAGGCAATAAAACTTCGGACGACACACCAGAAGTGCCAATTTCTCATGCATCGTCCGAAAACCCTCGCAGCCGGCGAGGCCACCCCTGCGAAGCCCGCGGCGCGTCTGTACGGTGGCACTCCGCAGTCAACCGACCGTCTCATCAAACCCTTTCGGTGTCCCGGCTCAGCAACAGTATCCAGTGTTTCTACAAAACCTGCACGGAAGAGGAGGAAGGTCGATTACTCTGGTGCTGGCGGTGAAGATGGAGAGAGCGACAAGCCATATTCGAATGAAGACCGATTAGCTCTCGCCACTCGAGATGCAAACCGATTTCCCGTCTTCAAGCCAAAAGACAAAGACACCGCATTCAGGACCAAGTTCATCGTACCTCTGGTCAACAAGGATGTGGGAGCCTATAATCCGAATCGACCAGCGCCACTGCTTGGTATGCGAACAGGAACCGTCTTTGTTGCGCGACCACTGCACGACCCTAGCGGAGAGTTTGCGATTGTACTCTACGACCCGACAGTCGACGACAAGCCAGTAGAGAAGGAAGAAGTGGAGCCAAAATTGAGCCAAACAGAGAAGCAGGAGATGGAAGCTCCGCTAGTGCACAAGAGTTTGGCCGAGATACTGGGTTTGAAGAAGAAGGTAGACAATGAACGGCCACGCGTGCCAGTCGTCATAGATCCAAGGCTTGCTAAAGTTCTTCGACCCCATCAAGTCGAAGGTGTAAAGTTCCTGTACCGCGCCACAACAGGTATGATCGATCCCAAGGCGAACGGATGTATCATGGCAGACGAGATGGGTCTCGGAAAGACGCTACAGTGCATCGCTCTCATGTGGACGCTGCTGAAACAGTCACCCGATGCTGGCAAGTCGACGATACAAAAGTGCGTCATCGCTTGTCCGTCGAGTTTAGTGAGGAATTGGGCGAACGAGCTTGTCAAATGGCTTGGAAAGGACGCTGTCACCCCTTTCGCCATTGACGGCAAGGCATCGAAAGAGGAGCTTATCCAGCAAATACGACAATGGTCGATCGCATCCGGACGCGCAGTTGTCAGACCTGTCCTCATTGTATCATACGAAACCCTGCGCCTCTACGCCGACGAGTTTGGACAAACACCTATCGGTTTGATGCTTTGTGATGAAGGGCATCGACTGAAGAACGGTGACAGTTTGACATTTACTGCGCTCAACAACTTGAACGTGCAGAGGCGAGTCATCCTATCGGGTACACCCATTCAAAACGATCTATCAGAGTACTTCGCTCTACTCAACTTTGCCAACCCAAACTACCTCGGGACACGTATGGAGTTCCGCAAGCAATACGAAATCCCCATTTTGAAAGGTCGCGATGCCAACGGTACAGACGAGGATGTCAAGAAGGGCACTGAACGGCTCAACGAGCTTCTTGGCTTGGTCAATAAGTTCATCATTCGGCGAACCAACGACATCCTCTCCAAATACCTACCAGTCAAGTATGAGCACGTTGTATTCTGCAACCTCGCGCCTTTCCAGAAGGATCTATACAACCACTTCATTAAGTCACCCGACGTCCAGAGTCTCCTCCGTGGCAAGGGCTCACAGCCACTCAAAGTCATCGGCATGCTCAAGAAACTCTGCAACCACCCCGACCTTCTCAACCTTCCCGAAGATTTGCCCGGCTGCGAAGATAAGCTACCCGACGACTTCGTGCAGAAGGATGCGAGAGGCAGAGATCGCGAAGTCAAGGTCTGGTACTCTGGAAAGATGGCTGTCCTGGATCGTATGCTGGCTCGCATCCGTGCGGAGACAAACGACAAGATCGTGCTGATTTCCAACTACACGCAAACCCTCGACATCTTCGCCATGCTCTGTCGGTCCCGCGGCTACGGCTGTTTCCGCCTTGACGGCACAATGAATGTATCTAAACGGCAAAAGCTCGTCGACAAATTCAACGACCCCGAGTCCCCCGAATTCGTCTTCCTCCTTTCCTCGAAAGCTGGTGGATGCGGTCTCAATCTCATCGGCGCCAATCGCCTTGTCCTCTTCGACCCAGATTGGAATCCAGCTGCTGATCAACAAGCACTCGCGCGTGTATGGCGTGACGGCCAAAAGAAGGATTGTTTCGTATACCGCTTCATCACCACAGGCACCATTGAAGAAAAGGTCTTCCAGCGCCAATCCCATAAACAGGCTTTATCGAACTGTGTCGTTGATTCTGCGGAAGATGTTGAGCGCCACTTCTCTCTCGACTCCCTTCGCGAACTCTTCCAGTATCGCGACAACACTACGAGCGACACGCACGATACTTTCAAGTGCAAGAGGTGTAGGAAGGAAGATGGAAGGCAGGTCATCAAGGCGCCGGCTATGTTGTATGGTGATACGAGTACGTGGAATCATTTTGTTAACGATGGGGAGACGGGGCCGTTGGGTAAGATTCAGGACTTGTTGCTTAGGCAGGAAACGGCGAACGATTTGAAGGATGTTAGTGCTGTGTTTCAGTATATCAGTCACTGAGTGGTGGAGGTTGTTTGCATTTTGTCTGAGAGTTTTTTTTTAGCGTTCGGGAAGCGTGGCATCGCGAAAGGCGTTGTTGCTTAGTGTTTGATGATAATGAATATGACATCTTTATGTTAAGCTTGGAAGGGTCTGACACCATGTGCAGAAGGTGCTGTTTGGTACCATGGCCGTCTTGTCGTTCGCTATCACGGTGCTTTTCTCTGGTACCTACAGAATGAGTGCTGATATAACATCTCGGCCTACGGTGTATCAACAAACAGACACTGCTCGCATCCGACCGAGATGTTTGGTCTATTGTTATGAAAGCAAGGCCGAATGAGAGCCACCATGTTAGTCATACTTCCAGGATATGAGATGACTATCACACCGATACGTACCATACTCCCACCATGCGCAAAACTCGGAGCAATTAGACTACCACTGGTACCGTTCCGTTACATGCTCACCTACCTTTACCAGTCCGTCACACGCGCACCCATATCAACACTGAAAACAGCTCCACCGTCACCATCATCTTGCCGCAAACCAAGGTCAAAAATATGAAGAATCCGTCCGAACACTATCGAGCGCGAGACCTACAAGGGTTTCGGCACCTGCGAATCTGAGAATTTTCATGTGCGAATACTTTTTGGCTCAGGTTCCAAAAGGTGGTCCCGAATGAACCATTCCGAGCACACTAGCGCCACTTGGTCTGAGCTTCAACATTTCGTAGACAGCTCCACCGTCCGTCACGACCTCCACACCACAAACTTCGCACACCCCAATATTCTCGACACGATACCTACCGAACCCTCGCGCGCACCACACAGCATGGATTCGAAACGCCGCAAGACCGGCGACCAAGACATCAGCGCGCTGAGGCTTGCGTCGCGCCAGAAATACCTTGCCGAACGAGAAGCGCAACAACTCGCCCTACTTCGCCGCCAGGTTGCAGAGGAAGCAGAAGAGGAGGAGAGATTAGGGGACAAATTATCAGCAAGGGAACGTCAGGAGTTTAGAAACAACAGGAAAACTCTGGAGTTGGCAGAGGCGCGTAATGCTATCGATGATTCGGGAGAAGGCTACATACTGCCCGATGCGGACTATTCGAATAAGCATGAGGCCCTTACCAAACGACACAAAGACAAGGTCTATGAGAAGAGCGAGGTTCAACTATGGGAAGAGGAGCAGATGAAGAAGATCAAGAGTCAGCCTAAGCCCAAGGCATCGGATCGTGTTCAAGAGGAGGACTATGAGTACGTCTTCGACACATCCAACGAAGTACAGTTTCAGGTGGATGCCTCGACTCGTGTGGATGTGGACAAGCAGATGTTGCAGCGCCAGCTAGATGAAGCAGAGAAAAGGGCTTCTAGTATTGAGGACGTCCGACGAAGTTTGCCGGTCTACAAGTTCCGGGACGAACTACTCGCCGCCGTGGATCAGCATCAGGTTATCGTTGTCGTCGGTGAAACTGGATCCGGAAAGTCGACTCAAATCCCGCAATACGTCCATTCTGCTCTTGATTCGAGCGGTATGATTGCTGTCACACAACCACGACGAGTTGCGGCTATGAGCGTTGCCAAGCGTGTAGCAGAAGAGTTTGGCTGTAAGCTTGGGAACGAAGTGGGTTACAGCATTCGTTTCGAGGACAAGACTGGGCCGAAGACAAAGATCAAATTCGCCACAGACGGTGTATTGCTACAGGAGGCGAAGTCCGATCCGCTACTCTCGAACTACTCTTGCATCATGATTGACGAGGCCCACGAACGGTCCCTACAATCCGACTTGCTACTGGTTCTCTGCAGGGAAGTTTGCCATGCTCGACCAGACTTCAAACTCCTCATCCTTAGTGCTACTATCAACGCTGCGCACTTCTCACAGTACTTCCACAACTGTCCTATCTTCTCAATTCCTGGTCGAACCTTTCCCGTGGAAGTTTTGTATTCTAAAGCACCAGAAGCAAATTATCTTGCAGCAAGCATCACGACTGTGATGCAGATACATATTTCTGCAGAGCCAAAAGGGGACATTTTAGTCTTCTTGACAGGTGAGGAAGAGATCCTAGCGGCTGCGGAGAGCATAGAGGAAACGAAGAAAAAGCTTGGATCAAGAATTAGAGAGCTCGTCGTGTGCCCTATCTACTCTGCCCTCCCGCAAGATTTGCAACAAAAGGCGTTCGAGCCAGCCCCTCCTAATGGACGCAAGGTTATCTTAGCTACCAACATCGCTGAGACCAGTGTGACCTTCGAAGGTGTGAGGCATGTTGTCGACACAGGCTACAGCAAAGAAAATACTTGGGACAGTGTTCGAGGATTGTCATCACTGGTCATAACACCAATTTCGCGTGCCAACGCAGACCAGAGAAAAGGAAGAGCGGGTCGTACGTCATCTGGCTGGTGCTATCGATTGTATACTCGAGCCGCCTACTACAACGAGTTACAGCCTGAGAACATACCCGAGATCCAACGTACAAACCTCGATGAGGTCGTGTTAAGCCTCAAGCAACTCGGGATAACTAACTTGCTTGAGTTTGAGTTCCTGGACAGCCCTTCGAGCACGTCGATGATCAAGTCTCTTGAGAACTTGTACGCCCTGGGAGCTTTGGACTCCACAGGAGCTTTAACTCGATTAGGTCGAAGAATGGCGGAGTTACCTTTGGATATCAAGCTATCGAAGGCTATCATTGAGTCCGAAAAGTACGGTTGTAGAGAGGAAATCCTCTCGATCGTTAGTATGACGGGAGAATCTGCGACCCTGTTCCTTCGGCCCAAAGACAAGAAGGTTGCGGCTGACGCTGCACGCAAAAGGTTCACATCGTTAGAAGGGGGTGACTTCATAACGTATCTCAACATCTGGAACGAATTCGTTGAAAGTGGTTACGACCCAGGGTGGGCACGTGAGAACTATCTTCAAGGAAGGGTTCTTACACGTGTGCGAGACGTTCGTGACCAATTGGAGCGACTGGCCGACCGCGTCGAGGTGCCGGAGTCGTCATGTGGTACGGATCATATCGCCATTCGAAAGTGCCTTACCGCCGCGTTCTTCACAAATGCAGCGAGGCTGCAGAGAGATGGGCAGACCTACCGTGTCCTGGCAAACAGCGGTTTGACCGTCCACATTCACCCCTCCTCTCCCCTCAACGAAAGCCGACCGAAGTGGTGCATATTCGCTTCTCTGCAGGCAACCTCGAAAGAGTGGATGATGACCTGTGCACCTATAGAGCCAGATTGGCTGGTCGAGGTAGCACCTCACATGCACACCGAGAGCTCAATCTCCAAGCTCGGCGATAACAAGAAGATGCCAAAGGCGCTGCAGGAGAGGTCGAAGACCAGCGCTGGTCACAACACGACGATCAAGAGTGGGATGCCCATGGGCCAGAAGTAGGTCATGGTAGCGGAATTTACTCTCTCTCTCTCTCTCTCTCCTTGTTCTTGGAGTTGAGGAATCCTGGGGTTATGTCGTCGGCCGACATGTATAAGGTTTGGGGCAGAGTGGTGTCTACTACCCTTGGTATGCGTCAGGTATGGTGATAGTGTAGCAGTTCTTACAGAGCTCACTTCTTGTAGGAGTCAGGGTTGGGCGTTTTGGAAGGAAAAAAAAGGTCACAATGTTCGATATGATACCCGATCTCATGTTTTATCTTCATCAGGCGTTTTCGAGTCTTTGCGTAGTACGACAGAATGGAAAACGTCGAGTCAAAACACACAATTTCACATATTCCGTTGCCTATATTGCGAGCTAAGTATTGTACTATCTCCTACATTCATCGCTCTTTATCGTAAAACTCTCCCTAATCTGACCGCCATGTATATACTACACTATATCCCATCCCTGAAACACACACTTTTAAGCATCCACTGGAACTTCATACTCCCTCTCCCCCTCTGTACTAAACAACACCACCACACTCTCCTCCCCTAAGCCCAGCACTCTTTTCGTCTCCCCATCCCCACAAACTTTCTTCAACGCCGTCAACGTCGCAGCTCCACACGGCCCATTCCTGACCCCAGTTTCATGCAACTCCAACAAATCATTGTGAACATGGATATCCTCTACCGTAACACTTAAATCCACCCCTTTTCTCAGCACGTCCCATGCCGTCGTGGATGTGGTTCCACAGTTCATCCCGTTGCATATCGTATGGCCAGTTTGAATGGGTGTGATTTTTCCGGCGGAGAGGGAAGCGAGAAGACTGGCTGCTGTGGAGGGTTCGACTGTGATGACAGAGGCGGGTGGGGAGTTGGAGGGGGCCTTGTAGTGCATGGTTACGGCTTGCGCCCAGGAACCTACTCCGCAGGCGGCTATGGCGTGGGTTACAGGGGGGATGTGCATGGCTTTGAGCTGGGCGTCTGTTTCGGTGAGCATGGTAGTGTAGCCTTCTACTACCCACTGCTTCCCGTTAGTCTGCAGTTCTGATCGAAACCGTGTAAAGTTTGGTAGATGGTGATGTGGGTTGCGTAGCTAGTTGGGTAATCACGCACCTGGGGTATCTCTTCGTATCCTTCCCAAGATACATCCATGACTAACATGGCTCCCTTGCCTTCTGCTTCTTCTCTAGCTTTTGCAATGGAGTCGTCGTAGTCTCCGTCTACCACTCTCACTTCTGCGCCTTCGCTCCTGATCTTCTCTTGCGTCGCTTCGTCCATGAAACCAGGAACGAAGACGACGGCTTTGATCTCCAGATACTTTGCCATTCGCGAAACAGCTCTACCCCAGTTCCCTTCCGTACACGCAACTAGTTCGATACCCGCTTCTCTTGCTGCAGTGCCAAGTTCATCTAGGGTAGCAGACAGTGGGAGGTGGCATTTTGATGCAATAGCCTTGTGGATGGCCCACGACGCGCCTAGGATCTTGAAGGCTGGAAGACCGAGACGGTTGGATTCGTCTTTTAAGAGGACATGACGCAGGCCGAGTTGTTTGGCTAGGTCTGGTAGGGGGATGAGGGGAGTGACGGAGTAATCTGGGAGGGTGCGGTGGAAGGGCTCAACTGTTGGGTTTGCAGAGGGTCCAGGGTACTCCCAAGAGGCTGCCGATGGGTTGTGGAACATGGTGACAGAGGAAAGGAATATGAGGTGATGGATTTAGTGTTCAAGCATACATTTGAAATGATATCAGTTGGAAGATTACTTCCATCCAACCTTTCTGGAGCAGCGCTTTCATGTATAGTCCATGAATCGTTCGCAGGGCGTGCCCAGCCTGATTGCTGGGTGGGCGTCTACATGGTGTAAGTTCTGTACATTACTGCAAGCCATCACGAATAACATGCGCGTCTCTTCCGACGGGAAACGCTCAAGTTGGTCAACTTGGTTAGGGCTAATCGTGGGGGTGTGGGACCAAGTAGCTGTTCAGGGTCCGGCCCACGTACGTCATCCCCGAGGCTCTTTACGCAGCTGCCTTTGCGCATGTGTTTCACAGCATACTCCAGCACCTGCGACGACAAACCACGACAATGTCACAGCAAGGAGTGCATGCAGCGCTGGGGAACATATCAAGAGTTGTAGTGCAACCGACAGTGGATAATGTTATAGCGTCCACGTACCTCGTCAAGGTATTCGAAGGAATTCTGCTGTGCTTGTGCATATGCTAATAGGCAACAGGGCATCGTCTTCTTCCTCGCGCACCCGTTTCTATACCCTCTGCTCAAGGCGCGGTTACTCCCCGCAGTCCTTCTCAGCATCTTCGTGCTTACCAACCTCTTTGTGTGGACATTGCTGCCACAGGTTCTCTTCCTCAAGCTGTTCCACACAGCAGGTAGTGCCTGGGTCAACGCCGTATTCCTCGTCTTGGGAGAAGGGGCCGCGGTCGTCGCATTACTCTTCGAGTCCTTCTTGGTGGTTCGTACACCCTCTCATATCTAACACGCATATCCTACAGGCACTAACATTCATACCCTTAGGACGAGTCCCAAGTCGACGTCTTCGACGCCGTCCTCATCTACAAAGGTTACGAAGACCTCGTTCGCAAACATCGCCCCGTCAGCGAAGATTCCCTCAACGACCCCGTACGCCGCCTCGGCAAGCCCATACGCTCATCTGTCTATGCGCCCTTTTCGTTCCGCCAGATCGCTGAGTTTGTGATACTGCTGCCTATGAACTTTATACCCTATGTCGGAGTGCCAATATTTCTTTTGTTGACGGGATATCGCGCAGGCCCGTTCCAGCACTGGCGGTACTTTCAGCTTTTGGGATACGACAAGAAGCAGAGGAATGCTGCGATTAGGAAGAGGAGATGGCAGTATACTTGGTAGGTCAAACGCCTCGATGGGTTGATCAGAATAAGGCTAACATAAACAGGTATGGCACTGTGTATTTGGTTCTACAATACGTGCCGCCGCTCAGCATGTTCTTTCTCATGACGGCGCCAGCCAGCTCGGCGTTGTGGGCGGGGGACTTGGAGAGGGCGAGGAGGGAGCAGGAGGCGAACCTGGCGCAAGCGCCGCAGTACACGGACGAGCCTGACGCGGGTGTATGATAGTACACCGCATAATCTTATCTAGCTGTTCGGAACTCACCGACTGGAAGACAGTATAGCATCAATGTTTGAGCTAGCAGGTTGTTGCTCAGGTCCCCAGATGATCGGAGTGCTGAGGTCATTGAAGCTTGACGCGCGTGATCACGGGAAGGTTTCGCGCGATGGTTGCAAGATTTGCATGCTGCCACGATGTGTGGACAAAGCAAAAGGCGTGAATTGTCAACTGTCAGTCTATTGCCCAATCGACTCGGTCAGCTGGTGCAGTACCATATTGTCGTGTCTTGCCTTGCTGGTCGACCTCGGTTCCCACAGTGACGGCGGATCCGGTACCTGCGCCAACGGACCTCGAACAGGGAACGTGTCACGCTAGTCGCACGGCGGCCAGGCAGCACTGATCACATTCGTCATTCGCCCGCCGCGCCTTCCCCAGCCCCATAGATAGCTGCAGCTTGAGCTCCATCCCCAACACACCTGACATTCACTCACTCCATCTCTCCCACTCCCCCATCCATCATCCATCCATCCAACCTTTCCCCTTCTATAACCATCCGAATCCATTAACCGTCCGCCATCATGAAGACGGCGGTGCTTCTCGCAGCAGCCACCTCGGCCTCTGCGGCCGTCTACAAGACGCCGCTCAAGAAGGTCTCTCTGTCTGAGCAGCTGGTAAGCCATCATCGCAACCAAATGCGCGAGGTCGCAGTCTAACGACAAGTAGGAATTTGCCAACATCGAGACCCAAATGGCTGGCCTCAAGCAGAAGTACTCTCAGCAGCACATGACCGACCTCAAGTCGCAGTCGCAGTCTCACATGGAGGCGGCGTTGAAGGCACCCTACATTGCCGACGGAACCCACCCCGTGCCCGTCAGCAACTTCTTGAACGCGCAGTGTACGTGTCAATAGCTACCAGTCTCGAGTGGCGACTAACAGACGCAGACTTCTCCGAGATCTCGCTCGGCACTCCTCCTCAGACCTTCAAGGTCGTTCTCGACACTGGAAGCTCCAACCTCTGGGTCCCCTCGCAGAGCTGCAACTCGATTGCCTGCTACCTTCACACCAAGTACGACTCTTCAGCGTCATCGACATACAAGAAGAACGGCACCGACTTCGAGATCCGCTACGGATCCGGCTCGCTCAGCGGCTTTGTCTCTCAGGACGTCTTCCAGATTGGCGACCTCAAGGTCAAGCACCAGGACTTCGCTGAGGCGACGTCCGAGCCCGGTCTTGCCTTCGCCTTTGGTAGGTTCGACGGCATCATGGGTCTTGGCTACGACACTATCAGTGTCAAGGGCATAGTCCCTCCCTTCTACAACATGCTTGACCAGGGTCTCTTGGACGAGCCTGTTTTCGCCTTCTACCTTGGCGACACCAACGAGGGCCAGGAGTCCGAGGCTACCTTTGGTGGCATCGACGAGAGCCACTACACTGGCAAGATGGTCAAGCTTCCCCTCAGGCGCAAGGCCTACTGGGAGGTTGATCTCGATGCCATCACCTTCGGCAAGGAGACGGCCGAGATGGACAGCACTGGTGTTATTCTTGACACCGGTACATCTCTGATTGCCCTTCCTTCCACCATCGCCGAGCTCTTGAACAAGGAGATCGGTGCCAAGAAGGGCTTCAACGGCCAGTACTCGGTTGAGTGCGACAAGCGTGACAGTCTGCCCGACCTCACCTTCACTCTTACCGGCCACAACTTCACCATCAGCGCTTTCGACTACATCCTCGAGGTTCAGGGATCTTGCATCTCTGCCCTCATGGGTATGGACTTCCCCGAGCCAGTAGGACCTCTTGCTATCCTCGGTGATGCTTTCCTCAGGAAGTGGTACTCGGTATACGACCTCGGTAACTCTGCTGTCGGACTTGCCAAGTCCAAGTAAGACAGCGGTTGTCGAGTGTGGATACGATACAGCTTCAGGAACGTCATGGTTATGACGGCGTTTGGATCAAATTGTAGTTGGGTATAATGACTTGGGTATCGGTTCTACAGTAGCACAACAGCAAATGCGAAGAATAAAGTAAAACTGTCGTGCATCGTGATGTGGTGAATACATGTCGAGTCGACGGACCTGGCTGATTGTCGCGCCCCCAGCTGTCAACGCGTAAGCTATTATAGTCTGCGCTAGACGGACGGCTACGGTCGGTCCCCAGGCGTTTACACGTGCACCTATCGATAAGCTCAACCAATGACGTCTTCGGGACGGCCGCGACGGATACGGATGGCTTGCAGCTCAGGCATCCTAGAAGCATGTGGGATGATAACGGCTTGGAGGAGGACATTAGAATTAATACGCTATTCACTTCACTCCACTGCTACCGGTCACTGTTGTTGCCTAGAGGTGTGCGTGGGTAACCTTATCGTGTCACGCTAGCAGGTACCCCGGAGCGTGGATCTCGTGGCTGACGAGCGTGCATAGCTCGCAGACGTACAAGTCATTCCGGCAAACGCGAACGCCCCCAATATGTGACTGTTAACAGAACCTGTCAACTGCCTTGCAGCAAGAATCACGAAATACACGTCTGGACTCACTCCAACCTTTGCGTAAATCTGCCTCGCCTTCGCCGCGGTACATCCGCCAACACAGACGCCCGCAACCTCACCTCACCAATAAACTGTTGAGCGCCCGCGCACTCCACCACCCCCTCGCCCAACCATGGCAACCTCACAAGACAGAGGCCGTGACAGGACAAGTCGCCGTCTGAGCCGCAAGCGAAGAAACTCGGCGCGAGAAGCACGCGGTATGTCGCTCGACGTGCCAGAGCGTTTTCGAGATGGAGACGATGCACAAGAAGACGTTACGGCGCCGAAGCGCAACAACACCATGTCGATGAACCAGTCGCTCTTCTCCATGATAGCACGTGCAGGGCAACAATCACAAACAGACCTGGGTACGATGGCTGAGGTTGACTCGGGGGATAGCGATGATGGAGGTGGGAAGCGGAAAACATACAGGAACCTCGACGGCGCAGCACGATTGAGTCGACTGAGTTCCGCAAACGACTTCCAGAGTGCGGAGCAAGACGCAGATGATAAGTTGGACAAGGGAAAGCATAGACGGACGCTTTCTGAGAATAAATACTTGCGCAACTTGCCCAAGTTGAAGTTATCGAGCAGGAAAGAGGGACAAGCGCAAGGGCGGACGTCGAACCGCAGCGATCAGAACCAGATGTCAAGCAGCCAGTTCTTGCCGCCGAAGCCGTCGCCAGACGACCTTGCGAGTCCACCGCCGCCGAGCGCGACGCCGACCAAGACCAAGACCAAGGACAAAGACAAGAAAGACATCGGCGCCGGCGAGGACATGGCGGTAGACAAAGCACAGGCCTCTAGTCGCAAGAGCAGACATGGAAGCAGCGCCGGGCTAGCTAAGAGCAAAACGCCCGTCACGCTCGCGCAGAGGATACAGCAGATATTTGAATTCGAAGAGGTGGAAGAAGTCATTTCCGAATACGCATGCTGGCTGCTTCAGAGCATCTTGCTGCAGGGGTACATGTACGTTACGCAGAAGCATATATGCTTCTACGCCTATATCCCTAAGAAACATCACGATGTCAGCAAGACGGGCTATCTGTCGAAGCGCGGCCGGAGCAAGTTTAATCGGTATTGGTTCGTATTGAAGGGGGATGTCCTAGGTTACTACACCAACCCCGCCGAATTGTACTATCCCCGGAACCGGATCAATTTGCAGTACGCGATTTCTGCCGAGGTCATCGATCCCTCCTCCGCCAATACCAAGAAAGGGGAAGAAGAGACCAGCTTCGCCATCACTACGGACGAGCGGCGCTACCTGTTCAAAGCGGATTCCGCAGCTAGTGCCAAGGAATGGACGCGTGCTATCCAAAAAGTCATCTTCAGGACGCATAATGAGGGGGGCAGTGTGAAGATTTGCTTGCCGATTGGCAATGTGATTGAGATTGAGGAGAGCAAGATGTTGGATTTGGCACAGACGGTGCGAGTGAGGGTTGTGGATAATGATGAGACGTTTGCTATTGATGAGGTACGTTGAGCTGACAAACAAGAGGAGCTTATTTATGTTGAGTTGTAGGGTCCGTCCGACATCTTGTGGGACCCTACAACACAACAGAAATGAGTTGCTTCGTATGAACGACATTCATGCTAATTATGACAGTATTTCTTCTCCTTTTTCAACAAAGGCCAGGATGCGCTGAATGTTCTGCGCATCATGATCAACGATAACGAGCACCACCAGGCTCTGCAGCAGCAGGGTGGTGACGGCGAAGCGTCTACACCAGTAGCAACACCGACTATTAGTACCGAGACACCACACATTCACGAGAACGTTCGGGCTACGCTTTCACCTTTGCCGGCACCTCATGCGGGACGGACCAGTATAAGCGATGTGTCTGCGAGGTCTAGCAATGATGCGAATAGAAAGAGCTGGGATGTGCGACGTAGTATGGACGCGGGCCGCGGCTTTCGACGAACGAGCCAGGAAGTCCGACGGCCTAGTCATGAGGTACGACGGAGCTTCAGTAATAGAGGTCGCCAGGGAGACAGGACTCCGGGGATAGTGGGTGGGGGAGGCAGTGGGGGAGGTGGAAGTCACTCGCGTCAGTCGCCCGGGGCAGCGGACTCGGAATCGGCCTTTGACCCAGGTAAGCTGTGGCTGCACAAAATGCACATGAGACGTACACTGACTTTATATCTTCACCTTTACAGGTACAGAGTCGTCCGTCGCCATCCAATCTATGGACGAGAGCGGCGCCTCCGCTTCTCAAATCCTAGACCGCTCCGACGTTTTCCGGGGACCCGTCAATACGCCTCTTCACAAGCTCGACACACACACCAGACACTCACAGGACACGGCGCGATCGACTCAGCCAAAGTCCGCTAATCGTTCAAAGCGACCCCAAACACCGACTGGCGCGCCTGAGTTCGAAGATGATACCGACAACAGCGCGCAACCGCGCCTATCAGGTTCATCATCCGCTCTACAAGATCTCGCTTCCTACCCGCTTCAGAAGGCTTCGGGCTTGGCGGGCTTTCTCAGAACGCGCTCAAAGAAGATTAGCAATCTACTCACCGGCGGCGAGTCTATGGGTTACTACGAAAAGGTGTCCGGCATGCTTGCAGGTGGGCGAAAGCATTACAACACAGCCGAGGGACTAGAGACTGGCGACCAAATTCACGGGTTCGAGGACGACGAGGATGCCGCGAAGGCTGCGGAGAACTTCCGGGATCACTTCGCCTTCCCCGAGACTGAAGTCCTCCAGTCATCATTCTTCGCGTCACTCCAGCGTCTTGTGCCAAACTATGGCAAAATCTACATCAGTGGGAGATATTTTTGTTTCCGCAGCTTGATGCCAATATCCAAGACTAAGATCATTCTTCCCATGCGGGATATTGAGAATGTCAACAAGGAGAAGGGATTTCGACTAGGCTACCATGGTCTCACCGTCGCCATCAAGGGCCACGAAGAGCTCTTCTTTGAATTTTCAAAGGCTGAGTACCGCGATGAGTGTGCAATCATGGTGCTCCGCGTTCTGGAGAACACAAAGTACCTCCAAGAGGAGGATTCGTCGTCTTCGGGCGTGGATAGCGATGACGAAGCTGCAAAGGCAGAACACGATTTGCTACAACAAGCTCGCGAACATACCGATACGGACAAGCCAGCTAACATGTCGGATATCGTCCGCGCTGCAGATCACGACCGCATTCCCCTCATTTTCGACGACCCGCTCGCCTCCTTCGTCGACTTCAAGCCCTCGGAGCCCTTGACAATCGTCTGCCTCACCATTGGATCCCGCGGCGACGTCCAGCCCTACATCGCGCTATGCAAAGAACTCCTCAAGGAGGGTCACAAACCACGCATCGCAACGCACGCCGAATTTGAACCCTGGGTCCGTAAACACGGTATCGACTTCGCAGTCGTCGACGGCAATCCTGCAGAGCTGATGCGCATCTGCGTTGAACACGGCATGTTCACCTACGGCTTCATGAAGGAAGCCAATGCCAAATTCCGCGGCTGGCTCGACGACGTCTGCAGCTCCTCCTGGCGCGCGTGCCAAGGCGCCGACGTCCTCATCGAGTCTCCCAGCACCATGGCGGGCATTCACATTGCCGAAGCGCTTGAAATACCGTATTTCCGCGCCTTCACCATGCCGTGGACACAGACACGTGCGTACCCACATGCCTTTACTGTTACAGAAAAGAAGATGGGTGGAACGTATAACAATTACACGTACACGGTTTTCGACAAGGTGTTTTGGACTGCCATAGCCAATCAGGTGAACAAGTGGCGGAGGAGAGAGTTGGGACTGCAGGCCACGAATCAGCATAAGATGCAGGCCAATCTGCGTCCTTTTCTCTACAACTTCAGTCCGCATGTTGTGCCGCCGCCACTGGACTGGCCGGATTGGGTCAGGGTTACTGGATACTGGTTCTTGGACGAGAGTGAGATGTATGAGCCGCCGAAGGAGCTGATGGCGTTTATCGAGAAAGCGAGGAGAGACGGCAAGAAGTTGGTCTATGTGGGCTTTGGATCCATTGTTATTGATGATCCGGCTGCGCTTACCAAGACGGTTGTGGATTCGGTGCTCAAAGCAGATGTCCGCTGCGTCCTCAGCAAAGGCTGGTCTGATCGCCTCATGGACCCTACTACCAAGGATGCTTCGAAACCCGAGATTCCTCTCCCGGAAGAGATTTTCCAGATTCAATCTGCGCCGCATGATTGGCTGTTCCGGCAGATGGATGCAGCGGTGCATCATGGAGGCTCTGGTACTACGGGTGCCAGTCTGCGAGCCGGTATTCCTACCATTATCAAGCCCTTTTTTGGAGACCAGTTCTTCTTTGCGCAGAGGGTCGAGGATATGGGTGTGGGGGTTTGGCTCAAGAAGGTCAATACGAGTGTTTTTAGTCGCGCGCTGTGGGAGGTTACGAATTCCCAGAGGATGATTGTCAAGGCTAAAGTTTTGGGACAGAAGATTAGGAAGGTATGTTTTCTCACTCATGACATCACCCTCTCTCTTTCTTACTTTTATTTCAAACGGTTTTTTTTTACTAACACATGGACAATAGGATAATGGTACACAAACTGCCATTCAAACAATCTACCGCGAACTCGATCGTGCGAAGACGCTCATCAAGAAACAGGCTAAGCAGCCGGGTGATGAGGGGGATGCGACGGATGAAGAGATTGAGGCTGATTGGACGCTTGTAGAGGAAGGCGAGGAGATGGATGCTGTTGCTAAGCATATGGCTGAGCAGGCTGCTATGGGAGGTATACAGCAGGATGCATCGCGTACTGGAGGTGGGTCGTTGGTGCTGGGTAGTATGGTTCTCAAGGGTGGGGGTGGGATGAGGAGGACGAGTGAGTGAGTGAGTCTGTGAAGAGGGAGTAATTGCCATGTTTGAGGGATTGAACGCCTTTCTCTTTTCAACGTTTTGGAGTATGAGCATGGAGTATTAGGCGTTTTTCTTTTTCTAAAGAGAACTTTGACGGACTAGACGTTAATTAGATTGCAAAGATACCACGCGGTTATGAATGTTTATGTACATGTTTAGCATGATGGGTAGATGGATTCTTTAATGTAATCGATGATGATATGGCTTTACTTGCACTCTGCGTGTAGAACTCGCGTGTGACATGGACGTTGAAGAAACGATACAGCACCCAGTGCTACAGATCCGTTTCTTACCTCTCACTCTCTCTCTCAACCAAGCGTCTTGGTCTTCTTCTCCTTCTGCCTCTCCATGACATTAAGAACATCATCCGCATTATTCTTATCTCCCTTTCGCTTCTTCCCTCCCCTCTTCCTCTTCTCCTTCTTTCCCTTGCCACCCGCATCGTCATCATCATCGTCGCCTTCAGCGCCCAGTCCCTTCCACTGACTAAACTTGACCTTCTCGCCCTCCCTCTCCATTTCCTCGGCATCGTCGAACCGCGATGCTCCGAAGCCCATGTCCATGTCTTCCATGTCGCGATCCGACGCGGCAAGCTCCGCAGCACGTTTCTTGAGACGCGCCTCTTTCGAGGCCGGATCGTTGGGGTCGGTAGAGCCAAGGTTTTGTAGTAGTGCGGAGTTGTCGTCGAGGTTGCGGACTTTGGCAAGGGCGGCGCGGACGGTGGCGTCGGCGGCGGAGAGGTCAGATGGTTCTTTTGTGCTGGAGGTGCTGCGGGCTGTGGATGCGAAGTAGTCTCGTTTTGTGGGTGCAGCGGGCGCGCTCTCTTTGGGTTTCGCGGGCGCGTCTTCTTCTGTTTCAGGAGAAGACACCTCACCTTCTAAGTGTGATTCTGCAGTTGTAGTATCGAACTTGGGTACAGCAGGCGGCTGCGGCTTTGCTTCTCTCTCTTCTTCTTGTTCATCTTCGTCGTCTTCTGAGTCATCAAAGTTGGCGAGCGGATTGTAATTAGATCCTACGCCTTGGAATATATCCTCGTCTTCTGACTCTTCCTTCTTCGGCGCAGGGAGGTTGTGCATGTTGATCGGTTTGCTCGCGTCATCTAGATCATGACGTACTTCAGGCGCTGGCTCCTCAACCTTCTGCTTCTTGACCTTCCGTTTCTCCTTGCCGTCTGGACCCGTGATGATTAATACCTCGCGGCCCTTTTCATCCGTCTCGATACGGTGTGTCTCGCCTTGTGCATTTATCTTGCGGAAGCCTGGCCCCAAAGTAGGAAACCTTTTCTCGTGCTCAGCCGCCGCGGCAGCAGCAGCATCTTTTCGTTGTCTCTTAAGGTCCTTCAGGATGTCGTTTCGGCTCCTCTTGACGCCAGCAACAGGCCGTGGTGATGTCATCTTCTCGCCTTTCTTCTCGACCTTCTCGCGCGTAATGGGCCCGACATCCGCTTCTGCCAGCTCATCGAACGCGTCCTCGACTTCTGGTGCCTCTTCTGCCTGCTCGTCTTCCACCTCTTCCTCCTTCTTGTCTTGGCCACCCAGAACATCCTCACCCCGCCTTACTCGCTCGAGGAGCTTCCTGTCCAGGCCCTTGACCAAGTGTGTGGTCCCAACATCACCGCCTGTAATCTCTTGCACAAGATTCTCAAATGTCTCACGGTCAATCTCGCCTTTCTTCATAGACTCCTCGAGGTTCTTGACGCGTTTCGCAATCTCGTTGTCTTCCTCATCGGTGTATGCCTTGGTACGGTCGGTGTAGCCTGCGGCGAGCTTCGTCCCTTTTGGTACTATGTTTCTCGTCTTCTTCTGCGGGTTGTTCTTCGCGTTGCGTTCGGCAAGTTGGCGCGCAAAGTCTGACTGGACTGACCCCTTGCCTACCTGGCGGCTGCGCGACTGTTAGCATCAGTCCTCGTGCGCGAGACAATGTGGAGGAGACTTACGGTGTCATTGGTATGCTGGAGTGCTTGCGTGCGCCCAGCACTGCCCTCGGCGTTGCGGCCGCGGGAGATTTGCCCTTGTCGCCATCTTGAGGCTTTGGTGTTTCGACGAGCAGTCGTCGGAATTGCGAGTTGTTCATTGTGCGCCGAGTGGAGAGTTTGGTACAAAGTCGGGATTCGCAAAAGACGTGCCAAGCCTTTCGCAGGCGTCTTCGGGTTCGCGTCTGCACCGCGCGACAAGTGCGCTAGAGCAGTGTGGCTGGATCAAACGCGGGGAACCTTGGACGCAAGCGCACAACACCAGCCTCGTCTGTTACCAGAGGTATTGCGTCACCACGGGCACGATGATGGACGGGTGGACTTGTCCTCCTAGGTGGACTTTGTCACCGTACTGCTTCCGCCCTAGTTGAGAGACTGTGAGGCTGCACCGCGATCGTCCTTGCGTATGATCAGAAGACTACTGTAGAAGAATACTACCTAGGTATTCAGTTCCCTGTGTGATAGTCACGCCAGATCGCTACCTTGAACTTGTTCTTTCACTTGCCCGGGCTAGGTACCCACCACCCCGCGTCTCCCCCCGCACAAGTACTTGAACCGCCTGATAAATAAATTGGTCTCCCTCACTTGCACCCAGTCTTCTCCAACACACTGTGCGATTCTGACGGCAATATGTTCAAGCTTCTCATCGTGGCGGCTCTCGCTGCCGTGGGCGTCTCCCAGTACAGCCCGCCGCCATCTTTCGGCAACATGACCAACTCATCAACATTTATGAACCCGATCGTGCCCACTGGAGCAGACCCGTGAGTCAAGTCCTCCAGGTAAATACACGGGCCTTAGTCTCCTAACACCATCTAGCTGGATGTTCCGCCACGAAGACTACTACTACATGACCTACACCAACAACGTCAACATAACTCTCTGGCGCAGCAAATCCCTCACCGACTGGTCAACCGCAGAGTCTAAGACCATCTTCCAACCTCCGCCCGACCAACCCTATTCCACCGACCTCTGGGCCCCAGAAATCCATCAGATCGACAATGCCTGGTGGGTAATCTTCACCGCGGACCCCAACTTCGATTCTCCACCCCCAGAGACGGAAATGTGGTGTGAATACAACTGCCCCGCCGTAAACCACCGCATGTTTGTTGCCGTGGGCGAAGCTGATGATCCCTGGACGCCTGAGTACAGCTACCGCGGCCAACTCGAAACTTACGACCAGTTTGCGATTGACGGGACATACTTCCAACACGCTGGCCAATTGTACCACATCTACTCATGCTGGTACCACAAATACGACGGCTGGCCCGCGAACCTCTGCATCACCAAGCTGTCGGATCCATTAACCACCGTGTCACCTTTCTCCGAACGCCAAATCATTTCCGTGCCGGAGTACGCGTGGGAGAAAACACCCTTTGGACGGGCCTCTAATGATCGGCTCTCTTCAAACGAAGGGCCCCAGCAGTTGGTCAATCCAGTCACCAACCAAACCTTCCTCATCTACAGCGCCGCGCGGTCTGATAACCGTAACTACTGTCTCGGCCAGCTGGAGCTTGTAGGCGACGACCCGATGAACCCTAGTGACTGGCGCAAACATCCTTACCCCGTCTTCTACCAGAACCCTAGTGAAAAGGCGTATGGTGTTGGACACGCGTCATTTACTACTTCTCCAGACGGCACTGAGGATTGGATTGTGTATCATGGTATGGAGGATCCGACGAATGGGTGGAGCGCGCGTACGATTCGGGCGCAGAAGTTTGGCTGGAAAGAGGACGGGAGTCCGGATTTCCCTAAGCCGGGATACGGGCCGTATGAGGTGCCTAGTGGGCAGTAGATAGATGTGAGATATGGCGGATAGGTCTACAGGAATAAGAGGCATGCTGTTAGGGTGGGCGCGCGCTTCGATACTGCCCAACCTGCGCGTCTTGCATCTTTTGGGCAGGAGCGACCAGATGCAGTGCTGATCAGGCTCACGGATAATATTTCGCATGATGTCTCTCTTGTATACAGAGCATGGGTACTTGGATATCCTTGGAACCGTAGTGTCATCTTAATGATAATGATTATGATGAACTCTGACGACCACGCGCAGTGCAATATGTCCTTTGCGCAGTACGTGAAGAAGGCCTTACTATAACCCAGCGTTCCAAATCTTTGTGTTTCCTTGATGTGACCTGTTCAAATGCTGCGACTTGCGTGCTTTCGCGTTGCTCTTCCGACGCGTCTTCCCACCGATTAGCTGTACTTTCCGGAAGCAATGCGCGACCCACCACATCGCTTGAATCGACGTGATGAACGCATCTGTAGGGACTTCTGATGTCTCTGTACATATCCCGACGTGATTATGCGATTTTATCGGATCCCATTTCGTGTTGTGGTTGCCATGTGGTGAATATCATCAACAATCTGTATACATATTTTTCCAAATTAGAACTCAACACGTAACAAGTTCAAAAAATTCCAACGCCACCACATCATGTCCAATTTCCCTGAAACTTGAGGTACCAAGTCTTGTATACTATAAAAGTATGTCATATGAATTTTAGATCAACCAGACGTCGGAGTTGTTTGGAATGTGTAGGTCTGCGGAAGTGTCGTTCCGGTGCAGCCAAAGCACCAAAGCACGCATACTTTCTGACCAACAGCACACAACGCGCATTAGGAATGTACCACACGACGGAATCGATATTATATTCTCGTATATTCATTAGACACGAAAGACTACATATTTCCCAGCAATAGAACGTCGCGTTGAGCAGCCGTCAGACACAGCAAAGACATGACGTCATGCATCAAACTGCCATCTTTCAAAATGCCGTGTTCTCTCAAGTGGCAAACAGCGATGAGTCACGTCGTCTCCAGCTAGGCAGCAGCAACAGCGAGCTACAGAAACGACATGCTCATTGTGAAGGAGATGAAAGTCGGTCTGATTGACGTTGGACACTAGCACGACAAAAGGCGGAACAGCACATCATACCAAGTGGAGCCACCACCGCCATGACCACCGCGTTTAGACACAGAACTCAGACGCGTCGCGACGCAGCAGCAGGAGGGACATCACATTGCAAAAGATAGTAGATGAAGTTATTATGGTATCATTCCATGCAAATCAGAACCCTGACTGATATAACCCGTGAACTCCGAGCCTCACTGTACTATACAAAGGCTATGACCATTCCCACCAAGCACCGAAAGGAGCCGACCGTAGACTGAACAAGTCGTAACATGAAAACCGTGATGAAAAGCAAGAAGCGCGCTTAACCACCGAAACCGTACAGAGTACGTCCTTGACGCTTGAGAGCGTAGACAACGTCGAGGGAGGTGACGGTCTTGCGCTTGGCGTGCTCAGTGTATGTGACGGCGTCACGAATGACACCCTCGAGGAAGGTCTTGAGAACACCGCGGGTCTCCTCGTAGATCACTAGAGCTTGTTAGAGGGCGAGTGGAGAAGGCAGAGCGAGGAGACATACTGGCTGAGATACGCTTGACACCACCACGACGTGCGAGACGACGGATAGCGGGCTTTGTGATACCCTGGATGTTGTCACGAAGAATCTTGCGGTGGCGCTTGGCACCACCCTTTCCGAGACCCTTTCCACCTTTGCCGCGACCAGTCATATTGATGGTTGTTGGGGGAGTTGTTTTGGGGAGAGGTAAAGTTGGTTGAGTGAGAGAGTTGTAGAGTTGGTGAGGCTGGTAATGTGCTTGGATGATGAGAAAGATGGAGTGGGCGGCGGTCGTGTTTATGAGGCAGCGGGGCGCGTCCCAGAAGCGCGCCGGATCACACGTCCTGCCACCGCCAGATCAAACCGACGCACGGGCGCGCTTTTCAGATCAACGACCGTGCCCCTTCCCAATCGGGACGCGTGCGTAAGCGAGCCAATGGCGAATGCGCGCGCGACTTGTGGACTTTGGAGTTTTGAAGTTCCAGCTGCGCGCGCATTACCTGGTCGCTAGTTAGCAGTTGACTTTGGTGTTCGTAACTGCGCGCAACAAAGATTGATTTTCCAGGCAGCCGCCCGCCCCCCCATTTACCATATAAGCTGCGCCCGCCCACCCTCCTCCATCTCTCATCCACTCAACTCCACTCACCATCACAACAACCATCTCCATCACCCACCACAACCACATCTCCATCCTCATCTACCAACAACATGGCCCGCACTAAGCAGACCGCCCGCAAGTCCACTGGTGGCAAAGCCCCCCGCAAGCAGTTAGTCTAACCCTCAGCTCTGCCTTTCTCATCGCATCGCAACATACTAACATCACTTCAAGGCTCGCATCCAAGGCAGCTCGTAAGAGTGCGCCGTCTACCGGTGGTGTCAAGAAGCCTCACCGCTACAAGCCCGGAACCGTCGCTCTCCGTGAGATCCGTCGCTACCAGAAGTCGACTGAGCTCCTCATCCGCAAGCTGCCCTTCCAGCGTCTTGTCCGTGAGATTGCCCAGGACTTCAAGTCCGATCTCCGCTTCCAGTCCTCCGCCATCGGTGCTCTTCAGGAGTCCGTCGAGGCCTACCTCGTCTCCCTCTTCGAGGACACCAACCTCTGCGCCATCCACGCCAAGCGTGTCACCATCCAGAGCAAGGACATCCAGCTCGCCCGCCGCCTCCGTGGTGAGCGTGGTTAAGCTTCTCAACAACACATCGACACGACATGACAACTTCTTCGGGTCAGTGATTGGATTGGGTCTTTAGTGGTTAGGATATCAAGGCGTTTATAGGGTTTCATGGTTCACGGTCTTCAACTCGGTTTATGAGTGCACACGAGCGGTGCTGAGCATGTAGTATATCCAGGTTAATCAGTGATGGTCACTGGCGATATTATCTCGAAATCAACAGATTTCTACTTCACATTGCTTCCACTGATGGTGATGTCTTGCTTTGACTCTCATGCTTATCTCACATTCATTTCTTGGTGTTTTGATACGACGAGTATCCGCCTACGCCAATGGTCGCGATCCGGTCCTCATCCCGCAGTATGACGCCCATCGCAGCTAACAACGCGATCATCACGACCGGTCCCTTCCTGAGCGACACTAACATCAAAGACTACTATCATGTCCTTTGCATCACGTTGCGCAATCGCGCATCTCCATTTACTCGATCTAGTACAAACCACTAATTCACCATGACCTGGCAAACCGAACTCAACTCATGGCTGTCGCCACCCAGCGTGCAAACAGCAGAAACGCCCACTGTCGGCCAAAAGGCACCTCCAACACCAAAGCTAAACATACCTGCAAAAGACGGCAAGCCGACCATTATCAGTTTCCTCAGACACTGCGGCTGTCCTTTTGCAGAGAAGACGTTTTTGAATATGAGAGACATGGCAGCGGCGCACAGAGATGTGGACTGGGTGGCTGTGAGCCATAGCGAGCAAGGAGCGACGGAGAGGTGGTTGGCGGCACTTCCTGAGCCTGCGAAGAACACCCAACCCAACCTCCACGTCATTGTTGATGCTGAACGCGAGGTACATTGTGGCCGTACAAAGAAGCTATACAAGACGTATACACTGACCCGTTGCACTTTAGGCATATGGCGCATGGGGCTTGGGCATATCGTCCTTGTGGCATGTTCTCGGTAGTATACCCGGGACGACGAAACTCAAACAAGAGGGCATCAGCGTGCGAGCTACAGAGAGTGGCAGCAGGTGGCAGACGGCGGGCAATTTTGGGATAGACGGAGAGGGGATGGTGAAGTGGGCGAGGGTGGATCAAAGGGCGGATGATATGCCGGATTTCAAGCAGGGCCTTGATGCTGTGTTAGGTGGGAGGTTTGAGCAGGCGGGTGTTGCTGAGGCTATGCAGGGTTGATGGGAGATGGAGAGATTATGGCGGTGTATGAGAGTACTTGTCTATTATTTATGTTGTTGTGTGTGGTGCAGGTGCGGCGTATTGAATGGATGCTGCTGTTCATATGCTGGGTGCAGTGTGCTCGATGAGTTTGGGATGATAACGTAGGCACTCACGCATACTTCCAGTAACGATGAGAAGAGTGGGAAGTACTAGATTGCGTTTTTACTGTTTTACTTCCTGTACACACATTTTTCTATTCGCGTTTTGGTGTTTAATCACCCCTCGATTGGCCCGCCCGCCGATGACCTCACGAGTACACGCGAAAACGCGCCAGCACGCTCAGCGCGTCAAAGAGTCGCCACACACGCACGACCAGCACGTCGCGGCTAGATCATGGCATCATGGCGGCACCAACCACAAAGCTGACGTCGAATTACGCGAGCGAATATGGTTCCGATATCGACATCCAGTCTATCGCGACGCTGAGTGACTACGGCTCCGATATCGACATTGACGACGACACCATACTTGCAGACGCTTTCGACACGATAAGAGACGCGGCGCAAACCCAGAAGAGCGCAGTGCTGCCTAGCATTGAGTTTGAGGAGGGCGAACGAGAAGATGAAGAGCAGGATGTGGATGGCTTCGTGCAGGTACACAGACCCACGGTGCTGCGCGTTACCAAGGGCAAGAGAAGTGTCGACGCGGATACACAGAGGGACATACAGAGTTCGCCTATGCGAGAGCGGAAGGCGCTGGAAGTCGAGTACGACGAGAGATCGCGACGGGCGTGGAGTGGTACGTCGACCAAGAAACCCATAGTAGGAGACATGTCGTATGAACTGACAACTAACAGCGCCTAGTTCCTCACGAACAACCAACCACTCCACCTTCACCTTTGCAATTCCAACCTAAGCGCAGCGCATCGCAAGCTACTGCCGCCGCTGAAACCGACACCCGTCCGCCCCTCGAGCGTTTCCGAACGAAACCCAAGAAATGTCTCTCGGTGACCGATCTCGTCTCCCCGGCTTGGTGCGAATTACAGTACTTTTACACGCTCAGTAAATTCGGAAGGAAGCCACGAACACAGGCTATGAAGACTGGTAGCAAGATCCACCAAACGCTCGAAGACCAAGTCCACACAACGGTGCCGGTGCAGGTTGAAAGCAAAGAAGATGGATTTGGACTGAGGATGTGGAATGCGATTTCTGGGCTGAGGTGTTTGAGGGAGATGGGATTGACGAGAGAACTGGAAGTCTGGGGTGTGATTGAGGGACAGGTTGTTAACGGGGTTATCGATGAGATCAGTTATGTTTGTCCCGACGCGGAATTTGAGCAAGAGGTTGAGAGGGTGAGGGCAGAGAAGAATGGTGGTATTGTTCCTTTGCCACCGAATCAGCCCAGCATCTCAGACGCCTTTGCCAAAGCCTCTGGGAAACCGTCTTCATCCGACCCGTTGCCCTCCACACCAGATCCCTCAGATCGCCAAATCTACATTGCAGATGTAAAGACCCGCTCTGCGAAATCTCTCCCAACCGGTGCGAGTCTACGCCCTACATGGATGCAACTCATGCTCTACCGCAAACTCCTCGAATCCCTCTCTTTAAACACCGTGGATGCGGAGACTGTCCTGCAGCGCTACAGTCTCGACCCACTTGCGCCTTTTACGCAAACCTTTTTGGGTGAAATCTCTTCCATAGGTCCGCACGGGAACCCAGAGTCCGAAGCGACAAATTACCCAAATCTACTCTCACTATGGAGTCTGCTCGTCACAGAGATGCAAGAAACGTTTCCAAGGGGAAGCTTGAGCCCGATACTACGGGCGGAGTTTCGGTACGCAAAGACGGGAGATGTGCTTGGTAGTCGGCTTACGGTGTACGAGCCCGAAGTCATTGATGCGTATGTTGGGAGTGAGATGGCTTGGTGGAAAGGTGCGAGGGAGGCCAAGGGTGTGGAGATTGAGGAGGCGTTTAAATGTCGGATATGCGATTTTGCTGAGTCGTGTACGTGGAGGAAGACGAAGGTTGAGGAGGCTGTGGAGAAGAGTAGGCTTCGGAGGGAGGGGAAGGCGAAAGCTGTTGTTTGAGGAGGATGGGTTTGGTAGGGTGTGTGTGTGTGTTGGTGTTGTGATGGTATGGTAACGTAGTGACGATGTTCATGAATACCGATATTGCTTGATGATGTAATGAATTCTTATCCTGCATGAATATGGGGGCTATCCTTCTGCATGTCTGGGTGAGTGGGAGAGGTGGAGAAGAGGATGCCGGAGGTCTTGTTTGGTAGTATTGACTGAGAATGAAAAGAATACGTCGCATTTAAGTCTGACTATTGATTAGCTGGTTTTCCGCAATGGCTGTGGCATAGGTGCTTTGGTGTGCGATGCAGTTGCAGTTTGGGGAGTGTTAATCGTCTTCAGATCTCTAGCAAGAGGTGATGTAATATAGTTCGACCAACCATACCTCAGTAGACGTCTCGTTGCTTACACTATATGTGACTGAGAAAAGCTCAACGCAATCACATAGCCTCCGCCTTACATTCCATCAGCGACCCCTAACTTTTCCGCTACACTAATAAAACCCTTACTGCCCTCTTCCAATCCAATCCACAGATCTACCCAGCCCGCCTCCCTCGCCTCCTTGATCTCCTCTTCAGTCCAATCTTCCTCCCCAGCCCTCTCCACGTAAACAGTCTTCAGACCGTTTCCATGTGCAGCTTTGAGATCAGGTAGATGCGCAGCCACCATAACACACTCCTTAGGTTCCAAACCAAGTTTCTCCGCCGCCCCAAGATATACTTCCGGCGCAGGTTTGTAAGTGCCGAACATCTCAGCCGAGAAGATGTGTATAAAAGGTATCCCACTGTACGCACGGAGATCTGTAAGAAGACTCACATTCCCGTTCGAAAGCATGGCTGTTGCAAATCGTTTGTTGAGTAACTCAACGCCGGCGGCAGAATCTTCCCAAGGGACTAATTGGTGCCAGACTAAGTTCAGAGCAAGAATCTCCTCGTCATTCCACAGGCCATCAAGCTCCCATTCCGTGATAAGCTGGTTCAACGCGCTCAAGTGGTGGTCGTCGACTGATTTCCACGGGATTGAGGGGTCAGCGGCTAGTTGTTTTGTGAAAATCTTGTAACTGTTTCGCCATTGCTGGGCGAACTTCCCCCAGTGCTCATCTGTCATTTCCGATGCTCGCAACCGTAATTTAGATGCCAATGATGCGGTTGCTGAGTTGAGCGACTTGTGGGCTGCGAGGGAAAGCGCACTAGTGACGGTCGCGCGCCAGTTGACGCAGGTACCGAATACATCGAAGAATAGTGCGCGTGGTGGAGGGGACAGAGACATGGTTATGCTGGTAAACTGCTGTGTAGAGGCTAGAGGTAGTAGTCTCTGCGGGCTGCAGTCTACTTGGCTGATGGTTGAAGGCATGGGGTTATGTACGTCATCGGGAATATGCACGGAGTAAGAATGTCCGTAATACATCTCACAGAGTCGAGGGCGTCTGGAACCCACTCACGGTTTTTCATATCGAATAGGACGAAGTTAGGCTGCATCTATCTAGCTACGCGATCTGAGTAGCTTCAGAGTTGAGTCTTCACGAAGCAGTCGTGCGTCAAAGCTTAATGTCTAGCCTCCCAGCCACCTCCGCATCTCGACATTCTTCACACCAAGCTCTCTACCACAACCGGCACGAATGTCACATATGAAGGGACCTACGATAAGGAGAAGTTAGAACTCACTTGACATCATTCGTAAGTCGATGCGCTTACAGTCAGCATCCGACCAGGCGGGATGCCGTCCCCAGCCGTGCCCAGGTGTTAGCACCCCGCTAGCGCTTTGCGGGGAGCTCCAGGGCTTGGGGTAGTCCGAGCCATCTCCTTCCGAGGTCAGCATCGTCGGTCCCCTTGGACCGATCGGCAAAGTCTAAAAGATCAATGCTCATGACGCCCATATGCTCTTCGCGAAGAGCAACTCGTGCTTTACTGCATTCACCATCTCCAAGTTCAGCGTACCGCCATTTGCTTCCCTTTCAGCTTGTCGCCCACACGTCTGTGCTAGCTTCGCCACTGCATCTAGCAGACTGCTTTCATCACATAGTCAATTAACATCATCCATCCGGATTGACAAGATGCCTCAAGAGCACATCCAGGATCAGGTCTACGCGGCCTCCATCAACAACCCCGAGCAGTTCTGGCAGCGTCAAGCGAACAACCTATACTGGCATAAGAGGCCGTCTACAGCGTTCCAAAGGAGCACCAAGCACTTAAAGAAGAGCAATGTGTCACATGAGCACTGGGAATGGTTTGCCGATGGTGAGATTTCAACAACATACAACTGTGTGGACCGCCATGTGGCAAACGGTAACGGCGAGAGGGTCGCGATTTGCTGGGATAGTCCAGTGACTGGTCAGAAAGAGCAGTACACATATCAGCAGCTTTTGCAAGAAGTAGAGACACTGGCAGGTGTGTTGAGGGAAGAGGGAGTCAAGAAAGGCGATGTCGTATTGATTTACATGCCGATGATACCAGCTGCGCTGTTTGCGATGCTCGCTATCGCCAGGCTTGGAGCTATACATGCGGTTGTGTTTGGTGGCTTCTCGCCGGCGGCACTGGCCCAGCGGATCGAGGCAAGTCGCCCTGTCGCGATCATGACGGCTTCTTGTGGGATTGAAGGAGCCAAGAAGCCCACCGAGTACAAATCGATGATTGAAGGCGCCGTTCACAAGAGTAGCTTCAAGCCATTCAAGACGATTGTTTGGCAGAGAGAGCAGCTAAGATGGGATCCGATAGTCAAAGAGGAGGGTCAAAGAAACTGGCAACGACTGGTCAAGAGCGCGAAGAATAGAGGTTTGAAGGCAGATGCTGTGCCTGTTAGAAGCGGCGACGGACTGTACATCATTTACACGTCGGGTACTACCGGGCTACCAAAGGGTGTTGTTCGCTCAGCAGGGGGTCACGCTGTTGGACTGAACTTTTCCATCAAGTACCTGTTCGGAGTCCATGGTCCAGGCGACGTTATGTTCACGGCAAGCGATATCGGTTGGGTTGTTGGGCACTCTTACATTGTCTACGCTCCACTGCTAGCTGGTGCTACTACTGTGCTTTTCGAGGGCAAACCCGTCGGAACCCCCGATGCGAGCACATTCTGGCGCGTCATCGAAGACTACAAAGTGACGACCATGTTCACCGCTCCCACAGCTCTACGCGCAATTCGCAGGGACGACGGTGACAATGAGTTTTTCGAGGAAAGAGGGCAAAAGGGTGCCCTGAAGACACTCAGGGCGCTTTTCCTGGCAGGAGAAAGGAGCGAACCGAGTATCATCCAGATGTACCAGAAACTGCTAACAAAGCACTGCGCTCCAGGTGCCATGGTTGTAGACAACTGGTGGTCTTCCGAATCTGGCTCACCTATCTCAGGCATCGCACTCAGCGCCTCTGCTGGGTTGGATTTCTCTTCGCAGGAGCGACCTGCGCCGCTCCCGATTAAGCCTGGCTCAGCTGGAAAGGCTATGCCTGGGTTTGATGTACGTATTGTGGATGACTCAGGCAAAGAGGTGAAGAGAGGCGAGATGGGCAATATCGTCATGGCGATACCACTTGCTCCAACGGCTTTTACTACGCTCTGGGAAGACGAAGAACGCTTCTACAAGGGCTATATGAAGAGGTTCGATGGGAAGTGGATTGACACTGGCGATGCTGGTATGATTGACGAGGAGGGATACATCTCAATCATGGCAAGGGCAGATGATGTGATTAATGTTGCGGCACACCGCTTCAGTACAGGTATTTTACGTCTCACTTGATGGGCTGTGGAAATAGACTGACCAGTACTAGGCGCCATCGAGCAAGCTATCACGACCCATACCTCCATCGCAGAAGCAGCTGTAGTCGGCATCCCCGACGCTTTGAAAGGTCACCTTCCCTTCGCCTTCATCACACTATCCGCTCACGCACATTCCGAGTCCGCTGTGGCAGACGACAAACTCTTCGCCGAAGTTCAACGCCTAGTACGTGAGCAGATTGGTGCAATTGCAAGTCTCGGCGGCATCATACAAGGCAAAGGGATGATACCGAAGACTAGGAGCGGCAAGACGCTGAGGAGAGTGCTGCGTGAGCTGTTGGAGAATGCTACGCATGGAGAGTTTGACAAGGAAGTCAGTGTTCCAAGTACGATTGAAGATAGGCAGGCTGTTGATGTTGTGAGGGAGAAGGTTAGGGAGTATTTCAAGGTCAAGGGGAAGGATCTGCACAAGGCCACGGAGGCGAGGGCGAAGTTGTAGGAGATGGGATGTGGACTGTTAGCAAGGAATTGCTGTTGTAGAGGTAATGTGAACTGTGTTAGCGATTAGTTGTTATAGCGTCTTGAATGTACACATTGAGCAAACATCTATCATTGTTGCGCTTTCGCTCTTTTGTAAGTCTTCTAGGGATCCCAGCCATGTAGGCTACACTATCTCTCACCAGCTGGGCGCATATCAACATTCTCCTCAATATTGCTACGAGCCGTTTGCATAGCAGCCACTTCGTATTTGCTGGCTCGTTACCGGATGAATGAGTGGAGTCGGAACCGGCGAGCAGCGGCCCGTCCCCCGAAAATCGTGTTACACGAAGCGGCCGTTCAACGCTCGACGCCAAACGCCCCAGCGGTTAATCTCGCATCATGGCCAAACCAACAAACAACTGGCGAAGTCCAGCTGAAAAGCAGGGGAAAAGGATACCGTTTCCGTCACGGCAGCGTGTTGTTGGCCCCACCCCGAACACGTGCGCGCATGGTGCTGCGGGCGATGGCCCAACCGCCGGACTGCGCTCCTGCAACTTCCCGGGGCTGACATACATGGAGCTCTGTGCTGAGCTGCGACCTTCCCGCCCATCTGGGAGCTTGACACTTCATCAGCGCATATATCAAGGCATTCCCTGAGTCGCATCGTCTGGTCGGCGAGTGAGCCTCGTCACCGTCGCGTTGGCTCGTCCTGTCATCTCAGGTTGTGCCTCACGCCGAGTCTACAAGCTTTCTTACCGGCAGAATAGTTGTTGCATGGTCACCAATCGATACGGTAACGGCAGCAAGGCGTCTTACACGAGATAGCAGGCCGCGCCGCCCGTCGGTCGCGGAGGTGGCTCGTATTTGCCAGAGACGTGCCGGAGACGACATGTGTTGGTGCAGTGATCCCGCCGGCTCGGCAGAATATTAACAAGCAGTAGCAGTGAGCCAAGCGACTATCGGCTACACGCTGTTGCGGCTTGGGGTCCTGTTCCCCGAAGCACCATCCCTTCAAGGCCAGGACTGACCAGGACTGAAACCCTGGCGCAAAACTGCCCATCCATCCCATAGCTCGCCCTGCAATGTCCAAACATGCTTTACATGTTGTTGCAACACGGCCCATGCTTGATGTGTCCCTTGGTGTGGCTGGAATGTTGCAGCGATGGGGGTTGTTGCTGTTAAAGAGCGGGCTATCGATGGCTCGGCGTCTTTCTTGTTCCTACAGAGTCGATGGTGCATGTGTAGTGGCCTGCGCGCTCCCTCCCTCCCCAATGACACCCCCAAGGGGGTCCCCGTTAGCAGCCCTAGTATAGTCCTAGGGCCTGCCGCCTGCGCTTGCGCGCACTGAGACGACGGCAGCTCCTCTGGCCGTTGTGCATCATTGACTTGCAGGCAACATGGCACAATGTGACGGCCGCACACAGCAGAGAGACCAGGCTTCCAGGACTTGGGAAGGGCGGGGCCACGGCGTCGTCGGGTTATATGTATACACAGCAGCCAGCCACGGGCCCGGGTCGGCGAGGCGGTCTTTTGTGCTTCTGGCGGTGCGTTCCTTGGCTGTTTCTCGTCTGAATGGCCTGGACAGGACTAGGCGAATCCTGGTGTCTGGCAGCCCCCAGTGCTGCAGCGCCGTCGCCCAAAGGCCCAAGGTGCCAACCTCGACGCAGCGTAAAAACCCCGGCCGCCCATGTCGACTAATCGCGCGTTTCTTTTGACCTCCCTCATCCATCACGCCGCTATCGTTGCCCCCGTCCACGCCGCTGCTTGCTCATCCCACGTCGCCCGCGTCCATGCAACGGAGCCCCGATAGTAGACGCTGATTGATAGGTGATGCTCCGGACTCAGACTCTTGCACCTTTCTAGTTCCCTTGCCGCATCTGTGCATTGCCAAATCCAAGTCGACCATCTTCACGTGGGGACACGAGCCACTGGAGCGAGAACCCTGACCAAGCAAGCCTGCCACACCTTACCTCGCCCAACTTTCTCTCCATCATCATCTCGACTCGACCACCGTCGGACCACGCCCAGCCTCTCTCTCTCTTCCCCCCTTGCCATCAGCCGCACCACCTCCCCGCTCACTCCTGCCGCCGTTTCTGCGTCGGCCCTGCTGCACAGGCCACGCTTCCGTCTCGACGTCTGCGTGTGCAACCATTGTCCTCACCACCGACGCCACCCCCGATCGATTCTGAAGCGCCTGCAGCTCCCCGTCGACACGCGCACCTGTTGTTGTTGCTGCTGCTGTGTGATTGTGGACCGCCGTCTGGAACCACGACATCGACGCTGATTCTGGCCGCGCCTCCCCCCCTTCTTCGTCTCACCCCCCTTCTGGACCGACACCACTGCTCCCAACCTAAGCTGTGAGCCCGCTGGTCAGCTGCGAATTCACTGCAGAACACGAGGCGACTCTCTGCGACTACGTGGCGAGCTCCGCTTGCATAGCACGACGCCCTTGATCTGTGCCCTGTCCGCCGCATCCGCGCACTAGACACGACCTGCATTGACGAGGCCGACTCTGACCTCCTACCGACACCATGGCGGGGAAGATGACGCTGTACAAGCTGGTGGTGCTGGGCGATGGCGGTGTAGGAAAAACTGCCCTGACCATACAGGTAGCCCTTCCCCCAACCTTCCCCCCCTTTCCCCTCCCCGATCTGTTGACATGGCTGACCGCCGCTAGTTGTGCTTGAACCACTTTGTTGAAACCTACGACCCCACCATCGAAGACTCGTACCGCAAGCAGGTGCAGATTGACGGCCAGTCCTGCATGCTCGAAGTCCTCGACACGGCTGGCCAAGAAGAATACATTGCCCTGCGGGACCAATGGATACGCGACGGCGAAGGCTTCGTACTCGTTTACAGCATCTCATCACGTTCTTCCTTTGCTCGCATACAGCGTTTCCACAGCCAAATACAGCGCGTCAAGGAGACGGCCATGGCTGGTTCGCCCACCTACCCCGGCTCGCCCATCAGCGCATCCGCACCCATGTTCGGCCAAGCCCCTGTGATGCTGGTTGGAAACAAATGCGACCGTGTCACCGAACGCGAAGTCTCGACCCAAGAGGGACAAGCACTCGCAAAGGAACTTGGCTGCGACTTCGTCGAGGCATCCGCCAAAAACTGCGTCAACGTCGAGAAGGCCTTCTTTGACGTCGTTCGACAGCTCCGACGGCAACGACAAGGCAGTGGACGTTCCCCTACAGACAGGAAAGAACCTCGAGCACGTACCGGCTACCACGAGAAGGACCGCACAAGAGGAGCTGGTGACCGTCGTACACGAGGTGCTGGCATGACTGGAGGCAACAAACGCGGCAAAGACAAACCGAAGTGCGTGATTCTATGAGCTTCAAGCTTGATACCCCTTCGGTCCAACGACCGATACGCTTTCCGATATACATATTTGGATTTACTGCACAACAACAGGCTACGACACATCGCGTTGTCGTTGGCCTACATCACTGATAGAAAGCACTCAACAAGGCGTCGGCATATGAGCGGCGTTTGCATCGATGGTCTCACTTTGGTTTTGCATGAGACCCATGGAGTATCTGGAGTACTACGAACATTAGCCTATTCTTATTTCCTTAACGACCGAGATCTGCGCAGCACTGAGATCTTGCATGACACTGTACGGCTGATTTGATTAGTGGGCTAGGGCTGGCGGTTTGGTTGCAAAAGAGGCAACAATATCTTGACAATCTGGAAGACGGTACCGTGGTAGCATGTGTTTATTGTTAGCGCATGGCATTTGGAAATCTCAAAACCTGGAATAAGGACGGAAAAGTCATATGGGTTCAGTTTGGGTACTACATTCTTCTATAACGCCCCCCCGAGATACCTTTCGAATTCAACGTCTTATCTTTTTTTTGGTAGTCAGCTTGCCTCCCCCCGCCTTGTTCGTCTTCTCTCTCCTTCACATGAGTGATCTTCATCATTTAGTCCCAGATAGTCAGTCCCCGATGTTCCGGTACCTTACCACAGGAAATCCTTCCCCACAAAGAAACCGACCCGACTCCGGCAATGAGGACATATGGAACCCCCGAAAGTGCTCTTCCACGCGAGCGGCAAGCGGGGATTGGAGTATTTGCAATTAATGTGCCAGCTCACTAGCCAATCGCTCTACTTCCTCGAAACCGACAGATGAATTAAAGATGACACACGCGCAGCTGGACTATTTGCGGCAGACGGAGACTTTGTGAAATACGGAGAGGCTATTCCTTCCTTCTTGCCTGCCCCTGCTGTTGCGTGCGTGCGTTGCGGCAAGCGGGACAACGGTTCAATTGCAAATATCCATTGGCATAAAGTATTGGCGACGGACATCCCAGCAACGTACGTACACGCGCGGGCGAATGCAAGCAGGCTGGGGTAGCTCCAGGTACACAACCAAGAACATGCATGACGAAAAAAAATTCGCCACCCGCCGTGAGCCTGCATGCAATCAAAGCTGGTTTCTGCTCATTACGCTGTTGGTGGTGGGAAGAGGAGAGGTCGGGGCATTTTTTTCTGGCATTCAACCTGTCAAGTTGGGCAGCATTGCATACTGCGGGTCATCAAAGAGACCCTGCAAGTCCCCCGAGACGGCAAGGCTAGCGACATTCCATCACCCCATGTGCACTGGCAGTTACGACTGATAATCGGGCGATTCTTTCTGATGCTTACCGAGAGGCAGATGTTGTGCTTGTTAAATGGAGTTCACAAGCTTGACTATCGCTCTGTTTCGTTGGCTTCAAAAGATGATCATGCCTTGATTTTCTTTTCGATGATTTCAGCAATGGTCTTATAACATCGAGATGAGTCATTATGAGTTTGACGCCGTTTGTGCCAATGTGCACTCTGTCAGGTCGAGTACAAGTAGACTGTACAAGTCGGCCACTACCAGCGCTCATACTCGGGATGATCCCATCTTGCGCAACTCAGGCTTGAGGCAACAACTTAACAGGAGAGACTGCGGTCATTTCGTCGTCAGGCTTTGACGCGTCGTTGCTGGTTTCAGAAGTTTGAGAGGGTCTGGTACCCTTTTTTTTCTTGAACCTGTGCAAACCGCTGCGGGGTCTTGAGAAAGCAGCACACACACGCTACCATACCAGCCTTAACCACGTAAGCCGAGAATGTCACTTGTACAGCTGTTATTCCCAATTAACCACGGAAATCAACTAACATGTGGTTTGAAGGTTCCCAATACCGGACCAATCGCGTATTGCGAGCATGAGTCCCCTGGATATGGATATCGACCTGATGGGTGCCCAGCCCGCGCTGTTCAAGCTTTATACCCAACTAGCCTTCATGTTTCCGCTGTCGGAGTCAGAAGAGGGGCAACCGTCACATCACCAGGTTACCTCGACCATGACTGCTGGATTGGCAGAGCTAGCAGCAAACTTCCCTTGGGTTGCTGGTCAAGTCGTAAACATAAACCCTGATACTGAGGCTGTGCCCCATTACAAGATTCGGCCGTACGAACCGGTGCCGCAGCTAGTCGTACGAGATTACACTGGAGATGCCGAGATACCCAGTTTTGATCTGATGCACCAAAAGGGATTCCCGATGAGTGTGTTGGGTGAGCATGTTTGGGCGCCGTGTCCTACTTTGGCTGCTATGGGATTCGACCCGAAGAGAGCCTCGGGGGCTTCTGATGAGCCTGCTCCAGTGATGCTTGTGCAGATTAATTATGTACGTGGTGGGCTGGTGCTTTGTGTTAATATGCAACACAATGTGTGCGACATGATGGGCCAGGCGGCTGTTTTGAGCTGGCTGTCCCAGGCGTGTCGGAGCGAGCATTTTACTGAAAATGAGCTTGGGATTGGTAATATGACGAGAGTAGGTATTGTCCCGCTCATTGAAGATGAAGGCTGGACGCCTGGGCCTAAGCTGCAGAATCAGCTGTTTCCTCCTTTACCTCCCACTGTTGACAAGGAAGTGGATAACACTGTCGAGCGGAAGAGTCCAGAACCACCTAGCAAGTGTGCTTGGACGTATTTCGACTTCTCAGCCGAGTCATTGGAATCGTTGAAGGGGCTTGCGACTACCTCTCTTCCTCAAGATTTCACCAGCTTCATATCGACCGACGATGCTCTCTCCGCTTTCATCTTCCTCTCTGTTCTGCGCACAAGGCACTCCCGTCTGCATCCGGATGCCTCGGTGACATTTGCACGGGCTGTTGATGCTAGACGCTATCTGGACATACATCCTGACTATCCTGGCGTACTGCAAAACATGGCATACACTAGCTATCCTCAGGAGTCCTTACTTTCCACTCCGCTGGGTCATATCGCCGCCAAGATGAGGCAGGCAGTCGATCCCTTAGCGTCAGATGTTGCATACCGGACTCGCTCTCTGGTCACCTTCTTATCCCAATCGCCAGACAACGCGACGAAAACGAGTTTTACAGCTACCCTCAATATGAGCGTTGACATTGCGCTTAGCTCGTGGACAAAAGTACCCGCTTATGAGTGGGACTTTGGGTTGAGGTTGGGCTCTCCAGTTGCTGTTAGACGGCCGGGCTTTGTGCCTGTGGAGTCGCTTATGTATCTGATGCCTAGGAGTCGGGAGGGGAGTGTAGCTGTTGCGATGTGCCTGCGAGAGGAAGACCTGCAACACCTCTTGCGGGACGAGGAGTGGAAGAGGTTTGCTAGATATATTGGTTGACTTTGAAGGAACCCGTTTCGGACTCTCTTTCATACTCGATACACCTTTATGCTTCGCCATATCCTTTTTCCTCGTATCATCCGGGATTAAATTCCCCCAGGCAAACGTTTCGCCATACAGAGGCAGTGGAGTAATAGCGTTGCCTTTTTCGCTAAGAAAGTTGGACTTGGTAACCTGCTCTAGCTTTGCAATGTTGCTGGACTTGATGGCAACGACTCTATACAAACAGACGTCTCGACCTGCAATTTGTGCTTTCCGTCATAGTTTTGATGTTATCGTAGGGTCTGGCCCAAGGTTGTTGACTTCTTCTACACTGTCGTGAACGACGCGGGTACTTCTATGTCATAGACCAGTCAGCTGAGAAAGCCACCCCAACCTTTCAGTGAAGAGAAGTAGGAGATTGAGGGAGCGCGACCTACCTCAAATACTCCTTACCGTATTCATTCGGGGACCAGGGAGATCCGAGGAATGAAATCTCCTCACGGAGAGAGTGTACTATTCTGGAGCATGTCTTGAAATGAGAATTAACAACAACGAAAGGAACCGGTGTTCAAGCAGCTGGTCACGACTTCTTCATTTCTCGCTGTCAAAAAACTTCCTACAAAACCCTATCCAGCTGTCCCCTCACTCATCCAAGACAGCTGAAACCACATATCGCTCTACTCACAAACAACGTCAAAACTCGGAACATTCGCGTGCTCGATTACCGTCTGCGAACAATCAGACTCGATATCAGAGCTCAACACATCGACAATTCGTTCGAGACTGCAACTGTCGTCGCGGTACAGATAGACTGAGCACCCTGAGCTGATGTTGCCTCTTATGTAGGACCCAAATGAGCCGTTTCGGATGCCTTTGGTACATCCTTGAGATGAGGTGCCGTTGTAGGTGTCAGTCGCACCGGTGCATCGCGAGGTGCTTTGGTAGACGCTGAAGGACCACTCTACTTCCGAGTCTTGGCGTGCAGATAGAGGTGAGGCAGTGGCCACGGAGGAGATGGCGAGGAGTGAGATGAGGATGGGAGTTGACGGTGTGAGCATCTTGGCGGCCTTTTCTGAAAATCTAGGGATACTTGAAAGATTTGTAGGAGAAATTTGGTCTGGAGAAACGGTCAGAAAAGTCAATGGTACTCGGAGGCTGTCATCTGAATACTTATGAGGGTGTGATAATCTTAGCTTACCGCTTCGTCTTGGGTATGTTGAATTTTGACAAGTGAAGTCGCCTGAAAGATGTGGGAGGTATCTTATATACCTGATGATAGATGAGTGAGATCATCCAAAACGTAGCATAGCTCGTAGTAAGACATTTTGATATCTGCCGACCTACCTCCACATGCAAGGAAGGCTATTCCCGCGGTGTCTTAGAGCTGGAGCGCATGATCCTACAGCTCAGTGTTCTTGCATCAGATTACGCCTGATCCTGATTGTCCAGTATAAGACGATGGATACACTAGGATGTGACAAGTCTCTTGGACCCGAATCAGAGTTGAACAAGCATATGCTGAATTATAGCCACCTAACTCATTGTAGACAGAGTACCGAGCCTGTGTACGAACCCCAATAAGGCGCACCATGCTATGGCTGACCGAAACCGCGCCGACTCAATCGTCATAATGTCGGATAACGCCATCCGATGCCGTTGTCTCAAAATGGCCATCACCGCCACAAAACTGAACCTTGACATTGAGCGTAGCCAACGCAGATTTAAAGTCCGATCTGACCATGATGCGAGCAGGATTCCCGGGATTACGTGAGAGTTCACCATCTTTTGTTGTTACCAAGAGACAGGTCTTGTCTTTCAAGGTCTGCTGATCCAGGATGACGAGCTCGTAGGGGGCGATGCCGTCTCTCTGGCGATCCAGGTGCTGCGCTGCCCATCCGATAATGTCTTCCGCGCTCCAATCTAGGAATGGCGTTGAGAGGTCCTCAGAAATGGGTGTGGAGATGTAGCTAGTGATTTGAGATAAGTCTTGTGTATCGACGAGAACAGCTGTGCGATTTGTCAGTCAAGAGTTCCGTGGTTGCAGGTCCATGACCCAAGGACGACTCTTCCGTTCTGCATACCCAGGCCTTCGACATCCTCTACATCCGGCACTCCATGGCTCAGCGTGACGAATTCTTCCAGCATCTGTTGACTTGTTAGCGCCACAATTCCTTCAATACCTGTTATGCCCATCCATGGGAACACATCAGCTTACCTGTCTCGGGATACTGGCATTGCAGAAGATGGGAATAGCATCCTTGAGTTTCTCCGACATTTTCGCAGTCTCAAAAGTTGTGTTTTTAGCCGTGGATTAAGTATGTGTCGAACTGGGTGCCGTATGACAGCGTTGGGGCTGGGGTCATATTATATACTGCCCGGTGTTAGATTTACATAGTACCTAGGTAGCTGACAGTATGACGTACCTCGCTTACGTCCTGTGCCACTGATCCAGCATGCCATGGTCCCCGGCTGACAGGCACCTTGATCAATCCAGCAGTGTGCGAACAGGGCGTAATCTGGAACTCCGTCAGTGTTACCTTGGGGCTATGAACTTGCAACATTTGCAAATCCATGGGTAACCTAGCATTACCCACGCTTAGCAACATGCAAGCTATGTCGAGATACGCCCACGACAACCTACTCAAGATCCTTTGAACATAAAAGGCCTTTAGTATCTAAATAATGTACTGATAACTTTGAGTGAACAAACCTCGATTGACAATTCTCCTTTCTACCATCCTACGCTACTTATCAAGATAACCACAATGAACTCTCTTGCCAGCCCCATCTTTGTCCTCTCCACCTTGGTTGCAAGTACTCTCGGCCAGACTACGCGTAATTACAATTGCGCCAGACAGCCGACCATCTGCACGAACATCTGTTATTACCAAACCTGCGTTCAGCCCGGCAACGATCTCTTCAACTACGACCCCAACGGTGATGCCGACCAGAAACGTGAGGACTCTGGAGTCACTCCTAATCCGTCAAGTCGCGAGCGCCCTTGTCTGGGTCTTGTAGATGGAGGACCGGGTATGGAGACTGACGAATTCCCCTTTGCAAGCATGGCCGAGGGCGGTGATGGCGCGACTCTCATCTGTGCCAGTGGAGCCGAGCAACGTTGTGAGTACAACGCAGCGGTTTAGATAGTATGGGATTGTGCTAATGTACTGGCAGCGCAAGGTGGTGTTCTCCGCCAGTTGTATCGCCCACTCAACGGAAACGGCGAACAGTTTCGCCTGGCACTTACCAACACCAACGGAATGCAAGTACAACCACTGACCCTGCACGACAGCCAAGCTAACACCACGCAGTGCGTATTGCGACCAAGGTGCAACGCCAGCTACTGGTTGTAACGGCAAAGAGTTTCCAGGCTTCCGATTCTTCCAGGACGATGGCATATACTGCCAATGGGATATCGATATCCCTCAAGATGAACAGATTGTCTGCGTCAATGCAGATGATGGCTCTCTCGTGGATCCACCCGCGAAGCTTCGCCTCCGGGCAGAAGAGGCTCCTCGGGAGATGAACTGGAACAATCTGCTTCACGTTAGAGACCCCGAGCTGGTCAAGCGGTTGGCGGCTGAAGAGCCTGTTTCTATTCCTTTTGAAGGGTGAGTGTGGAACGCGAACCACATCTAGCATATGTCAGATGTAGTTCGTCTGGTCTTGTACGTATACAATCTTTGGGATTCAATCATCGGGGCTGCTTATCAACTTGTACCTGAAAAGGACTTCTTATACCATGATGCTGTGACGAGTGAAACTGAGATACTGTTTTTAGCAAGAATCGAATCTTTGTACATACTTGTTTGTTTCACACAAGTCCGTTGACAACATGTGCATCACCGCTTAGGAAGTCGAACGTAGAATATCAGTAATGCCTTGGCAAATCTTACATAGCCACTCGCTCTTACCCGCCAACTCCAGCTCGCTTGTGAAGAACGCACTAACGGAAGATCGTACCACCTCCAGCAGGCACGTTGGGACAAGGACCTCCGCACTTGAAGCAGGTCGCGGCTCGGAGACTGGCTGACAAGGTTTCCCCGCTTTTCAAAAGCACTCGTCCTGCATGCACATACACGCTACCAAAGTAAATCCCTGCATACAACCAAGGACTAGTTCTCGAACAACGTTCGACAAACGTGGTGTGAGAGATCCAAGGATGGCCAAACTCTGACAGCCCCATTGCCAGACCCTGCATCGTCCATTCAGGAAGCTAATCGCTGCGTCAGCTCGCAACGCAACGACGTCGCCATAATCACGAGATGACCTGATATCTGCTGCACACCATCATCATCACACATCGTTCAAGTCTCGCTCAAACCAAAGCGCGTGTATAAAGACCTCCAGAGCCGGCGGCGATTGATGACATATACAACAGAATCCATTCTCTGTTTACCCCAACGTAATCACTAAAACCATGTCTCTTCCACACATGTCAAGCACAAAACATACCTTTCTACCTCTAGTAGCAGAGCCGCGCCCACGCTCCGACAAGGCTTCACCTCTAGTCACCACAAGCCAAACTATTTGCACATCAACATCAACAACAGAGCCAACTATTCTCACCACCAAAGTCGTGCCGCAGATGGTGGACCAGGACCCGCCGCTGCTTCAATCCCCTCTTCCTGTCCCACCACACGACGTCGACCAACGCCCAATAACAATCGCGGGACAAGACGTTCATGCTGGCGAGAACAAACAAGGAAGCGAGAAGCTGACTGCAAATCCTTGGCCGGTTCCTCATGCAGTAGAGCACCAGAAGCATGTCTGGTACGGCTCGATGTTGGACATGGGAGCATCCAAAGTCAAGGACAAATGGGGGTTCTCTAGCGCGAGTGTCTCGCGAGCGCATACACCAAACGCTAGATAGTAAATGTTAAGAAGTTTTTAGTCGCATGTTGCTCCAAAAAAAACATATCATACAATGATTACACATGGTAAACAGATTTGCTAATCTATACTTTCGGCGCCTCTACCTTTGGCGTCTCAAACTCAGCCTTGCCATCTTTGACGGTAGCATACCTTACCGTCCCCGAAGCATCAGTATTGGGTATCGGTGCCTTGGTGCCCTCTCCTATCGACTTGATCTCCTCTTTAATCTTGCGCGTAGCAGCATCCTCAACAGCGCCTGGTGGGCTATCTGCAATCTCGTCGACGTTTCTCAGGGTGAGAACGTCGCTGATTCGCGAGGCGCGGGATTGGACCAGCATGGTGGTAGGGCCTTCGAAGCGGAGGAATAACTGTTGCGCAGTGTTAGCGTTTTGTGGGCGGGTGATTTTGGCGAGGACATGACTTACCCTGTCGCCCCAGACTGTTCTCCGCAGCCATGTCTTGAGGGTGTAGTATGTAGTTGCTAGCGCGCGCCATGTGGCTGTCTTGCTCATGGTGCGGAAGAATTTAGTGTTTTGGACCATGGAGCCGAAGCCGAGGTCAGGGACCTGGAAGCGGAGGTTTGATGACTTGAATCGGAAGGGGATTGGTGGTGTGTTGGAGGCTGTGTATGCTACGACGTTGCTGTGTGGTTGTTAGTACAGACATCCAAGTGTGCTTGCCGTCTCGACGTACCTGGGATGCGCAACATAGCTCTCACCAGCCTTGACTTGGACCTGGTAGATTTGCCCGCTTCCCGCAAGCGCCAGCAGTCCTCTGCCGGTGATGTATGTGTTTCCCCAGTGTGCGAGGCCCAGCTTGACGTTGTACTGTGGTTTCAACTTCAGAGTATGGCCAGTCCACGCAAGCAATGCCTGTCTCTGGCTGATGATCCAGTCGTCTCTTCCATCCATGTTGACCGAGACGATGCTCGATATGGGCGACTTTGTGGAGACGAGCGCGGTGACGGGGCTCGTGGAAGACACTTTCTGGTAGAGGAATGGGATGCCGACGGGGGCTCTCTGCAGGGGCTCGAGGAAGGAGAGGGTTGACAGTGTGTTCTCAGACTTTCCGCTGAGGCCGACGAGTGTTCCGCGGCGGGTGTAGAGCGTCTGCGATGCGGAGAGGGAGACTGAGAGGAGCGAGAAGGGAGTGCCTATGACTTCGAAACGGGCGTCTGACGTGTGGTGAGTAAACGTCTTTTTTGCATGTTTTTGTCTGTTATTCCTCGGCTTCTCTCTCACCTGGAGTATGCATGGGCGTCGCTGTGCCCTCGACACTGACTGCCTGTTGCAGCGCGGGCTCCGTCGACGAGTTGGTGGCAGATATGTTGATGCATCGCGCCGCAATGGGCGTCCGCCGTATGGCAGCCGCCGATGTGCGCGAGAGGTTTCTCCAGGGCGAGGCAGCCGGTCGTAACATGGCTGTGCCGGTCAATTGGCGCGTGTTGGCTGTGGGAGATGTTCCTTGTGGACAAGCTCGGAGCAGCGATGATGCAAGACTCGCTTCAGCCCTGCCGGGGAAAACGCGCTAAGGCAACGTGGGATGCATGGCGACATGTCTCAAGGTACTCACGCAAACACCTCTTGTCACCTCCAATTCGAAGCATATAAAGCTTCACTCCGTCCTGTGGCAGCGGTTGGGGTCCTAACATGTGAGATCCGCCATGTTAATCCAACCACTTGCCCGCGCCGCCAGTCGGCCGGGCCTTCGGGCATGCAGTTTGCGCCCGCATCCTCTACACCACGGCATCCGCGTCTTCACCTCCTCCCCGCTACACAGAAAAGATGCTCACGGCCAGCGGCCAAACCCAGGCGCAAAGCCAGCCATCGAAGCTACCAAACCTGCCGCCGACCCCGCTGCTGCCAAAGTCGCAAAGACGGATCCCTTGCTCCAAGAGCAGGTCCTGACCAACAAGGAGCAGCGCAAGGCCGACTGGGCTATTATGAAGGAAATGTCAGCATACCTGTGGCCAAAGGATAATCTGGGCACCAGGTTTAGGGTCGGGCTCAGCGTGGGCTTGCTTGTAGGCGCAAAGCTGCTGAACGTCCAAGTTCCCTTCTACTTCAAGAGCATTGTAGACGCCATGAACATAGACTTTGCAGCTGTTGGCGGCACAGCGACGACAGTGGCAGGCTCTATGATCATTGCATGTAAGCTAGACCCAATAATGCATCTTCCTTCCACCCTGGCTGAGACTCCCTCCAGACGGAATGACTCGTATTGGCGCGACTGTATCCCAAGAACTCCGCAATGCTGTTTTCGCCAGTGTGGCTCAGAAGGCTATACGCAAGGTCGCTTGCAGTGTCTATGAACATTTGCTCAGGCTAGACTTGAGCTTCCATCTGTCACGACAAACCGGAGGCTTGACACGGGCCATTGATCGCGGAACCAAGGGCATCAGCTTCTTGCTGACTGCCATGGTCTTTCACATCTTTCCCACGGCACTGGAAATCTCATTGGTATGCGGTATCCTGACCTATCAGTACGGCTGGCAATTTGCTCTCATCACCGGCACAACCATGACCGCCTACTCCGTCTTCACCATCATGACCACATCATGGCGCACCAAATTCCGCAAGCAAGCAAACGCCGCCGACAACAAAGCCGCCACCGTCGCCGTCGACTCCATGATCAACTACGAAGCCGTAAAGTACTTCAACAACGAGAAATACGAAGTCGGGCGCTACGACAAAGCGCTCAAAGACTACGAAAAAGCGTCCATCAAGGTTGCCACTTCCCTCGCCTTCCTCAACTCGGGCCAGAACATCATCTTCTCTTCCGCTCTCACGGCTATGATGTACCTCGCCGCCAACGGCGTTGCCACGGGCCAGCTTACAGTCGGCGACCTCGTCATGGTCAACCAGCTCGTCTTCCAGCTCTCCGTGCCTCTCAACTTCCTCGGCTCCATGTACCGCGAACTCCGCCAGAGTCTCCTAGACATGGAGACCTTGTTCAACCTCCAAAAAGTCAACGTAGCCGTCAAGGACAAGCCCGACGCCAAGCCCCTCGCCCTCAAAACTGGAGAAATCAAATTCGAAAACGTAACATTTGGATACCGCCCGGACAGACCTATTCTCAAGAACCTCAACCTTACTATTCCCGCGGGCAAGAAGGTCGCCATCGTTGGACCTAGCGGCTGCGGAAAATCAACTATCCTCCGCCTCTTGTTCCGCTACTACGATGCGCAGGAGGGTCGTATCTTGATCGATGGTCAGGATATCCGCGATGTGAGCCTGGATAGTCTGCGTAGGGCGATTGGTGTGGTGCCGCAGGATACCCCGCTGTTTAATAATACGATTCAACATAATATCCACTACGGTAACTTGGACGCGACGCAGGAACAAGTCATCGAGGCGGCGAGACGCGCGCGTATCGATGAGAGTATCTCTCGTTTCCCGGATGGATACCAGACCATGGTTGGGGAGCGGGGGATGATGATTTCGGGGGGTGAGAAGCAGAGATTGGCGATTGCGAGGCTGGTGCTAAAGGATCCGCCGTTTTTGTTCTTTGATGAGGCGACGAGTGCGCTGGATACACATACCGAGCAGGCTTTGCTGGCACATATTAATTCTCTGGTGAGGGAGAAGAGGCGCACGAGTGTCTTTGTGGCGCATCGGTTGCGCACGATTTATGATAGCGATGTTGTTATTGTGTTGAGGGAGGGGGGTGTCGCGGAGAGTGGGACACATCAGGATTTGATCGATTGTGGGGGGTTGTATAGTGAGCTTTGGAGTGCGCAGGAGACTATGTTTGTTGAGAAGGAGGAGGGTGACGGAGAGGGTGAGGGTGAGGAGAAGGGGAAGGATGGGGAGAAGAAGTAGGTGGTTGTAGTGGTTTAGAAGATGGTGATAGAGCTGCAGTTGAAATCTTTCTACGCCTCATTGATCTACGTAGCCTCTTTAGATGAGTTCGATATCTTCAATCGTCCATTCGCCGATTTGTTCGCCAGGGACCGCCTTTGTTGAGAAACGTCGAATGTCTATGTGGCCTACGATGTCATCCATAAGAACAGGAATACGTGCATTGCAGATATACTCATATGTTCCGTTGGGCTGTTTCCTTAATACACATGGTGTGGGATGTCCGAGTAACATCCATATCTCGTCCTCAGCTCTTATGTTGCATTCGGGAACGAGGCCGAACTGGTCTTTGCCGGTCAAGATGCATTTTCGCTGCCGGAGTTGTAGGACGATGTGGGTTGTGGCACGGACCGCTGCACTGCCATTGATATGATCACGTAGTGGTGCTAGCAAGGCGTCGATCAATTGTCCGACAATACCAATACGGCGATCTGCAAGATCTGGCCTCGTACTACAGTCGTAGAACCACATGAGCCCGGATACAGCGTCTTCGTAGTTGAAGTTCTCATTTGGCCACCGACGACTGAGAGCTTGGACTATTCCAAGTGGTATCTGTCGCTCCTCGCGGCAGAGATATGACCCAATGTGCTGACCGAGACTGGATGACCAGAATTGCGCCACGGTCATTCCGTCAGCAACCCTTTGAATTGGCAACGACAACACCGTTCGAATCTCCCCAACTTTCATTCCACGAACACGTAATCGCATATGAGTCATATCAACAGAGTCCGGCGCACAGGTTGTGAACAACTTCTTCTCTGGAAAATTGGTCAGAAATTTTACTAATCTTTTGTTGTGAGCGTTCTTACTGTCCAGCTGTTCATTGACGGCGGCTTCGTGTGGGTGTCCACGGCTCTCTTGAGCGGACCCCATGGGTTGCCCATACGGGTTAGACCCTAACCACCTGCGTGGGACCCAAGTAGGAAATGAGCATTCTGAGTTGTGTTCCAGATATCCGATTTTGTCAAAGTCTGACCGAAAGCTTCTATCCAGAAAACGAATATTACGATGCAGTCTGATGTGGTGGTCGGCCGCGTCAAGCATGATCTGACTAGCTGTTTTGTTATAGTCGGCTTCTATGTCGTTTTCCTGGAAATCATCAGCTAAATGCATGATTGCATAAAGCCGATCGTGAATTCTGGATGAGTTCAGGTGAAATGTTCCACTAAGCATATCAATGAGGATATCCCTATCGGCGAGATCTACAATTTGCAGTGTCGATATTATTTGATACCATGCCGTCTGATCTGACTTTATCAGTGCCGCGTGGGTCAGGTACTCTATGGCTTTTCGGAATTGGAAAAAGTTGGTACCAAGAACGGCGATATTCATGCAATGCAGAACTAGTCGTTGGGCGTTCATGACTTCCTGTTGTCTGATAGTTCATTACGTATACAATAAGCCACAGTATGTCTTCGCGTGAGTTGACTACGACTTACATCCAGAGTCGATTCCAGTATTCGTTCTTGAATATTGGCTTTACAGGCTCCCAGAATTTTATGTCGTCGCCTAGACCAAAGTTCAATTCTTCCGCGCCTAGATTAAAGTTCAATCCTTCCGCGCCTAGCTCGAAACTTTTGAGCGCCGCTACCGCCTTACTCTCTTCCTCTAGGTCGGGTGCGTTGATCCAGATCCGAACACAGTCCGCTTTGTTGTAGACTGAACGCATCATAGCAACTTGACGCCCACGCTCTTTATCATCTTTTTGGTTGATACATACTGCGTCTATCCAGATCCTATGAACCTCTGAGCCCTGCTGATCGCGCAGGTATTCTAATGCCCTTGCGAGGTTCCAGGCCACTGGTATAGCTGCGCCATCGAAAATGATGTAGTCTACTGGCGACGCATCACCCCACATGTATGAGAGAGCATCGAATTTGTCTTCACCGTCGATCGATATGATGGTGAAACGGCCACGGAATGGGTCGGCGCGCTCACCAGGTTGAAGTTCCAGTACTCGAATACACCTGTCAGGAAGAGGTTCGTAGTTGAAGGGAGGCAGCGGAGTCGGCCCCAGTGACGTGCTTTTGTCACGGCGAAGGTCGCAATGCAAGCGACCACTGGCTCCAGAATTGTCGGCAATCATCGTACTAGCCTAGCAAAACCATTTCTCAAAGAGAGCAAAAGAAGTGACAAGAGATGTAGCGAAGCACAGGCTTCGTCTATGTTATAAGAGAATGCGTCGACCTGTTGGAAACAGGATTAGGCAGTTGCCTTGTTGTGGCTGAAGCAATCCTACGCAGTAGCGGGGTGGCCGAGTCGCATGGGACGCACCAGTGAAGACTTTCCACCGATGAGCATGTAAGTAGTTAATAACTTCTGTGACCTGCATTTCGTGTGCTTGCTGAGCGACATGGTTGGTTGGGTGGCTGAGCGATGGATCTGCCAACTGTAGGCTAAGGTACCATCGCTTCTTCTTGCAGGACGTCATGTGATAAGAGTAGGCCCATGGAGAAGGCTGAGGTTTGTGCTGATTAGCTAGCCTTTGTTCTTAGTGGAGAGCGGGGTTAACTTGTGACAGAAGCTGCAGGGTGAGGTGGAACTTCATGCCAACATTCCTAGTGACGTACTTGGACTCGCATTTACGTTTTGCCTCAACTGCAGTAACATGAACATCGTAACCATTCCAAAACTTTGCGATCAGGTGTCGCATCCCTCAATCGCCCTTCGTCCGATCAGTTGCCGTGCTTTGTCCTTGCGAGGATGGCACAACTCACAGTTGAATCAGCACCTGACTCGCATTGTACGAACGCGCTCTGAGGTAGGGTACACGATTACCTAACTAGAAAGAACCGGGGGTTGGTACGACTGGGTATCATATACTAAGGAGGCACACCGAAGCTGCAATAAGAATTGATTACCCATAGAATTTGCGGTTTAGGATGTCATGCACAACACTGTAGTGCACGATGACAAAGGTCAACACCTGCTTCACCACCAACAAAGGGGTAGCTGTACTAGCGTAATGTTTTCCAGCATAGCGTACGTTTCCTTCAAAATTGTCCGCCTCAGTAACTATCATCATTCCTAATGTTGTACCTCAATAAAATCCCACACAATCTCCTCAGAGCTCCAGTCCATAATCTTAACCTTCCGTCCATTTCCATTTTCCGATTCGTTTGCGGATACACCCAAGGGACGAAGATGGTCACCCTGACGTACTAGCAGAACGAATCCACCTTCTGGGCGCATTCGGGGGCATAGGTATTCGTTGTTTCGATGCCAAGGGCTTCTACAAAACAAGATTCCATGTTCATGATAACCAAGATATTGCGCAGAAGCTGGGTCCTTAAACCCCATCCACCCTTTCTCCTCGACGCATCGCCACTTAAAAGTACCAAGGCCTCCTGGTTTGTCCATCACGACCTCGCCGTCCAAGAACGTGATATTTTGCCTTGTTTTATGAGATCGGATGATGAAGGTTCGCCCGGGCCATGGGATGGAAGAAGATTGTGGCATTTCGATACCCAAAGTGTTCTTTGTGATATACTCGGAAGATGCGGAAGGTGTGCAGATATCCCACGTTTCAGAACCAGCAATGGAAGGAGCTGCTGCCCGATCGTGCGCCATGTAGTTGAAGGCTGGTTTTGTGGATCGTTTGCGATGTGTGTGGGTTAAGGTGTTTAGAAGGAGAATGGATAAGAGGTGTAGTTTTGAGGGATCGCCGGCGAGCGTCGCACATCCCGGGCGCGTAGTTGAGGCACAGTCGTCGCACACCTGGGTGCATCCAGTACTTTCATTGGTGTTGCTCACCCCACTGAAGTAGAGCAGCGAATCAGCGCATGTTCGTCGGAATTGTTCTTGCGCCGGCCTCGCGCTGGTCATCGCTAGGTTACTGTAGCTGCCCCCCTCGCCTATGCGTGGTCTGGTTTCTATTTACCACTATGCGCATTTCGCTTCAAGAAGTGACGTATTCGCCTGTGCTTGTGTTTCTCGAACAGTCATACCGGGGTGTATAGAGTAGCTCGAAGCCCTGTATGTGGTATTGTTTCAAGGCCCGTAGAAGCGCATGCCTTCATACAGGGCATCAGAGATGTTAGGGACGGAGTTGATGAGCGTGTACCGAGATTTGTTGATTGGCAAGTTGGGCGCTGATGGGTGTTACGGAATAGGCATTAGGGAATCAGAGTATACAAAACGACTAGGTATGTCCACCAGCGGAATCGGCATTGCAGTGAAGATAGAGGATGGAAATATCAATATCCTGTACGCAGCGGTCATGGAGATACTGGTACAATTGGGTATTGGGACAGAGGAAGTGCGAAAACAAGCTACGTAGCTGGCATACCCCGTCGGTATTCGATACCATGGGGATTGTTACTGGAGTGAAATCTCACTCCTATATTGTTAGAAGACATAGTGTAGTCGTAAGAGGGGAACGGGACGAAGGCGAAGAGAGAGCGGCTCTTGCTAGTTTTATCTAGCAGACTGTAATGGGCTGAAGCCCAGTTAGCGAATCCTCGATGATATCTCGGTTACGTGCACAAGCGCACAGTTCGCAGTCAACGCGTCTAAACAACGCTCAGACCAAACCCCTAAACCTCGGACCAAAGGATAATCCGAGCTGCTACTAATTAACCTTCAAAACGAGGTAGCCTACAGTTCTCTTCTCTATCGAATACAACTTTAGTATACCTGTGCAGTAGCTCCCTAAGCGTAGCCCCTTACACAGACTTAGGAACAATCAAGGCACTAACGGTTTTGTTTTCTAATTAAGCGGGTCTTAGATCACTCTAAGGCTCGTGCCATCTTGAATTAGGGATACAAAATCGCTAATGTCTTGATTATCCCTAAGTCCGTTGTCTAGGCTTAGCTTGACTCTGGTCGAGATAAGAACCGCCCTTAATGAAACTTGAATTTGTCAACTATCTGCGCTTGACACGTATGCTTCCAAAAAATTTACGCTTGACATGTCTAAATTTCTAAACCATCTCCATTGGCATCTTAGTCGGAACAATTTCGGTGCTTCCGTCAAACGCCAAGGAATGAGTCATTCTTCGTCACGACGAGGCGGGCCAACTCCACTCGTGCACGACATTCGTAGTCTCAGACGCGAGATATCCCAATTCTGATCGACTCATCCCGAGTCATCGCTGAATGTCACGAATCGTAGTAAGGTTAAGGAGTAGCTACCCAGATAAGCCTTGCTGTTCTTATATGAGAAGATGTTCTTAAATAAGAGGCACTGCAGGCAGCATATGCTCTTTATTCAAGACTACAACATTGCATTCACTATTCCGTCCGACATCCGGCAAGTTGCAGAACATGGACAGTACAACAACTTTACAAGAACTGCGTTACGATGCTCAGGTAATCGTAATCACAGGAGCAGGAAATGGCCTAGGGCGAGCATATGCCCATTTTTTCGCTTCACGAGGCGCTACCGTGATTGTCAACGACGTTGGTGTGCTCACTACACCCACTGGGGGATTCAAGAAGGTATATTAATCCAAAGGCTTAGTTAATTCTATCCTAAACATCGAATAGAGGCTCACACAGGGTTGAATCCATAGGCTGCAGACGTGGTTGTTGACGAGATCAGAAAGCTCGGTGGCAAAGCGCTTGCCAACTACGATAGCGTCGAAAATGGTCACAACATCATAGATGCTACGCTCCGAGCGTTCGATCGAGTGGATGTTTTGATCAATAATGCGGGTATTGCAAGAGTTCAGAGCCTTGAGTCAACGACCCAGGCAGATTGGGAAGCGGTTATGAACGTTAATCTCAATGGATCATTCAAGGTATTATTCGCTCCCTATGAGTGCGTATCTACTACCACTAACTTGTATTCGAGTGTGCTAGAGCGGTCTGGCCCCATATGATCAGGCAGAGATACGGTCGAATCATCAATACCTCTTCGATTGCGGGCCTCTTTGGTGTATCTCATCAGGCCGGCTATTCCAGTAAGTCCTCTGAAAAGCCACTCAAAGGCTCTTCATAACTAATAATGAACATTAGCTACAAAAGCTGCCCAGATTGGCATGTCACAGACGCTCGCGAACGAGGGTTTCAAGCTTAACGTACTTGTCAACACGATCGCTCCTCTTGCGGCAAGCAAAATGCTTGAACCTTTTCTGCCACCAAACCTGTTAGAGGCTCTCCAAATGGATCTAATTGTGCCTCTGGTCGCTGTACTTGTACACTCGACCAACGTAGAGGTCACAGGCGCTTTGTTTGAGGCGGGTGGCGGCCATTTTGCACAAATCCGACCTGCAGTGAACAACGTTGCGAGAACTAGTCCACCTTCCGTTGGAGTGCGACCGTTTGGGTCAAAGACCGACCAAGCCAACCTGCAGGGGAAGGTCGCAATCGTTGTCAATGGAGCTACAGGGTGGGTACTCAAATCTTCATAACTAGTCAAAAAGATTCCACTGACACGACAGCAGAACCGGTCGTCAATGCTGTCTTCACTATGCTTCTCTTGGCGTCAAAGTTGTTGTTCATGATCTGCTCGATCCGATCCCTGTCGTGGGAGAGATTGAACGACTCGGTGGCTGTGCTATAGGAGTTCAGAGCAGCCTTTTGGACGGACAAAGCATCGTCAAAGCTGCTCTAGACGCTTACGGCTGCGTTGACATCCTCATCAATGACGCAACTCTCTCAGATGATCTAGGTTCTGTTCCAGGTTCTGATCCAATGGCGGATACAAATTTGAACTCTGCTTTAAAACATGTCCAATGCCTAAAAGACATTGCGAAGGTTCTATGGCCACAATTTCATGCGCAGAAGAGTGGCAAAATTGTTACCATCACGCATCCTAGTGATGTGTTACCAAGATTGGATCAGCTGTCGCACACTATGGCTAGGTGGGCGCTGTTAGGGCTTTCACGCAGTCTTGCTTGTGAGGGTGCTGAGAACAACATCAGAGTTGGTGTAGTTATCCCGAATGCCGTCAGAAGCCCGCACACGAACGGTGATATTTTGGCTTGCATCACGAGGATCCTTAGCTGCGATACCGATGGCAGCCACAGCAAGAATTGCGCTCAGGTGTATGAGATCAATGAAACTGGAGCTTGCAAGACCGTTTGGCAACGGTCTAGCGGCTTCCAATTTCCACTAGGATCTCGTGCTACTCCAGAAGCGCTTCTGAAGATGTGGGAGCAGGTTGTTTGTTTCGATGATAATCGTACAGATTGTCCAGTCGACCATGGCGATGGTTCTGCGAAAATTATGGCACATATCAGTTCACAACACTAACTCTGATCCAAGCAAAGACGATTTGAGAGCGTTAAATCCCCCTTCTGGTGGCTTAGGAATATATACGAGAAACATATCGGCCTTCAATGTTTTCTATTCGATATTGGTTTGCTTTGTGCTATATTGTGCATATCTCGTATGCGTGCCACTACGATGACCACCTGGGTAAAGACTTGAGTTTAACTTGACTCGATATCAAATCGGAGAGGTGGAGGTAGTAGTATCGAAGGCCAGCCTTGTGCAATAGTGGTTCTTGGTGGCCAGTACACAGACAGAATTCATCATCGAAAAGGAATGCTTAGATTGCAGTCTTGCTGCAGCGCTGGCTGCTGCGTATCAGCCTAAGCGTCGAAGTGGTCTTCGTAAGGATTGGTATAAGGTGTGGATTTGTGAGATGATTGGAGCCTGAAGGCCTGTTCGATTGTAGTTCGGTGTAGGATGATTACACGATTGAGGCGTTTGGAGTAGTCCTTGCAAAGTAATGTAGCATTGGGGAGGGTTACGAAACTTGACAATGGCGATATCGAGCGCGATAATGGCTGTAGTTGGTCAACCAGCGCGTGCTCTTGGTCGCACCGTATACGCCGTATCGTGGTGTCGATGAGAGACCTCCGCGTCCTCGGAGCTGATACGGCTTGACCAATCGGTGCCAACAAGGCGTTCAGGCGAGAACACCGAAAAACGGGATGGAGATGTACGATTCGTAGTCGCTTTCCGATCGAAGTCAGCTGTTGAGATGAAGGGAGTCGTATCGGCTATCTAGAGCCGATGCATGCTTAGATTGTGGTGTTGGTGACATCAGACACCTGCCAAGCCTGTCCGCGCTAAAATTATTGCCGCTGCAAAGCCGGGGACGGCGGTGTGAACATGATGTCCTCCACTTACCATACATATACAAGCTCGCCGACCTTCTGTCATGGCGGCAAATCTCTTGGTCTGTTCGCATGGCCTCGCAGAAATACATACTCCCTAGGACGACCTTTGATCTTCGTGCTTCAATCGCCAGGAAAACGCCCATATCTGCAGAGATTGTCCGGTCATGACGACATTTCCGTTATAATTCCGCCTGCAGCAAAATACCCGTAGCGTACCCACCCAGGGCCACGGTCTCGCCATGGACGAACCAATGTCGTCGAATTACGCGAACAGGTCGTGGAAGTCGCGTATGCTTCGCCCTTCGAAGCGCCATGCCACGTCGAACAACGATCTCCATCGGGAGAACACGCGCCAATCACGCGGAACTGCAGCCTCAAGCAAGAATGCTTGGTGGAAGACACGCCTTTTCAGTGGCATGACAAACGATGTGCGGCGACGAGCACCGTTCTATTGGAGCGACTGGAAAGACGCGTGGGACTATCGTGTGGTGCCTGCGACAGTCTACATGTACTTTGCGAACATCCTCCCCGCGCTCGCTTTCTCGCTGGACATGTTTGAAAAGACGAATGAGAGTTTTGGTGTCAATGAGGTTCTTCTTGCCTCAGCGCTAGCCTCTGTCGTTTTCTCACTCGCAGCAGCGCAGCCGCTGGTCATCGTGGGAGTCACAGGACCAATCACCGTCTTCAACTACACCGTATACGATATCATTACCCCACGGGGAACCAACTATTTCGCATTTATGTGCTGGATTGGCATATGGTCTTTGGTCTTTCATTGGATCCTCGCATTCACGAATTCCTGTAACGGCCTACGATACGTCACGCGCTTTTCCTGCGACATTTTCGGCTTCTACGTCGCATTCATATATCTGCAAAAGGGGATACAGGTCTTGACGAGGCAATGGGCTGTCAATGACGCGTCGGCATATCTCTCAATCATGATTGCTTTGCTGGTCACCTCGGTCGCATACATTTGTGGTATTGTTGGGCAATCATCCCTGCTTCAGCGGCACGTTCGAAAGTTTGTCGAAGACTATGGCACACCACTTACAGTCATCTTCTTCACTGGTTTCGTGCACATTGGCAAGATGGCTGGCATTGAGTTGCTCAAGCTACCTACGTCGAAAGCCTTCTTTCCGACCACGGATCGCGGGTGGTTCATACACTTCTGGGACATAAGTGTTGGTGACGTCTTCCTCGCTATTCCGTTCGCCATACTGTTGACGATTCTTTTCTGGTTTGACCACAACGTTTCCAGTTTGATCGCGCAAGGCACGGAATTTCCGCTACGCAAACCGGCAGGCTTTCACTGGGATATCTTTCTCCTGGGCATAACGACTGGAGTTGCGGGGCTATTAGGCATCCCGTTTCCTAACGGCCTTATCCCGCAGGCGCCATTCCATACCACGTCGCTTTGCGTCACACGCAATGTGTCCGACTCAGACGACGAAGAGAACAAAGGACATGCCAAGCGAGTTGTCGACCACGTGGTAGAGCAGCGAGTATCGAACCTCGCGCAAGGACTTCTGACGCTGGGTACCATGAGCGGACCTCTTCTCATTGTTCTGCATCTTATTCCACAAGCTGTGCTAGCAGGCTTGTTCTTCGTCATGGGCATTCAGGCACTGGAAGCAAATGGCATTACAGCGAAGCTCGTCTTTCTCGCCAAGGACAAGCACCTTACATCACAATCCGACCCGCTGAAACAGATCAAGCGCCGATGGGTGATTTGGGCTTTCGTTGGCCTCGAACTCATCGGCTTTGGTGCCACGTTCGCAATCACTCAAACTATTGCCGCCATTGGTTTTCCCGTCTTTATCTTGTTGTACATCCCGATGCGAACGTTCTTAATGCCCAGCTTCTTTACGCAGGAGGAGTTGGGAATTCTTGATGCGCCGACTGCGAGTCCGTTTACTATGGAGTCGGTGGGTGGTAATCACGGTCAGGTTGTAGAACCAAACCCAAACAACCAGGTACTACAAGAGAGCGAAGAGGCTGAAAGAGGCGAAAGGCGCAGTACGCATGAAGAGAAGATGGGCGTTATCGGAGGGCCTAGTAGAGAAAGAAACAGTTTTCAGAGGACGGAATGATCAAACGCAGTTGTTTGAGAGACTTGCAAAAGGCGAAAGTAGCGACTGAAGCTACAGGCCTGTGCGACGTTGTAAAAAAATAAAAAGCAGAGATTTAGTACACTAACGTTGAAAGTTGATATACTCCGCGATACTGTCTTGGCACCTTGTAAGTGATGACAGCAGAATATCACAGTATCTATGCCGTCGGTGGTGGTTGGGCTGATGGGCCCGTCGTTCGGAGCGGGAAAACCACCTGATTGTACTCAGGTGTACTTGGCATCTTACCATTTTGCTCTTGGCGTGGTAGCGCCCAGCCGACGGACCGTCACGCTCGCATACACTTGTCTACTTCCATCGGCCAAGACCTAAGGATATCGCCCGCTCCAATCATTGATCGGATTCAGATATGCCGACTCCGAGCATGCGGATACCGAACTACGTGGGTGGATCGAGACACGAAACTTCGGGTGATAACCCATCAAAGACCTTCGTAAGTGGGGGCTCGGTATTCATGAAGATGCTCCTAAGTATCCAGGAATACCGGTCATTCTCTTTACCAAAGGCACTGAGCTAATGGTATAGCGAACATGACCCGGAGGTTTGCCGGCGGCTCTTCGGTGAGCTTACCTGGAGAAAAACACAAGGCGGTGCACGATAACATCGCGGGATGACTGATGGATATTCAACAGTGGATATCGAGGACATCAAGGTAGATACCAGCGGTTCTTGGCTTGCCAAGGAGTTCTTCTGGAAGATCCATAAGAAGGCATAGAGAGATACCACTGCAAGATGTTGTTGACCAGCGGCTTCATCCTACATCAGCAATCAGCATGCCGCCATTTATCAAATTGCTGCCACTTCTGGCAAGCATTGCTTCGCTCTCCGAATCCAAACCTTTAAGCCATCCATCGGTTACCTTTGCCCCTTTAACTGGAGCTACGCCCGGAAGCGCCCAGAATATCGTCGTTGATTATGCCGGAGATGTTGATGGTGAGCTCACAATCACATACGCAGCATGTGATGCTGGCGCTTCCATCGCATCTGCAAAGCAACATATCGGCCGAACACATGTCGGCGCCCACCCTTTGGCTAAACGTCATGAAGAACACGAGAAGAGGCGGCCGAACAAGTTTGTCTGGTTAACCCCAGCCGAAATGTATGGCGGATGTCTTCATGCGTTCCTTGATGGAGAGCTCATCGGGAAGTCAGAAGAGCTTATCGTCAGCAAGCGTCGCACTCGCCGCAGCGAGAGGAAGTCGTTTGTCGATGTCGCGGGAGTCGACAGTAACTGGTTCGACGGCGTTGCATACTTGCAGCAGAAGCAGCCAGATGAGGTATTTGTAGCCTCAGTTAAGAGCAAATCCTTCGGTATCCTCGGAGGAGGAATATCTGGGCTCATGACATCTGTGGGTACTCAAAATATGAGGAATATTCACATTACGCTAATGAAACTATCAACAGCTATTACTAGACTCTGTTGGCATACACAACTGGAAAATCCTCGAGTCATCTCAGCGTATCGGTGGCCGCATTCGTACAGTCTATCTCAACGGCACTTCTCCGGATGAAGGCCAATATCATGAGCTTGGACCCATGCGTTTCCCGTACGAGATCACTGATTCCGAGACCAACGAGACGTTTCCTTTCAACGACCAGCGCATGATCTTCCAGCTGGCCGAAGCTCTCAATGAACGCAATGGTGGTAACAAGGACCTTCTTGTTGACTTTATCGAATGGATCCAAACTTCTCCAAACACTCCCGCTGATAGTCCCTTCCGTCGTCCCGATGGAACCATTCCGAGCAGGATTGAGATAGCAAACGATCCCGCATATAAGAACCCAACAACATATGGCAATGCCACTGCTGCCGAGGAGGCCATTGCTGCCCTTGACGAGTTCAAGGGTCTGGACAAGGAGCGCGTCAAGATGTATGCCACCAACATCTTCAAAGCATACAAGCAGGCCAAAGACGACGGCATGTTCGACTACTCCGAAGTTGCCTACCTCCGCAACAAGCTGAAGTTCGATCTCAACACCACCGATGAGGTCGGTCAATCCCACATCTATTGGCCTATGTGGGAGTATGAGACCGTCTACTTCCTTGCCACCAAATGGGTAACCATCAAAGGCGGTCTCTCCAGAATGCCCGCAGCCTTCGAGCCACTAGTCAAAGACAAGGTCCAATACGGTACCAAGATCAACGGCCTCCACTGGAACGACAACAACAAAACAATGTCCGTATCCTGGAAGCCCACCGGAGCCGACGCCTTTTCAACACCAGACAACATTGAAAACTTCGACTACGTTCTCAACAGCGTACCCCTGAACCTCATGAAATTCTGGCGTCTCCCCCGCTACTCCAGCCTCCTCAAACGCGCCATCGACCGCACTCTCTTCGCCAACGCCTGCAAAGTCGCCGTGCAGTTCAAAACGCGTTTCTGGGAGCACCTCCCGCAGCCCATCATCGGCGGGTGCACACGCCTGTACCAACCCCAACTCGGACAAATCTGCTACCCGTCTTGGCAAATCAACGCCACAGGCCCCGGCACCATGCTCGCCTCCTACCTCTCCGACTACGAAGCGACCGTCGCCTGTGCCATGCCCGAAGCCGAGCACATGGCCTACATCAAACGCGCCTTTATCGAAATGCACGGCCAAGACGTAATTGAGGAGAATTGGACGGGCAACTATGCGCGACAGTGTTGGGAGCAGGATGAGCATCAGGCTGGGGCTTTTACCATGCAGATTTTTGGACAGCAGCATTTGTATCTTCCGGCTTTTTACCAGACAGAGTACAATACTGTTTTCATTGGGGAGGCGGCGACGTTTACGCATACGTGGATTTTTAGTGCGTTGGAGAGTGCGACGAGGGGGACTGTGCAGGTCTTGCTTGATATGGGGCTTGTGGAGGAGGCGAAGCAGATTACGGAGACCTGGATGGCGAGGTTCATTACTGTGTAGAATTTTATGAAACGTGTACTAGTGACGAACTTCATGACTATGTAATCATACGAGCTGCGCCGGTAGCGTGTCGCCTAATCTTGAGATATTGTACCAACATTGTTCTTTTTGGAATGCATAGCGATCAAGAGTAGGGTCTTCAGGTACCTCGGGACTCAAGCCGCCGGCTGTTTGGACGCGTTCGCGGCCCCGCCGAGATTTACCCAGGTAGCGCGCAAAATAGCGCGTCACCGTCGTCGCCAGCATCACCTCGACCTTGGGACTTTGCCATTTAGCTATCAGTTTGTTCGCATGAACATTATGCAACCAGTTACACTTTCCGAGCCGAAGAACCATCTTCAACTTGATTGTGCGACCATTCTCATGTCTCCTGCACGTCATGTGGAGGAGTTACCACATGCAGAGACCTGCTTACAATAGCTTCATCGCCATCGCTTTGGCCGCACCTGTGCACTGAGGCTCCGTTGTTATAATTTCCCGCTAAGATATCTCTCATGCCTCTCCAAGAAGTCTTCGACGTTTGGATGCCTCTACAGATACTTAACCAGGACGATACAACGCCTCTGACAAACCCGCACAGCATGCGCGCTACAATCAAAAGAAGTAACATCCGGCTGAATCATCCAGCGATACGTTCAGTGCTGACATATTACTGCTATGTGGCGCAGTAGATTTGTGTTTAGTGACTGGCATGCTGCATGAGGCTGTGGAGGTGGAGGCTGAGTAGGATCATGCATGGGCGGCTACCACTACCCCGCCCGTCCTTCGTCTCACAGCAACATTGCCTTCTCACATCTACCAAACCCTTACCATACAGCTGTTGTCTCGCCTCTCTAGGCTGGTCCTATAGTTGCATGCACCACAATCGAATATGCTATACGCGCACAGCATATCCAACCCCTGCGGATAGAGCTACCGATCATTCGCATGTCATTCCATGGCGCAGCAAGGCTACGAAGAAGACCGCTTACGAAGATGGTTCCCGGAAGACGCGGAAGGAGCTGCTAAGCACCTCAACGAGAGCGACATATGCGGGATCGCGGAAGTCTTGACAAGCAGTTCGAGGGATGCATGGAGTCGCATTCCAAGGATTTACAGCATATTGAGGAAGATCGGGGGATTGGACGCAATCGATGCTTTCATTGACGATGGGTTCACAGACGTCTCTTTTCCGTTTTCTGGCACCACTTTACCCGAAGCACTGCGCGATCACTCCGCGCGACTTAGGTTTCTAGAGCTGCAGCATCTTGTCTACCATACGGAAGCCCTCGACCTCGAACGGCAAGCACGACACGGCCACTTCAACGATCCAAGAGACGTGCCTTTGAAGAAGGTTGGTGAACTAGGGAAGGGAGGCTTTGGATACGTTGATCGTGTTGTGAGCACGATCAGTCACAAGGAATACGCGCGGAAGCTCATATCAAGAGGGAAAACATTAAGAAAGGTATGTTTTGTACAAAACCGTGAAGGACGATCGTGCTGATGGAATTTCTGGTTCGATAGGACAAGCAGGTTCTGCGTGCCTTTACCAGGGAGCTATCAAATCTCAAAGGTCTATCGCATAGACATCTTGTGAAACTCGCTGGAAGTTACACCGATAGAAAATGGGTGGCCATCATCATGCTTCCAGTGGCGGACATGAACCTGCAAACATTCTTAGACAAAAGTGATCTCGACGACACATCGCGGTCCTTCCTGAGACCCTTCTTCGGGTGTCTCACTTCGGCACTCTCGTATCTACATGACAATCGTATACGCCATAAGGACATCAAACCATCAAACGTGCTCATCAAGCATGACCAGGTCTACTTAACAGACTTTGGAACATCACTGGATTGGTCCGGTTGCGACAATAGTACCACATTGACTGCGCCGCCAACAACACCACGATACTGTGCGCCAGAGGTAATGGCATTTGTGGAACGTAACACGTCATCTGACATCTGGTCTCTTGGTTGTGTGTTCCTAGAAATGTGGACGGTTCTGAAGCGTCATACACCCGAGGATTTGAAGAGCCACATGTCAAGCCACGGAACCCACGTCAAGGAGTATCATCACAACCTCGAGGCCATCGCTAGTTGGATAAAAATACTAGAGAATTCGATGGGGCCATCCTGCGATTTGGCACCGTCACAGTGGATCCAGAACATGCTCCAGCACCAGCCGAGATCTCGTTGGAACTGCCATGTCCTCGCAAATCATATTCAGGAAGCGAGCACAGATCCTTCGTCAGAGTATGCCTTCAAGGGATTGTGCTGCCTAGAACCGGATGACGACACCAGCGATGAAACACAATCTTCTGAAAGTTTCGATGAACAATCCGAGACTGGGAGTATCACACGATCACCACCGACTCTCTCACGAAACATTTCAGAACGGATTACACCGCTAACATCATTGGACATCTCTCAACCTGGAAGCTTGACAGGCGCTGAGTCTGTGAAGACTGCTGATCTGGTACCACCAATCCAGACTGATACGCCGGTCCCCTATATATTGGTCAACGACTACCACGTTCCTCCAGGAGCGTTTGTTGGAGATGAAAGCGAGTCTTTGTCACGAGAGATCAACCAACCTTCGGTATCGACAAAAGCCTCGGGAGACGTGGACATCGAAAGTGACGACACCATGTCTCTTGCCGCCGTGAGCGACAACAGTGGCTCCAGTTACGAGACTTCGTGGAGAGAAGATACGAACAAAACACCGTCACGAGCATCTCCGACTGGACCTTTACCTTATTCGACAACTAGACCTAAGAATACGGATATGACTTCTGGTTCTCTAGCACATCTTTCGATTTATTGCACACTTTGTGCCTCAATGTTATACCATGCAACCGATTCTGCCAGACTCCCCTGTTTTCACTGGATCCACAAGAGCTGTTACGCCCAGGGTAATGCACGCTCGAGCACTGCCTGTTCAACATGCAACCTAGCAGATAGGAAACCCGCCAGCCAATCCAATCGCAATTTCCACGGAGATGTTCATGAGCTTTGGAAGAAGAACCATCGGAATCGAGTCAATCAACGCAGTCGAGATGGAGAGACACAAAGTTCTATACCTATTGCTGGGAAGGATCTGCCCTCACCTCACATCAGCGAAACCGACCTACATGTGAGGTTTGAATTGGGGAGAGCGCAAGATAGACGTACTTCTCGGTCGACCCCAAGTATTTACGCCGATTCGGGTCCGCCAAAGCATGGTGTAGTTACTGAGGGAACTTCCAAGAAGCGCGGGCCCAGATCTGAAAAGACCGAGACAAAACAAAAGCCAAAGAAAAACCCCTCTATATGGAAAAACCTGCTTGGTGTAGAAGACAGAGCTCAATCAGATCGCGACAAAATCCCTGCCAAGGAATCCCGAAGCGATCGCAAATTTACTGGCGTCGACGACGATCCATCAGACGACCTCATGTCACGATACGAGGCATTTCGCAAGAAACGTATAGAGGAAGAAGCGGAGAGACTCCGAGAGGCAGAGAGAGAGCGCCTAGAGAGAAGGTTAAAGAGACGCAAAGAGAACGCCCAAAGCGACCACGAGTTCACCAGCGTCGACCGTGAGTCATCGGCGGATGAAAAAGCCCGCTATGAGAGATTGTACAAGAAACTTATAGAAGATGAGGCAATATTGAATTTAGGTAGTTCGGGGCCTTTTGTCGAGCCAGCTACAAGTGGACAACCTCAAAGATCAGGACCAATCTACAGAGACTATCCGCGAAGGCCAACTTCAGCAGGACCAAGGGTAAACGTTGTTCCGGCTAGAAGCGCACAATCTCAACACGAGTCAGGGCATCCAAGGTATCGTACTGTGAAGCGCGAACCGTCGAGCTCGCGACCGAAAGTACTAGGCTTGCGGCCAGAAGAACTGTCTCGATCCTACCACGCCGAGTGGGAAGAAAACCAGAGCGGGGACGATTCTGATGCTAGTATGGTCGCGCAATTCAGTATCGCGAAACCAAGCAAGGCACCCAACGCTGATGACAGAAGAGGAAGGCAACACTACGATACAAGCCGACATGGATCTGAAGAAGCTTGGAGTGCTTCTAGAAGAAGTTCTCCACAGCCAACATATGACACACCGCTCGGCTCTGACCACGAAGACGTACCACGCATACCGACGATTCCCCAAAGGCGATACGGACCTGAAGATATCAGGTGGGCTCCAAGAAGTGATCGCACTGATGCAAAAGCAGCAGGATCTCATGTACCAAGATCTGGACCAGAAGATGTCAGGTGGGCCCCAAAGCCAACGTTGAGGCGGACGGCTACATATGCATATTAGATTCACTCATATGGTGAATTATACTCTATGCGTCATCTTGGTAAGCGTGTACGCATCAGCAAGCGACGAAACAATGCATTGCTCTTGTTTTGAACAGTCTTAATCTGATGATCAGATGTACAAACACTCTACTGCTCGACATTGATAACTGTTGATGGTTTGTCATTCGTGGATGTATGCGTATATCAATTGGCGCAACAGTGATACATTTCATAGATGACTTAGCAGATGTCGGAAAATCTCGCTGGTAACTAATGCGATTGTAATATGAATTTGCGTCACCAATTCACCTTGTCACGCTGGAACACTCTGGGATGTATAAACCGATTCCTCTTCACTACGTCAAGAACACCGAAGAGCGCATAATGATCACCTCTGCTCCAAAGCAGCGCAAGGATAACAGTGAGATAGCTGGTTCTGGCTGACGCGAAAAAGATTCTTTGTGGGCTGGCGCCGGTGGTCAACAACAAAAGGAACCGGAGGTCGAATACTTTTCGGACAGTCCAATCGTCGAACAAGAGCTAAGCACATCAAGAAGGAAATCATCATTTTCGAAGCCGCTTTACCCATTCGGATGACGAGGAACTCCCTTACTACGAACAGGTGTATCAATGATCTCGATGCTCACCTTCAATTTATACCGGAGCTGATCTATCGTGGGCGATGGACTAATCCCCTTTGGAGAATCGACATTGTTATCTCATTGCTCACCCCACGACCACAGCACCACGCTAAGAACCACTATGCAGCGGTAAACCAGATGATCCAGTAAATCAGAATGGAAAAAGACTAAAAATCGAAATTTTCCTTATAGCAAGAACCATCAACTATTGCTATACAAGCCAAGCTTTCTCAAGAAGACCTAAAGACAACTATACTCACTCGTAATGCTCGATCCCCAAATGGACAACCTAATGACTTTTTAACACCTTCGACGACGCTATGATGTGCAGAAGGCTCAAATTGACCTAATCAAAGCCATCGGCCAAGCCTCCCCATGTTCGGATAGTCAGTTTACTAGTCTGTATTCACGGGAAGTCGTTCATCAGTCGTGCTGCCTATATCTCGAAGCACAGCATCCCGCCCAACTCAGCGCACAAGCGGTCTCAGATGGCTCAATCTTCCACCACCTGATTAATTGAGGCTATTGTGCCATAATATATTCTAAAGATCTCTTCTGCGTTGCGTCGTTTGCGACACAAGATCCTTTCGCTGCTCCACTAGTCGCATGATGCCCCTTCCTCGTGGTAGTAAGCAGCTTCGTGGATTATCTCGGGGCCTGCTTTTTCCCGACCAAAATTCGATAGCTGATCAAAGGAGGTCAGGTGAGCTGCGGAGAAGTCCTCTATAGGTGGTATTTCGTTCGCAGCTGCGACATCCCGTTCAGAAGCACTTTCGGCGACGTGTTGAGCGATTAGGTGCGTGTCCCAACGCCATCCCGTCCGGTCTTTCTAGAGTCGTACTGCACCATCCCGTTGTGCTGCTTTAACGGTTGCCCGATCACAACGTCCCCCAGTCGCACTTCTGTTCCTGCACTCGGAACCGCGCTGCCTACTCCCACCATCAGCATGGAGTGAATGGGGGAAAGCTGTTCATTCGAATCGCCGTCACAGCAGCTTGGCTGGTTCCCATCTGGCCACTTGGGAGGTATATTAGAACGATGTTGTGTTGACTGTTCCGGACGAGCGTGTAATATTTTGGGTCGAGGTGGCTGTGAGATGGTTCCAGGTGCTGTTTATCCAATATGTCATGCGCAGCCGCAAGCTCAATGGGTAAGGCGCGTATTCATCCTACCGTATAATCCTCTGCTTTGAGGGAGTGTTGTGGCATGACAGAACCATCTGCGCGCTCAAGGCAGCTATGCTGAACAGGTCGGCAGAGTCATCAGTAGGAAATGCAATATTGGGGAACATTGTAGAGTATTGAGAGACTGGAGGGCTGAAAGGCAGTTGCATCGTCATGAAACAGCTTCGTTGTGTTATTCGCTCTGCTTTGTGAGACTGCGGCTACTGATAGTACTATTTCTACCTATCCATAGAATAGCGATATCTAATATAGGTTAAAAGTAGGCGCCTCATCAAAAGAGTAAACACTGCGCAGCTCGTCACGATCCCATGAATCGGTGTTGTGCATCGAAAAAATGAGCGCCCGGCCAACGAACTGCCAAACGGCGTCGTCTCCATCGCCATCGTGAACTCCTGATCGTCGTTGCCGCAGCACTAGGAAGCTTTCCTCATCCGGCGCGCGAACGATCAGGTCGCCCTCGTCGATTCCAAGCGGCGCGATGCCAACTAATCCGCCCATCATAGTGCCAAAAAATGCCAAACCACCTGCAGTAGCTGTGGCGTTTTCGAGCAACTTGCTGCAGTTGTGAACGAAGCTCCCTGTGTCGTCGACATTCACCCAGACTTGACCAGAGCGTTGCATGTTCACAGGAGTGTCGACTAACGAGGCCCAAAGCAAGCATGCGGCCTTGATCGCGTTAATGGTTGGATCATGCTTTGGTTCAGCAATATTTCCGCCAGTCACTCGGTAGTGGAGAACTTGATCCACCTCTCCGGAAGGCCCAGAAATTTCCATGGTCATGTTGGCTGCCGCCGGCATTGCAATTGATAGAAAACAATGAGTTCGACGTGAGAACATTTCGGCATCGCCTAAGATCTCGCTCAAGTCATCGGCGCTGATCTGCGGCGGCAAAAGGCGTGCGGCTAATAGCGGCATGTCGCGATGGGCATTACCGGCGGCTACCAGTTCTTTGGCCATCAGTGTTATGCGAAGAGTTGGAGAAATTACCGAGAAAAGAAGCTTGTAAACAATATCGTCCTCTTCAAGATTCATCTCGTCGGACGGCGTCTCAACTGGGAATTGGGCGATGATCCTGTCAAACGGCACAGCTTTAATGCACAGTTTGCCGGTAGTTTTGGAAAGAGTGCAACGCCTTGAGAGCTGTTCTCTTCGCCTTGCTAGATCAACACCGCTCCAGGCGCCTTGCTTCCAAGAGCCTCGCTTGGGAAAGCGGGCAAAGTCAATCGACCAAGATGGCAGCCGTTCGCTCAGCTTGCCATGGGCTTCTACCCACGCTTGAGGATTACTTGGCCTCCCATTCTCATCACGAGTGGCTCTCAAGTCCACCATATCAAGCACGTGGAACGTGGTCTCGCCCCGGATTGCTGCGTACGTTCCCTGGGCAACAGAGATGTCAACAATCAAGCCAATCAAGCCGAGCTAGCCCTATATAGTAGGTGGCTAGCTTGGATAGGTTAGTAACTTACTATATAAGGCTAGCTCAGCTTGATTGGCTTGATTGTTGACATCTATGCTGGGCAAACACCTCCCAAGGATCCATTTTGTTGTTCTTTGTGATCAGAGCAGCCTCGTAGGGATCGATGAGACCTAGCATTCCATATATCATGTCTTGGGGCCTGTAGCACTGCTGGGTACGAAGGATACTTTGCAGACCACCGAGAGATGTGTAGCGCTCGCCCACTGTCCAGGAAAGGTTCAGCCGCACAGCCTCAAAATCCCAGCCTAGGGCGCCCTTGAACGAGGCAACCTTGTAACTATCATCCTTTGCCCATTTCAGAAGATGGGAAATATCACATGAAACCCAGTGGTAGCCAAAGCCGAACTGCAACCGCTTAGCAAGCAAATACTCCTGCACGATCCAAAGGCGTCGGTGCCAGGGGTCGTTCATCTCGATGGCACTTGCTAGAGCGAGGTGACTGCCGCGCAGAGAGTACCAGAACAGTTGAAGATCGGATCGAATGTTGGAAATAGTCAGCTGGCGAGCCTGCCGATTAATATCGGGTGCATTGATCAAGTCGTCGGGCCCGATGGTTTGAGCTTTAATATCTCCACGGACTTCCCGCCACGTCCGGCTCCAAAGTTCAGGGTTGAACAAATTGCCGACCCTGAAGCTCGGTTCGTGGTGTTCCTTGGTGCGGCCGAGCCAGACGTTAACCACTGCTGCGGACCGGTACACGTCGCCCATAAGTGGCAGCTGGACATTCTTCTTATCGTCATTTTCCTGGTCGATGCAGATCGAGTCTATCCATATAGTACGAGTCGCTCGTCGCGTACGCAGGCTCTCGAGGGCCGCGAATGCATTGATGGTGATGTTGAGTGGATGATTGTTAATTGTCACGAGTGCAGTCGACCCGGTTGACCCCCATGTGTATGACAAGGCTTCGTAATAGGGGCAAGGGTAGTTGTCGAGCGATACCACCCGCAGTCGTGCCCGGATCGGGGCCGCTCTACGACCTGGCAGCAGATCAAGAACGCGGATCAAACGTCGTGATGAATTTAAATCAAGTCGCAAGAGAGGTTCCGAGTAGAGGGCCTTCGAGGTCTTGGCAGCGGCTTCGCTGGTGTGCGACCCGCCAAGCAAAGGAGCCATCATGTGATCACATAACACGCTACGCATCCGACGCACTATGAAGGATGATCAGGAAAGAAAAAAGAAAGCGAGCATTGTCAGCGGCAGCTAGGGTTCTTATGATCACAGCGACATATGTTCTTCTTTTTTCTCCGCGACAGCCGGGCGCCACAGTCTCAGTGCTGCATTCGATACAGGTAGCCAAGGAGTGCCACGTCTTGGCAGCAGCGGAGGCTGGCGTCGTCCAAATCAGACCACTGCGCCACAATGAGACCTCGCCGACACAACCTCTTCTACCAAAGCGGTGGTGGAAGCAAAACTGGTAAAGCGCTGGTCTTGGCGCCGATTCGTGAAGAACAGGCTATCATGGCTTGTTTTTGTGAGAATAGTTGCCTGGGCAGATTGTATTTCTAGTCCTGAGAGCCCAGGCAGACGAGAATGCTCTCATGTTAACAGTCATTTGGGCTTGGAACTACGTGCTGGGTTGCCTACTCAAATTCTTCACTCCTCTTTATTTGCACGTGCAGTTCGATCCATCCAGCCGTTGTCGTTCTCTAGGCCAAGATGTGCAACTCCTGGATACTGAGCGCCATCGCACTTCTCTCCCTCTCGCTCGGCACAGCAGCTACGAAACACGTATCGGCGTTAGCAGCTCAAGTGTCCTTATATATACGCGCCACTAACAAAACCATCTGCGGTTCGGAGAGTGCGTGTTCGATCCCCAACTTTGGTCCTCCCGTATTAACACCGCTGCAGCTGGCTCATCCGGCCTCATAACAAATTGGTATTGCGAAGGCAGCGCGCCGCAATGCTGCAGAGATAGTAGGGAAACGCTCAAGGAGGGCATTCCGTGGAACTGCATTCCCGCCGACGGTGTCTGCTGCGGACACGGCGACTATTGTAGTGCGAGCATCAACGCTATTTGCAAGCGCGACAAGTCTGGATACGAATGTTGGGCCGGATCGGGCGCTGAGGTTCCAACGATCGTGGGAAACACGCCAGAGATGGAGTCGGATTATAGCAATGTTAGGGGCCACAAGGATGAGGGTGAATACGAGAGTTCGGCTACAAAGTCGGCATGGAAAGCTGAGGTCTGGGCAGCTTGGGGAATGATAGGTGTAGGAGCCCTATGGTTCCTTTAACATGTGTATGTCTTATATCATTAGGCTGTTCAAGCTACAGTCGTATCGCAGCAACGCTGCGGCTGATGTGAATGATACGAACGTCGCGAATGGTGCGAATACGGGAGAGCCTCACTTTGTAGTGGAACGTAGAAGTAATGTGGGCGCCATCCAGCAACGATCAACAAATCTCTCCATTCTGTGCCGATCATTGGTATTCCTGTCGCATTCTCGACTTTACAGAGCAATCAAACTTCGCAGCGAGATGTTTATATTGCCAAACCCATGGTTGCCAAACTCCAGTCTGCTCGCAGCCCAAGTCTGACACAGGCGAACTACCTGCCTGTGTCAAATTTGCAGCGCCACAGCAACTACTTGTAACAAGATGGAATCAGACTTTTCTCAAGGTCGCTATCACTGTATCACGCACACATGTAATACGTTTGGCTGTTTGGCACCTACGCCCAATACGATGGAGACATCTGACCAGGAGTTCACCATGCGCTTACACCATCGTTGCGCCGCTTCGAGATGTCTTCATCCTCACCACGACTCATCTGATTCATGCCACAACCACGCTCGATGTACTAAGTCGTGGTGCCCAGCCATCAAAAGCATCAACGTCAGGTTCTGTCCCGACCACAACAATACTTGCGTTCATCTGAGTTGTTCAAAAACACGGAAAGATTACAGCCATTGGGACTGGTTCGACCCTGGATTCTTTCGCAGTTGAGTTGGAGACAATACTTCGTCCGAGACGGTTTCCGCGAGCATTGCGCGAGTCACGAATGTGAAGCACCAGATAATAGCGATATACAGGAGTATGCTCAAGTGATGGTATTGTCATCAGCATGCTGCAGCCTCATCGGCATATGTGACAGATCAGGACAATCGCCATGCTACGTATACATGCAGATAAATCGTGCTTTCTCAGAGTGAAATCTCGCATCGGCTTGCCTCAACCTTATTTTGCCAATACAGTCTTACTACGCGCAGGATCTTCTACGTCGCATTCACTTTTACCGCTCAGCTATCGTATTCGGCGAAGCAGGCGGCGTCGTCATCCCAGCCCCAATCCTGACTACATTACCATTACTACTGTCACCACCATCCATCTCACACATCTGCGAATGAAACGCTCTCAACACATCCTTGTTCTCTGAGAATTCTTTCCACGCGCTCTAGTCTCCTAGTATAGCAGGCATCCTCGTCCGAACACACGTAATGATGGCTTTACGTAAACCGCGATCGTTCTCCGGACACCTCTCGTAGTAGATGAAAGTGGCGAGGTCGACGATCATGAGCGCATCGTTGACGAAAGCGAGCCGGTCGATTATGGCTTCTGCAGACTTGCGCTTGATAGCTTCGAGGTTGTACTGCTCAATCAGTTAGTATCGCGGCCAGAAGAGAAAGAATATGGCATGGCACACTTTGTCCGCGGCAATGAAGAGATCAAGAAGTCGGTTCAACATATGCTCTTTTTCTATCTCCTTGCAAGGTGCAAAGTTGGTGAGAATTGAACCGGTGGTCGGGTTGTAGACGCCATACATTTCGTCGAGCAGGGTCGATACGATTCTTGCTGATTCTGGTAGGATGACAGACTGTTGGGCGGTTTCTCGAAACCTGCCGCTGCATACCACTTTGAAGTAATTCGATTCTTTGCAAATATTGACGCGATGCACTGGAAACTGGCTGCCTCCTGCGAAAATGGTGAAGTCTGACCACTCACCCGTTTTGCGGAGACGAGGCCACTCGGATGACTCGTTTTGAACTGCGATCCAAGGCTGCGTAGCGCGACTGATGAAGCCCTGCTGTTCCATGTCGAAGTCGGCCTTCATAAATGCGACTTTTGGCGGAACTTCATAGGTGTAGAACTGATTGCCTGCTGCCAACATAATGTCTCCCAACATGTCCAGAAACGAGCGATCGAGATCTGGCGAAGCAAACTCTAGGTCAAGCTGCAGATGCTGGAAGAGGTCACAGACCTTCTTGCACTTCTCCCTCCAAGCTGCTGCGGGCACACCCTCGGCTTGGAAGTACATGGGTTCATCTGTGTCAGGAAAGCGTAGAATCGCCGCGACATTGTGGGCACTATACCGGATGAACCCAAACTCTGCGTTCGCGCGATCTAAGAACAGGTCCGCAGGACCAGTAGTCTTTTGGTCTTTGCCGAAGGTGAAGGATTGAAGAAGCCAAATGAGTGGTTGCAGGTCTTCTGTAGAGGTCCTGGGTGAGGGAGGCATGGTGTTGCCTGACATCAACGATCGATCGCGGTTTACCGTAGTATATTGTAAAAGATCAACATCACAGCCAGGGTTTGACGTGAGGAGTAAGTGGTAAGCTTTCAATCCAGTCTTGAGCGGAATAATGCTACCCCAGGTACGTTGTGGTGATGAGGATAGTAGTGTTGTGAGCATCGAGGAGTGAATGGTGATGGGTGATCGCCCTCGACTAAAACCATCGCATGGTAACATACGGACCGATTGCAAGACTGTATTTTATATAATCATAGTACATATTCGTGATTAATTAACTACAGATTCGAGGTAGGATTGACCCGTCTCTGCACGAAAGTGCCGACAATTTTCGGGATGTAGTTTGGAAAGCTATCATAGATCTGCTGCAGAATACCCCAGCTCTGCTCGCCTTCCGTGGTGTAAGGTACAGTCTCAGCAAGTCCAGATGTGTTGAAAGAGTGGTAGAGCAGTGGCTGTTCCTCCGTCGACGTCTTTGCTTCGACGACCGAGAGGTCAAGACCCTGTGCATCAAGGAACCTTGCGTTACCGACTGAGGCAAAAACAAGCGGCGCATTGCTATTAACAGCATATACTCTTGCAGCCGCCAGGTTTATCTCGAGAGATTCGAAGGGTTCTGCTTGAGGATCCGCTGCATCCGGTGTGTCTTCAGCAGTGTTAGTATGCAAGCACTTTACGCGTAGAAGGTCAACTCACATGGCCACGAGGCAAGGTGGAGTGTCTCAGCTTGCGCTTGGACATTGAATGTCATTGCTGGATGGAAGTGCTCCCAGCACTCCAAGATTCCCCAACGGCCATACGGTGTTGCTATGACCTGCAAGTCCGAGGTGACGCCATCTGACCATATTGTTCGTTCGCCACCCGAAGGACGTAACTTGTGTCGCACGAAGAAGCTGCCCGTGGGCGTGATGAGGGCTTGACCCATGTATATGTTGCCATTCTCTCTATGAGAGAATGCAGGTGCGATATATGTCTCATATTTCATCGCTGCTTTGACGAGAGCTTTCCAGTGAGTGGAATTGAGTTCGAGCGAGTTTTCGACATAGTTGGAAAGCCAAGGCTTCATCGTGACATTGTCTGCCATACCCGTTGGATATCTAAGACTTGAGTATCAGCTGGATATCTCATCACAGAGAAAATGTTGTGAGGTACCCTGGAAACCATAGTTCTGGGAAAACAACAAGGTTTGCGCCGTTATCCGCAGCTTCTCCAATGAGTTTCAGCCCTTTTGCAACTGTAGCATTCAGATCGAACTCGACACCGGTCCAGTTCTTGTTGAGTATTGGCATGGGAAAATTGACAGGCTCGGCGCGTACGATTGCAACAGTCAAGTTGCTATAGTCCGGTGACCTGAATGCAAGAATGGTACCGGCAGCACCGAGAAAAAAACAAGTGATTGGAAGAACTCTCATCGTGCAAACAATTTGGAATGATTTTAGAGAAGTTGTGTGCGGCTCTGAACATGTCCTCTGAGAAGTATTTGTACACTTCATTAGATTGCCCCACAGACTGCCCTTTAGAGTACAGCCGCCAACATTATCGGCATTGCAGTTGTCTTGCTTGTACTTGAGAAATAGATCGTGAAATCAACAAATTGGTCAAGTCTGCACTGATCGTGTGGGGGCGATATCCTGACTTGGATAACGGACTCATGTCATTCTGTCATACGGGGAGAGTGTAGCGATAGCTGCGTAGTTGCGGCTGACCACTTTGCCATTCATCCAAAAGATGCCGACGGCAAATGCCTGCTTTCGTTGGGAAGTCGGGTCACCTTCTCTCGACGTTCTTCGGTTACTGGGCCTGTTTGGAGAGCGCACACATCGACGCACCTCATCACGGACGAGTACAGGTGTAGCATCACAATCTATGAGTACGCACTACCTGGATCAACTCATCCCTGTCGCACGATCGTGTTATTCAGACGCTCAACCTCATTCTCTCGAGAGAAATAGCATCTGTTCTCGTTCGTCGGTGCAGATGCGGGACTCCATTCTTGGCTAGATGCCGCATTGCAATCTGATGCAAGATCTCCTGCAGGGAGATCTTTAGTCGCTAGCCAAAATGGCGCAGTATCGCTGATCGACCGAAATCTGGCACGCGGGTAGCTACAGTAGCAGCTCGGATGAAGAGTTTGCTATTGGACCATCGAATACCCTTGATGGGGCTATCGCGATATTCCGAATGGGAGCGGCCGTCGTCAGCCTTCAATCCCATGCCGATTCTTACAGCCGTTATCGCCTCCTGTCAATGTTTAGTGATCACTGATCATGCCGCATTGTCTGCCGCAATGAACTTGCCGAGTTGCCGCAATCTTGGAAGGCTTGCCGAATGATATGCAACACCAAAGGTGCACAGTCCACAAATGTTTTCATTACGGCGTTTCTAGACCACTATAGTAGCTTGAGCTCACGCAGCGACACAGTAAATTTACTGGTATTCATGCCTGTAAGCCCACGCAAAGCTGATAACGAAATGGTCAGTATGCAGCATGTATCAATCCACGTTGCCGTTCTTATCGACTTTAGAAAGTCCTGATATCGTTCCCGTCCTACAATGAAGACCACCGCTGGTAACTTCTGGTTCCAACTCCGCCTCACATCCCTTTGAACTCTGATAGTCATCTTGTAGCTCAATGATCCCTAACCGTTCCTTTCCATGGTACTCCTCGGCAATTTCCTCTTCCTCGATCATTGAACAAGTCCAACAAATCAATGAAAAGCATGGGCGGCTCCCTGGTAACAGGTACACTTCACTCATTGTGGCCGCTGCCCAGCGCCACGAGCTAGCCTCCCGAAAGGCAATTGGCTGTGTGTCGAAGATTCTCAGCAGTGAGGTGGTCAGCCTCTCGAGTTGTCCCCCGTGTTGAATCAGACTCTTTGCCGGCGAGCCCATTAGTCAGTCATATTGTCTAATGTACCTGGAATAGTGGCTTTCGCGCACGTAAGGCAGCAGTACTTGCGGGAAACTTTTGATAAGAACGAATAATGATAAGAATACGCGAGCCTGGTTGACGGAGTGGTGTCAGTGCCGTCGAAGTGGCTCTGCGCATAGTGCATCGCAAAGAAAGTGGAGACGAGGAGAGTGTAATGACCAGGGAATGTGAAAGAAAAGCGAGTGGGGAATAGCGGTCATGGTCAGCTCTGTGCGAGCTAGATCTGGGAGTTTGTTGGGTGTCGCGTTGGGCGTTCTATTTTTCTGCGTTGAGGAGTGGGTAGAGTGTAGAAGAGAGAACGATTTGCGGCCGAGAATCGAAGGATACATACTGGGTGTGGCTTGGCGCGGCTACTTCACCGGCGGTAGCGAGCGCAGCTAGCGTTGGAGGAGAGAGGAAGGTGAAGGTGGAAGGCGGCCAATGAGTGGACGAGTCGCCCCAGTGTCCGCGACATCACCACATGTTCAAGTAGGGAAATCGGATTGAGCACCAAGCCTGATATCTTGAGCTTCTCTGATGATATGGCACTCAATTTAAGATCCAAAGGCGCATGCTGAGCCTCTGAAAGCAACTGCCGGTCGTCAGTTATCGTTGTCACTTCAAAGATGCCTGGTCGCTTCTCCAAGCACCCATGTCTTCACTCGTAACACACGCATATGCAGTGCCTTCGGCTCGAGCGCATGACGGTGACTAGCAGTCCTTTTGCCGTGCGTGATATATCGGAATCCAGCTATTGTGAGTCTGGGAGCACACGATCTTTGATGCTCTCAAAACAGACACCACGACTGAGCTTGCGCTATCTATGAGATAACCAGCGTGGGGTCTATCAGGCAGGTTTACGACGACATCCACCCGGGTGTCCCTCGCATGAACCATGCTCGTAGTGCAAAGATATTCCCACTTCGCATTGTAAGCACAACAAAACGACGTGGCGCGTCGCGGTTAAACTTGACCACTCAACATCTTTGACTCCCTTCTCGGTCCACTTGTAAAGGCGATGAACATCTTATCGAGCCCCCTTTTGAGAGCATTCCGCCTTTCCACAGTCGCGCCGACTCACTTTTGCGATGCAGCGTCGACGAACGGGACGACACCGCAGCCACGTCGGCTCATCGCATGAAGGTCAATGCACCAACGCAAACAGACATGCGCTCCATGGATATACGGCTTCAATCCAGACTCTCACCCGGAAAACAAGTTGGAAAGTAGGTAGGCTATCAGGTACGCATCTCTTCTCTTCAGCCTCCGAAGGTTCACCGCTGCCATGATAAACATCAGTCAATGTGACTTCTGAGCCCCTCTCAGCACCCCCGGCATGGGACCTCTTACATCAACAATGTTCCAAGACAGGAGTTGTGAGTCAGCCCAACCTCGACCGACCTGCCAGACTTCGCCGCTATCACAGGAATACGTGATTACCGTAACCATAACTGGTGCACAACTGGCGAGGGTCGACATGATGCTCATAACATCTCACCATCTGAGCAGCACCGAGATGCGTGAATGTTTTTTTCATTCGCACCTGCCAATACTAACCAGCTCTTTCCACTTGTAGTTTTCGATGTCCTCAAATCTTCTCCGTTACCCCCACCACCACCCCACGATCGCGACCGTTCCTCATCTCCGGAAGTAGCACCCATGACTTTGAAACGTTCCGGCGATCTCACAGCTCGTATTTCTTTGCACCCGCCACCGGAGATAGATAACCGAATGGGACCTCTGACACGTGTCGCAAAGACCACCATGCCGTCACGACCGGGCTCTAAGGCGTCAACCAAGAACAACGCAAGAGACAACGCAAGAGACAACGCAAGAGCGGCGCGAAGGGCGGAGGAGCGTAGGAACAACCCCTCAGGTCAAGCCTCAGGTCCAGCCCCTCCAGTGCCATCTTCACATAATAGTGAAGATAACACATCGCCCTTGAAAGACGCGCCTAGTCTCCCAGGGCGTGGCGCAGAGATCATCGCCTTCGGTCCTTCCTATCCAACATCGCTATCATCATCCTTCTTCCGCGAACCACGACTTTCGCTCTTGCCAGCATCATACACCGTTCTTCCTCAGGGCTGGTACCGTGCTAGAGATGAAAATGATTCAACATATTTCTACACCGCCTGCGGCAAGGCGCAATGGGCTCGACCAACCCAGCCTGCAAGTATGGCGGTATCGACGGGACGTAAGAGGGAAGCGCAAACTGCCGCATCCTCGTCAAGTGACATCGTACACCCCGGAGAGATAGTTGTCCCGCCGGAATCTTCGTGCAACAACCGAAGCAAGAAAGGCCTAGCAGCACCTGGCAATGGGGATGGAGATGGCGACGCCGCTGAAGAGAGGGAGGGTCGTGAAGTAGGTGGAGAGAAGGAGGACGGCGAGATAGAAGAAGAGGCAGAAGTCGAGTTGGAGATTGAGCACAAGGGCAAGGAGAAGGACCAAGCGACAGCAGCTGCGGATCATGACAAAAGCGCGTACAAGGGCAAAGGCAAGGAGAAAGTGCTGGAAGAAGAACAAAACAAATACGAATTCGAAGAGAGCGGAGACAGTGAACGCAAACGCATCTCGTTGGCCGATAATCTAAAGCGTAAGCACATCTCGTTGGCCGATTACCAAAAACGCAAGCAAATTCCGAGCGTACAGGAATCAGGGCTTCAAGATGTTCGAGGCATCTTTGCACAGCGCACAGTCAGATGCTCCCGTTCGGATACCAACGATACCATTTCTCAAGAAAAGATCCATGATAACGTACCGTCCACGATAAATCGACCGTCCATACTTGGCCGCAGGAACGCTTCTGAATCGCCACCTCCCGCCCGCCGTGACAAACGAGTTCGTTTCGAATCCGTTACGAAGACTGGAAGACGAAGGAGACCTTGTTACTTTTGGAATGAGGGGAACTGCTGGAGTTTGAGCGACTGTCGCTACCCTCATGTATGCAGTGGCTGCGGTAGTCGCCTCCACACTCGCGCTCGGTGTGAGGGTAGCAAGGGTTATGGGATTGCTCAACCTACCAGTTTACGGAGCCAGCCTCGACCACCGTCTTCTCGGAAGCCGCTCACACCTTCACCACCGAGGGAAAGCTTGGGCTCTAAAAGTAGCAGGAAAGATGTATACGGTCGGCGGTAGTATGGATAGCAAGCGTCTTCGAAGTGCAGTCGGTCCTTAGGTTGAAGCTATTAGAGTTGTGACTTATCGCTGTATGTATCGTCGGATCTTGCGGCGAGGGGGGGATGCTTGTTCAACTCGAGTAATAGTGGAGGTCAGCGGCACGCAAAGTGTGCAACGCTATGCCTTCTCATATCGCTAGTGATAAGCAGAGATATAGACTCCAAAGCAATCTTGCCTGCTTTTCTACGATTGGCGAGTTTTCGCATCGCTCTATTCTGATGGTATCTTCAAAATCGGAACGTGTTTGGTTGTCTTGGCTCTTGGACCACGAGGTCTTTCCGTCGACACACTGCGCGACGAGCCATACATGGCACAACACCCTCATGCAGCGCAGTATCATTCTCAACCAGGAATCAATGCGCCAATATCGTGCCGGTCTTCCAATTCGACTCGTAAGGTGTGTCTACTGGTGGTGGTTGTGTCAGCGCCTACGCATCCCCCTTGGACACCCCCACGATATTCGCTACGGGAACGAAGCTATTTTCCCAGTCGGGCGCAACGCGGCGATGCCATCCCTGATTGCCGAGGTCAGCACATTGTGGAGAAATAGCTGTCAAGCTAGCGCAACTAATGGGGACTGAATTTGGAAAAGATACTTGCATTGTGCTTGGGCCGCAAGCGGGGAGCACCTCGGGGCGTTCGGTCGGACTCGAAATTGGCAAAGTGAGCCAATGCACGTGTAGTGTAACGGTGACGAACTTCGGCCTTGGAGTAGATTATCTGGACCCTGTGAATCATCTTGATTTACCATGTAAGCTTACTTGAGCTATCAGCTAATACAAATTCGGAAGGCGCTCCGTCTGGTCGGCGACCTCGTCAGGTGTTTGTTTCACTTTCTGTTTGTGGACTCTAGAACATTGCTGATATACGCTCAACCATGGCTCCAAGAGCGGTTGAGACGGTCATTGGACATAGCTCCTTCACTTGTTGTATCGTTTGTCCGACACTAAGAAGACTTTCTAGACTTCTGGTTGATTGTGAGTGCAAGGTATCTCTATCAGGCTTGATTGACACTCCGTATTACAGGATAATGACTGATATCAGCTTTCAACCTTCTCGTGTAGTAAAGAGCAGCTCACTTAGACTCATCTGCTCCTGGGTAACATACTGCGAACTATCCGCTAATCTAACTCTCCTAAAGGGAGATGGAATGGGTGTCAAAACGGAAGATACGACCAACCTCTCGGGCTGAGATATGACCGCCTTGCATGCTCAATACCAACACTTTGTTTCGGTCTTTGCACTTCCTCAGAAGCCACGTTGACTTTGGGAGCAACTTGACAGTCTTCGTTTGCCGCAGGTCGTTCATGAAAACTCGCGATGTCGGCAAGCTCCTGGCCGATAGAGTGGCCTGATTGTATCTGATACCAGGTCTCTTTCGAGGAGGTCTCCTCACTTCTCGTCTCTGAAATGGACGCAATCTTTTCTAATTCGAGAGATTCTGCGTTCCCAGCGATCTCCGGAGCTAGAGTCTTGCCTCTTACACCCTTGTTATCTTGGACCGGTGAACAGGTAGCTGATACAGGCGAGCTAATGGCTACCTGTCGTGGCGAGGTGGGAGATCGTAAGAAGGAGGCGCGTAGGACCTCATTTTCAATGCAGACACGTTTCAGTGCGAGCACTAGCCGTTCGTTTTCCGATCGAAGCAGTTGTTGGCTATCTTTCAATTTCGAAAACTTGGCTTCGAGATCCTGTATATGCTGTTCTTTGCGCTTGCGGAAGGCTCGTTGGCTTCATTGAGATTAGTGTCTGTTAAGAACAGAGAACGGACAGGAAGGAATGATACGCACGCCGCCCGGTTCTGCGCTTTCCGCTTGCTATGCGCAGATGCAAGAATATCCTTAGCATCGCTGCAGCTTTCCTTTGTACTTCCTTCCCGTGACTCATCAGAATCACCTCCAGTCTCAAGATTTGTACTGCCTGCAGCTAGTTGTATGTGTGATACCGCGCTTTTAGGGGGGCTGTTCTGAGAGATATGCGCGAAGTCGAGGTTGGATACATGAATAGGCGCGGAGAAGCGCACAGATGTCGAAGATTCTTGTGTATCGTGAGACTAGGCATCAGTTAGGCTTTTGGGAAAAAGTAGTTTTTGTGAGATGTTGACATTTATCAACGAACGTACTATGTTTCGTGCTGTATATCGCTCATCTATATTCCGCAAGTAGACATTTGATGTCGTCTCCATGGAATGACGGACAGGACTGTGTATCAGTGGCGCATTGAAAAACAAGTATTCCATAACAATTGCTGTCTATGGTGGTTTGCAGCTACAGAGTGATGGTGATTATTGTTATGCAAAGACAAGGGTGTCTACGGGGCAAGCTAGTGGGCTAATCGTAGGAAACAGATGGCTGCTGATTAGATCTCACATGCCCTGTGTAACGAACTTCATTAAATAATGATTCCAAAGCAAGAGTCTGGGCCTTGCATTGATACATCTCAAAAGCGAGGATAAGACTAGGGTGCGCTCTCATATCTGCTACGACGAATCTGTCTTCTGAAGAAGTAGATCAAGTCAGCCTGCAGGGATTTGTGGATCCTGGACCCTGAAAAGTAGAATGCCTGTTCGGAGGCAAATCCCCGCTTCGTTGGTGAACTTTGGCTTCTGACCGCCTTTTCGATACCCAATGCCAATACCATGAGCGTCTACGGTCTCACGCGAACTTGGCAACTGTACTTACGCACCTCCGTTGTACATGAGGCGGCTTTGCGCCATCACGTAATCATGTTCGACCCCAGACGAGATCGTAGTCGCCGTTTCACAGAAACCCTTCTCTACTAGCAAATGTGCCAAGCAATGTTTTCTCTGGTCGCACGCTTGTTGGTTCAAGATAAGACCGCAGCATAATGTTGCCGCTTTCGGCAATGTAGATACATGTGGTTTGGAAACTTGCAAACAAAAAGATATCACTCTGTGTTGCAATGGCCCGCAGATGATGGGCCACTCGCGCTTACTGCACTATAGTAATCACCATCGTTGAAGCATTCCATCTATACGTGGAAAAACCACCATCGCGATCATTCGTTGAAGCCCCACCAAGTTGTCATTGCTAAGACAGCCTTAGCCACTCGTCTAGTATCATCCATACACTCTTGACGTGTGTGTCCCTCTACAGGTGGCTGCATTAACATCTTCTTTCCATTCTGAGATGGCTGAATGCCTTCCCTGCGGGTCTATGATCAGGAAACATTACAGTTCGAGGAGCAGTTTGGTAAAGCAAATGGATAGGACGGACAGGAGCGTACATGCAAAGGGTCTCCGGATACCACAGAACGTGACGAAAGCAAGGCATACTAGTTCTTTGCCTTGTCAAAAATTCTCTCTAGCTTGCAAGTCCTTCAAGCCGGATACTTTGCGCGTGCGAATTTCAAGTGGAGTTTTCCTTCCAACTCGACATGAACCCATCTTCTGGTTAGGTGAGGTTGCGGTATAATAGAACGAATCTCCTACTGACGCGTCGTCTGTGAGCCCGAATTGCATTAGAAATTCGCTCTTATAAGAAGTACCTATAGAAAGAAAGGATAGCGACGCTAGATGTGCGACCATGTTCGCCTATAATGATCATGCAATTACAAATCACAATGTCAGAGCCAGGCGCCAAAAAACTGTTAATTCATGGTAAAACCGGTACTGCTGGCGTATGCGGTAGGTCCGAAGGGGCTGATTCTGAGAGATCATTGGGCTAAGACGACTACGTCACCAGAGCCAGCTAGCTAGCTGTCAATGCGAAGATTCCTGAGTCTTCTTGCCCGCAGGCGTATTATCCATCTAGTCTGAACCGTTGTTCGCTTATGCAAGCGAACCCTGTTTCTCTTTCCTAACTAGGATGAGATCGAAGCCTAGAATGGTGTGCACGGACATGTAGCTCCATAGTAAGTCTTGGCGTACCATGAGATTAGGGCTCAATCCACCGTGGTCTCAACACTTAGGTGGGAATGCTTAGTCAGCCTGCCAGAACCTTTTCCCGAAGCATGCTCAGAGTTAGCAAACTTCCTGACGCATGTCGCGCTCCACAAATAACACTAATACCATGTAGATTGTGCCCGATGTGTTGAAAATCTGAGATCTCTGTAGTGCTGCTTGGATCTCGCTAGAATCTCGGCCTGTAGCCTCAAATAGAACATGTGCTTTCCAGCAAAAGACCGTTCCTCATGACAGAAATGATTAGCAATCTCGTTCGGCTCTGCTCAGAAACTTCTAGGCGATATCTAGAGTCTAGACGATATAGATCCACTGTTATGCTGTCAAGACAGTCAGCATCTAACAAGTTGTGAAAGATGGAAAATTAGAACGCCGAGTTGTGTATAAGACTGTACGACTTGACTTGCTCTATTTACACCCTACACCCAACATCTCCCCCTCACACGACTACACTCGCCGATTAGCACTATGCACAGCGACTCAATCGCCATCTTTCCTGCCTCGGGCGGCATTGGCGGCAGCACATACCGGCACCTTCTGGATATCGTGGACCCAAAGAATGTTATCCTCGTGGCAAGAAGCCCAGGCAAGATTCCCGAAACGTATACGAATGCAGGAGCAATCAGCAGATACGGTGACTACGACAAGCTAGAAACTCTTGACCATGCTTTCGATGGGGCGCGTTACCTCAACCTCATCTCTTACGCGAGTATCGAGCATGAGTACCGCACCAAGGTAGGTGACGACAGTTGTGAAGCAAGAAAAAGTGCTTTGCTGAGTTTGTCTCATAGGTTCAGAAGTACGCCATTGATGCAGCCATTCGTTCTGGCGTCAAACACATCTTTTACTCCTCCCTTGGTTTCGCCGGCAACACTCCCGACTCTCTTGCCTTCGTCATGCAAGCCCACCTCGATACTGAGAGGTATCTCGCTCAGCTTGCTGCCGAGCGTCCGTCTTTCACATACACCGTAGTGCGTCAGGGCTTATACACTGAATCGTACGGCTTGTACCTGGCTTTCCTCGATTTGAAGAACCCTCCTAAAGAGTTGAAGATCCCGCACAACGGAGAAGGCCCTGGGGTATCATGGGTTAAGCGCGAGGAGCTTGGCGAAGGTACTGCACACTTGCTCGCTGAATATATGAAGAATCCCACAAATTTCTCGCATATCAACAATACACTCCTCTTGTCTGGGCCGCAGGAACTCTCGATAGGGCAGAGTGTTGAATCGATCAGCCGCGTCCTCGGAAAAGACGTCAAGATCCAGCAATGCTCCATCGATGAATGGGCGTCTCAGGATTCTGTCAACGGGGCTTCAAAATACTTGGCTGGAGATATGAAAAAGCATTGGGCGACTGCGTACGACGCTTTGAGGTGTGGAGAAGGAGCTGTGGTTACTGATCATCTGCGCCGTTTGCTTGGTAGGGAACCGGAAGGATTTGAGACGACGATTAAGGGCATGGTTATTGCCTGATATGATTAGAGGAGTACAGTAACGCTGCTGTGCGGTGCCGTACTAGTACCATTAAATGGGGGCAGGCGCAGCTTCTAACAAACCATGTGCTACAGAATTGTAATTCATAGCCCGCATAACTTGATCGCAGATTAGGCGGTCGCTTCCCGCGAAGATGTTCTCTGCCCATAGCACTCCTTGCACGATCCGCATTATCTCATCCCACTCTTCAAGGTTCATACTTTTTAGTACAGCTGATAGCATCGAGACAAAGTGGCTTCGCTCTACATGATTTTCCGTCTCAATAGCGGCGAAGTACAATATCCAGATAAGCAAGGGATTCAGCTGACCCCATTCAACATGGTTTCTCCCTAGAAGGAAGAAAAGATTGCGCGATATGGCTGCTGTCCGAACCGGATTCTGCCCGAGGGCCCTCCAAAACGGGGCAAGGAATAGGAGAGTGCCTAGTCGACATATCTCTTCCATCTCATGTTCGCTTTGGCTGCCATTCCGTAATGGTCGTATCGCTAGCAGTCTGTACACAGTTGGCTCCATCCAACTCCCGCTTGTGCAAGCTAGCTGCTTCTGTTCTACGGCAAACGTTCGGTCCAGTGAAATGAACTGAACAATGTCGTCGAAGACAGAGATCCAGTCTACATTCCCTATCATTTGTTGTTTCCATAATAGGGAGATGGCGCTAGATGGCCGTGGCGAATGCTGAGGAGACTTTGAGTCATATTCCCATCTGCTTGGCATAGGAACAATAGGGGGAACATCCTGAGCGAAGCATCCTATGAGATCGACCCTGTTCTATAGTCAGTTGATTTAGATACAGGAAAGAACGCCAGAGTGAGTCAAGGAATACCATGTTATAGTGATCCTAAGGCTTTCATTGACAACTGTGTCATAACCGCCTCTAAGTGCGATGATCTTAGCAAATGCATTTCGATGATTATCCCAGTTCCCGTCTTCGAAGCTGCCTAATAAAGCCTAAAGGGGGTTAGTAATCTATCATCGCTTGAACAGTCTATTGAGTTCATACAAGATGACTCATCATGGAAACAACTGCTCCGATCATTTCATCGCTTTCATGTTTCGATGAATCCTTCATCATCTCAATCGTACAACGAAATGCTTTTTGACGGTGAGTGAGAGCTACATGATCATCCTGCGACGGGAAACGACCGTTGCGCTTCTGGGATAGAAAGTTGTGGGAATTTGCAAGAACATGGTGGAACGATGCCGCGCTGCTGAGGCCAACAGGATACCAGGAGCCCAGCAACTGACTCGCATGGTTGGTATTCGGACTAAAGACTATTTCAAATCAGAAACAAGGTCGATCATCCAGAAAGTATCACTGACTATTTGCGACTAGCATGCGAGCAGATTCGTCCAGATCGAAAGGATAAGGGCTGAACGGATCGACCTGTCCACCTAATCGCTCGATTCCAAGCCTCATCTCATCCGGTTTACGAAACTCTAGGATGATCTCGTTGCGCTCTCGTTTCGTCCGGGGTTTCCTTCGTGATTTACCCACTTCAGTCATGGCCAGAGATCGAATGTGTAGCCGCGTGTTTTCATCCTTGAGATCGTCGGGGTGCGTCAAGTTCACAAAGCTGAAGCTCGTTTTTCTTCGGCGATCCATGCTGCAGACTTGCGTTCAACTTTGCTACCAAAGTGTAGAATGTGTATTATACGCTTGGGTTCTGGTCAGCACTTTGGCAGGATTATGTCAACGCGTCCTGAAATTGACTGCCATAAAGTCCGAAGCCTAGAGTGAAAGCCTGGTACAGCGAATGGTAATACTGGAACGATGAGTGGAGCATACAGATACCATTAAGATGGAACAATCTCGCCGCAAATGAGAAGTGCGTTTGTGCGTTCAGTGGTGATGTAAAATCTATTGCAGAGTATGTCGGAAGCCACTCCGTGAAAACAAACTGGTGCCAAGAGGCCTCACTTGAACTAAACCTTTGACAATCTCCGGATCGGCGCTCGCTAATGCAAATTACCCGGCGCTTCTGACTGAGACGTGCACGGGCTAGTCGACCACACGACGCGTCCGAGAGATGGCCCTAGCAGATGTGATGAACAGGCACGACAAACTCGAGTCCGTGGTGGCGAGGCTCGTGAGTCGCGCTGGCTGATTACGTAACGGCCCCACTAACAAGGCTGCTGCTCCATCAAGCGAACGGAGGCTCATGATTACTCAGTAGATAGTAGCTGCAACTATGTCCACGACGATACATATCATGCGATGTCACTGGTGTATTGCGACGGACGGTCATCTCCCACTCGGTGTTAGTGCAATGATTGACGTGACGTTTCCGTACATCTACAACTTCAGCCTCGACACAACCGATGGTCACTACATGACTAGAAGTTGATCACCGAAACATCGTGTATTCAGTGTAAATACCTTTCGAGTACGCATTCTTCTAGTTTACGCATCGTGGTGATGCTTGTTGGAAAACGCCTGCTCCATCTTGCCTTCGTGCGACATGACCCCTAGATCATAGACATACGCAACTCTTATCGAGGAAACGGAGGACCAGGCTACAAATATGCCCGATCAGGACATGTGGCTTTGCAGCGCCCTGTGACATGGCTTTACCACGCCTGATGACCTCATATGACGTTTTCGTCCCTCCATCAACTTCAGCCTTGTCAGTCAGATGTGGATGTAACAGTAGCCTTGCCGCTTGAGAGTGACACTCCGAAATCACACTTCTCTTTTTCACTTCTCACCTCCAGTCTTCGCGGAGGACCTTGTTGTAATGGCATGCGGCGTGGACTCTCGTTGGAACGCACGTGTCGGTATCACGGAGGCACTGACACTTGTAAGACTATGCATCAAAGCGATGAGATGTGGCGATTGCAGCCACAGCTATCCCCGCTTGACAGAAAAAGTAAGAATCTTGCCTTGATACAATCTTGGTTGTATTTTCGAAGCGTGCTCATCTGGGAACAGCTCAACTCGCATGATGCCCGATGCAGCAAAATCGCAGACGGCTTCGCCAAGGCAAAACATTATTGAACGGTCTGCCTCGGGATGCAGAATACGGATGTCACCATAAAAATCAAAACGAGGATCACATCTTTGCTAGAAGGCATTGCTTCAGAAGGGACTAATGCTTTGGACAGTGCTCTTGCGAGACTCGAGGAGGACATGAAAGTATACGGTCTGACCACGCCAGAGCTTTCAACGACCCAAGCAGAGTCTGAACAGCAGGTACTATGGGAATGGGACGACCATCGTCAAGACCACTACTATTGGGTGGCTGAAGGATACTTGCAGTATCACAAAGGTGGTCGAGTCAGACCGGACGGTACACCATACGGCGAAGTAGAGGGAGGACAGCTACTCTTGGAGGAGTGAATGACATGTTGTGTATCGGAAGACTGCAGAGTCGCCCCCGGCGAACCATATTGCCTGGAGAGAAGAAAGGTAGTAGAGAACAGGAAGAACAGAGCGATACTAAAACAGGAACAGAGATGTGTCACGATCAAGGCATTCCTTATTGTTGACGACTGGTAATTCTTATATACCAGTCGCACCCTAGGCCAATCTTTTTTTTTTTTGGTTTGCTGTTCACCGTCGACGTCAGGTTCATCGACGATCTGCCTTTTGACAGGCTACCAACTACATACAATCATCCTCGTCCCTAAATCTTGCTATTCGTCCTCGTCGCTTCAACATCAAGAAGCCGTCTGAGGTTTTGACAAACAGCCTGTATATACGCCGGTCTCTTCTTCGCAGCCTCCGCAGCCTCATCCGGATCTGGCGACTTTTGTGCATTCACCAGGTCCAAACGGGCGTGCCCGAGCCAAGCGCGCGTTTTGGGTTCTGCATACCACTTCGCCGCATTGAGATACGTCTCGAGGTTCATGCCAAGGTAGTCTTGCGTTTCGTCTGGGTGGGGCACGACGGTGCAGAGTGTGTTCTTGACCTCGTCGTTATTGTAGGTGGCTTCGACGTGGCCGATGAAGGCGGCGCTGAAGACTTGTTGGCAGAAGCGGACGGCTTGCAGTGTGATGTGTCTGCCGTTGAAGACGGGCACGGGCTTGAGTCGTGCGAGCCCGTCGGCACTGCAGTCGATGTAGAGTGTATCCGGCACGGGTATGTACTTGCCTCCTTCGAGCGTAACCTCGTTTGCGGTAAGGCGGACGACGCGGCCTTGACGTACAATGTTTCCGATTTTTTGAATCTGCTCGAGTTCGGGGACGGACAGGGTTGCGCACTTGTACATGGTGGGCCAGACGTTCTTGTCAATCCGCATCATCTTCCCGCTGGCCTCGAGCCGGTAGAACAAGTCTTCTAGCGAGGAGGCATTCACGATGGCTTCGCCTTCTGCCTCGAACATCTGGGAATCATTTGCGGGGGACCATGAGGGCTGGAGGGTACTGCGGTTCATGCACCAGGAGTCACGGGGCATGATCCAGGAGATGTCTTTGGCATCAATTCCTTTTGAAAGTAGCCAGAGACAGGCGTCGATGCCAGTCTTTCCGGCCCCGACTACGGTATAGCTGCCGTAAGGTCGGGAAAGAGACACCAATCCGTTTGGTGCAATCAGATGCACGTCTTCTGCTACCTCATAAGGTGGTGGCCTCATCGCTGGCACCTCGACCTTCATGAATGTGGCATCCACAATACGCGTCTCTGGGCCGACCTGGACGGCCTTGTTCGTGATGATAGATTGGAATTTGCCCTCGCTCACGTACCTAAAGATCAGTGTACCAAGTCAGCATCAGTCTTACATGCATCTCGAACAGGGATAATACGTACTCATGCAAAGGGTAATACTCGACCCGTCCAGTTGGAAGAAACGTCTGCTGCATGACTCTGCTGAAATAGGAACAGACTCCGTCTCCCGTTGCCAGCTCGGACATGCCCTTGTTCCCGCCAATCTTGTCAATGTTCTTCTCGCCGGGGAATTCCTGAGAGTTGACGCCGTAGAAGGCTGATGGCTGGTGGAGGGTAACGTGAGGGTACGCAATCGTCCAGTGGCCTCCCGGTCGAGCGTAGCGGTCAACTATCGCTACTGTGGCTTTGGTGTCTGTGATCAGGGTATCGACAAAGGCCATGCCCATGGCTCCAGCGCCAATGACGAGGTAATCGGGGGTTATCGTGGTACTCATGCTGCCGGGTAGGAAGTTGTCTCGTCGTTTGGGTTGCGCGATGAGAGTGAAAAAAGAAACCCCTAGGAGAGAATGCGCATTGTATTTATGGTCAGCCTCCACCCGCCAAATTACTCTGTAACGATCCTGGACATGTCATTTTATCCGGTCTCCTCTGGGCAATACCTGCAAAACGATCAAATCCTAACTCTTTGTTGGTCGTCGTGTCTACGGTTGCTGACAAGATCGACGTATTGAAACCTTGGCGCATCCCGCGGACCCGGTGAGTTCAGGCATCAGTTGAGAGGCAGAGTGTAGATTAGTATTATATGCTCGCAAGCTCTGATGAACGGGGAGCATATTCGACCGTCCGAGAAGGTGTTCACTAATCTCGAACCAATGACCGTTGCACTACAAAGCGGGCCTCTCGCAATCCTACAGGCATACTCTCCTTCTTGTGTTGACTGATTCCAAGACTGGACATGTGTGCCGGAGAATGTAGCCGTGGACCGACTACGATTATCGCGTTGCGGAGGGCATGTACTCTTGGTTTTCGAGGCTACCCAGGTATCCAAACCCACTCGTCCCAGACCTCGGTCCAAGTACGTGCCCTCGCGTCGCGCTAATCCCCATGGGAGAAGCTCCGTCCAGGCTCTCCGCTCGCAACCCCACAAGCTCTGCGCCCCTCTGCGCGCGTCGTCGTCACCAAACCCAATGGCCCCCGATGTAGCCTCCATGACTTCGACGCCCTCGGCGCCCGCCCTGAAGCCCTCGCAGAAGCCTCTCTCAGGGCCCAACGTGCTCGAAGTCGTCTTCGGCTCGCTGCTCATCCAGCCCTGGTACCCGTCCTTCTACCCGGAAGAGCTCGTCGGGCGACGCGTCGAGCGGCTGTATGTATGCCAATGGTGCTTCAAGTATAGCAAGGAGCTGTTGGGCTTCATCGGGCACCTGGTAAGCTTTCCATGTTCCCTCTGCGCTGAGCATGGCAGACAAGCTAACGTGCCGAGCAATAATAGAAAGCATGTCCCCTCCGCAACACACCCCCGCCCGGCGTCAACGTCTACACAAAAGACAACTACTCCCTCTACGAGATTGACGGCGAAAAGCACAAGCTCTACGCGCAGAACCTGTCGCTCTTCGCCAAGCTTTTCCTCGATACCAAATCCGTCTTCTACGATGTCACAACTTTTCTATACTACCTCCTCGTCGCACATAATCCCACACCGGAGATTCCGAATACCGGTTTCGGCGACGATGCAGAGGCGAGTCGAGTTGGTGCGCAAGGGCAAGGGCAGGTCGTTGGCTTCTTCAGCAAGGAGAAGATGAGCTGGGATAACAATAATCTGGCGTGCATACTCGTGTTTCCGCCCTGGCAGAAGCAGGGGCTCGGGCAGATATTGATGGGAGCGAGCTATGAGATGAGTAGGCGAGAGGACAGGTTGGGCGGACCTGAGAAACGTATGCCCATCTTCTCCGTGCCGCGTTGAAGATATTATGCTAATATTCCTTGCCGCAGCGCTGTCGGACCTCGGTCGCATTGCGTACATCCATTACTGGTCGCAGACCCTTGCGCGCACGATCCTTACTTGCCCGTCGAAGAAGATTGTCACTGTACAGGATTTGCGGGAGAAGACGTACATTGTACCCGAGGACATCATCGCAACGCTGCAGACGATGGATGTGCTGGAGCAGAAGAAGAAGGGCGGTGCTGATGCTGTCATCAACAAGGCCAGGGTGCGGGCGTGGGCAGATACGCACAAGGTGGATCTGAAGGCCTGTCCCGTCGATCCCGATGCCTTTGTAGCGAGGGAGCAGAGTCGAAGTGTGAGCGAGGACACGTGAGGCACGTGAATGATGCAAGCCGGTGTGCGTGAGTGCTTGACACCCACAATTGAATATAATCCGGATGAGCTTCAGTAGCTCGCAAAAGGTTCTCTTCTTCTGATAAGTGTTACTCTCTCTCTCTCTCTACTTCTTACTCGCAAAGAAGCCATCCAACCTCGCCCCAACATCTCCCACGCTCAACCCCCCAGTCAAACTTCCCCTTATCCACTTGGGCAGCTTATCCTGAATCCGCTTACTCCCATACCGCCTATCCAACATCAATATACTCGCATAATCCCCTTTGTGTCTAATCGCCCTCCCCACACACTGATTCACCGCCCTCATACAAGCATTCTCGTAAAACTCGCGCGCAGCCGCCTTGCCATCCGACCCACCACTTTTGACCTGTTTCTGAGAGATGTACTGCATCTTGCTCTTCCACTCTGCAGAATGGGGATTGGGAAAGGGAAGGCCGACGACGACGACGCCCCGGCCGAGTGCGTCGCTGAAATTTATGCCTTCGGATAGTGTGCCGCCGATGACGGCGAAGAGGAGGGCGCCGCGGTGGTTCGGAGAAGAGGCAATGGCGGTGCTGTATGCTGTGAGGACGGAGGCTACGGCTGCTTCTTTGGTGGAGTGTGGTGGCTGTTGCTGGGTGGAAGAAGGTTGCTGTTGGCTGTTGCTGCGTTGCTCGAGGAAAGTGGGTTTTGTTGCGGTGAATGCGTCCCAAAAAGTCCGTGATGTTGAAGACGGCGATGACGACTTGATGCGCTTCCACGCTGCGACGCACGCGTCGAGGAAACCGTAGCTGGGGAAGAAGACGACGACACCATCAGGAATATGCTGTGCGAATGTTAAAATGGCATTCCCCAGGTCCAGCATCGTGGCTTCTTTGTTGCGGTTCTCAAAGGTAAAGTCAAAGTCTGCGCCGCTTGTGCCGCGGATAATGGGTAAGGCGAGGAGGTTCGACGGCGGTATGACGTGCCCGCAGGATAGCGTTGTGATCTTGGAGGGAGCGAGGTAGGAGAGTAGGTGTTGCTCGTAGTCGCTCATGGGAGACATGGTGCCGCCAGCTAGTACGATTGCTCTCGCTTCTTCGACAATGTCTTTGAAATGGTATGTTGGGTCGAGGAGCATGTATCGGAGTGTTGTTCCTGAGGCTTCTTCCTTGGAGAAGAAGAAGCGGCCTTCGCTGGATGGGTTCATCAAAGAGAGGAGGAAGGATTGTACGTGCATCAGGACTGGTACAGTGTGTCTGGGTCCGCTCTTGATTGACTTGGTTGTCGACGTCTGCACGCTCGCGTTCTCGGCTTGCTCAGCGAAGACGGTGTAGCCGTCGACTTTGCGTGCGAGCCTGCTTTCCTGGAGATATGTATTGAGCTTGTAGATATTGATTTGATCGACACCCTTCCCTGACATGATCGCAGCCATGTCTACCAGGCCGTCCACCGCCTTCGCGTTTCCATCGATTGACTGCAAGTACGCAATGATGGAGTCCAGTATGCGGACTGTCTGAGCAACATAGACGCGATTCTTTCCCTTGAGCTTGTTCCGGAACTTGTGGAGGTAGGCTGTCAGTTGGGCGCGCGCTTGTTGCACCTGTTCTAGTGTCACGGATACGGAGTAGATGCCAGCGATGGCGTCCATCAGGTTGTGTGCTTCATCGATGATGACGATGTGATTTTTGAGGGAGAGACCGAGGGCTTCGCGAGCAGTGCGCTGGAGGAGGAGGGGATACGGTAGTGTTACAATCTGTTGTTGTCAGTCCACGAGTCTATCGTAGAACCGGGATAGTCGACTCACCTCGCAGTACTTGGTCGCTGGTCTCGAAGCATAATAGGGACACACACCCAGCTTCTTCCCTAGGACGCCCAAGTCCTCGATATCTCTAATCTTCGCAAGCGCATGGTCCCGGAACTCATTGACCAACGGCTCGCTCTCCTTAGTCGGCATGTGTGGACAGCGGCTCTCGGTCTTGGTGTTTTGCTGTAGTTCGAGGCATCGTTCGTTGATCGCCGTGGCACTTCCGAGCTTATTGACTTTGCTGTTGATGCAGAGATTCTTCCTTGATCCGAGAGTGAGGTGCTTTACGTCTTCTACAAGTGTGTCTACCTCGCTGTCGTTTCTCTCTTCGTCTGGAGCGATGGCGGGCGGCATCTTGACGCGACCTAGCTCGCTGGAGAACTGCGTCAACTGTGAGTGCGTCCGAGAGCAGAAGAAGATCTTCGTCTCGTCAGGCGCTTCTCCGTCGTCGTCTTTCGATGCATCCGTGCTGTAACCGAGTGATGCCATCAATGCTTGGGTTTCCGCGGACAGCCCAGACTCATCAAACCCGCCTGCCCTCGCCCGCTTGTGCGACTCTTCATCGCTTTCGTAGTCGTCGAGCGCGAATTGTGCATCGCCGTCGTTTTCATCCTCAGCCACAGCGATCCTCTGCCTTTTGTATTTCGGCTCGCCGCTCTCGTAACGCTCTTTGGCGCGCTTCTCCTTCGCCTTGATCTTCGCAATGCGGTCATCCAAATCTTGCTTGCGCCTCAGCGCTTCCTGCTTCCGCTGCTTCTGGGCGTGTTCGATTATCCACGACGGCTCCTCGCTATTTGCCGCATCGACTGTAAATCCTTCCTCAAATGTCCGTCTTTTGTGATCGCGCAGCCACGTCAGCGAGCCGCAGATGAGGCTCAGCGTTTTGCCGGTTCCTGTCGGCGATTCGAAGATACCGACTTTGCCTTCTTCCAGGCATGTATAGACAGCACCCATGAGTTCATTTTGGATATCGTATGGTGTGTATGGATGGTGGAAGTCTCGCTGCTCATTGGTGTTGTGCATTGTGCCGTGGTGTCGAACAAGTGGGATAACGCGACATTGGGACGCGTCGCGTGGATGGGAACGGGTGTTCACGTGGTGTATCTAGCGCCACAAGCCTGGTAATGGGACGCAATCGCTTGTTCTCTGCACCACGAACGCATCTTGAATACTACTGCAAGGCAAATCATCGCCTCCTATGTACCGGTGCCGTAAGTTATAAGTTGACATGTTTTCAATGTCCAGTCCAGTCGACAAAGCATATTTTCCAAATCCATTCCACTGTAGCAGAATGCGGCATAGAGAGCCGCAAGTTGAAGGCTATTCACGCTGCTCGTACAAACTCACAAGTCACGTCCAAGTCTTGCGTGTTGCTGCCCTTCAACGACGGTTGG